TTCCTATGTTTTTCCTCCTCCAAACTCTGTCTCATAACATATTGCAAAACGATTTCCTCTTCTGTCATTCCTGTCGCCCCAGTAGCCCCGCTAGCTCCAGTATTCTTTTCTTTTTCTTTTTCTTTCCCTTTAGATACGGATTTCTCATGATCTTCTATTGACTCCCTTAGAGCTCTCTTGAAATCTTCATCTTCTTCGCTCTCTTCATTGCGCATCTCTATGAATTCACTTCTTTCCCTATCATTGTCTGCACCTACACCCACACCAGCACCCACACCCACACCACCACCATCCTCCCTCACACCACCAATCCTATACTCCCTCAAACTCTCCTGGATCGCCCTCGCAAGCTGTACCTCATGTTCCCTATCTTCCTCCCTCCTCCCACCACTCCCCTCCTGCTCCTGACTAGCCAAAACACTAGCCCTAATCGCCCGATCCATAACCTCCTGATCGCTCAACCCTGCACTCTGACCACCCTGAAGTTCCGCCACACTTGCTCGAATAGCCCGCTCAATCATAAGGTCTTCTTCTATGTTACCACGCGAAGTAGCCGCTACTGATGCTTGAATTGCTTCTTCGAAATCTGGATGTGTGTTCCCGCTGGCATGATTAGTAGGAGGATCAATGTTAATAACTGTTGAATCCTGGACCTCCTGAGACGAATCATTATAAGGTGTTGATCTTCGGCAAAGTCCTGATTGGTGACGCGTATATAGGTTATTGCCACCTTTCTTATTTTCCTCATCACGCTTGGCTTTTCGTTCCTCATGAAGCTTTTTTCTTTCATCAAAAGTGAGATGTCTTGTTTGGAAGAAGCCTCGTGGTGAAAGGTGTCCAGTCTCCTGACCAGCAGGACCTTTATCATGAACTCTCTGCCTAGCATTTTGATATTCCCCCTTGTGTTCATTCCAACGCTTGATTATGTCTAGACGTTCTTCTATACTGCATTCCTGGGCGTCTTCAAACCCTTGAGCTGTTCTGGCTGCGATGATATAATTAAGTGCGCTTGAACCGAAAAGTTTCCGTACTTCTTTATGAATACCCATAAATGTGTAACCAGGAAGTCCCCATATAGCTTAAAGATGTTAGAAATGCATGGAGAATATTGATAGAATCAAACTTACCAGCTCCCGGTTTGAGAACTACCCCAGCAATACCTTTTCCTATGCCTTTGATCAATCCAGCAGCCCCTTCCTTCTCTGCACCACGTAAAGGCTGTGTAACCAGACCAGTAATTCCATCAAACATTCCATAACCAAATTCCTTTCCAGCCGCCTTTAATCCACTCTGAAAATCGGTTACCTTTTCTTGAGGCCTAACCGTATCATCACCATATAATTTAGGTGCGTTGTGAAATCCTCGTGCCAAACCTAGTGTGAAATCCATAGGTGACTTCAAGCCCGCACCCACAATACGCGAAATACCCTTCCCGGCTCCTATAGCATTTTCAATAGTCAACTTAGAAGGATCAAATTCCTTAGGAGTTTCGCTGCCTGAATTATGGCGACTATGACAAGATTCCATGCCACCCCGCAGTACTTGCCGCATCGAATTTGTATGCTTGACAACAGGGCTCGTTGTATGTGACATGGAGCTCTGAGTAGTAGTTGGTGTTAAAGGAGTAGGTATATCATCCAAAGACCGTTGAGTGCTCTCATAAGAAGTTTTTGCTGATGATTCCGATGCTTGCAGCAGACTAGCGTCTACTGATCTGAGCGATTTTTCATCTAACAGCATATGATCTTGAGATCGATTCTGCACCGAAGATTTCGGTGTAGCAGAAGCAGAGTTTGAGGATGCTTTGGCAGCAGCATGAGCATCCTTTTCCCTCTTCACCTTCCTGAAAATTTCTATAGGAAAATCTGCTACACCCATACTGAGACTCGCAATAGTCCCTAGAAGTGCAGTTGCTCCTCCAGATATTGGATCCCATGGACCATCATCAGTCTCATATTCTTTTGAACGATATCTAATTTATTAGCCGCAGGTTCGATGATAAGATATGAGAAACAACTTACAATTTCAAATCTGCAAAGCTGATGAGATTCTCACTAGCAAGAACATTCGCCGCCAAAGCACTAAGTTTAGTCTGAGTACGCTTCACTCTCCAGACTGCCACTCTATGTGGTGCCAGCGAACATCTCAAATTGTCAACATCTAGATGATCATGAAAGCTTTTCCCACCCTCTTCAGTGCCTTTTTCCTCCTTGATTCTAGCTCCTAGCTCTTGTGCCTTCGCCAAAGTTTCAGGTTTGAGAGCATCAGTAATAGCTGCGGCAAGTTTATCAGCAGTAAGTTGTTTATAAGGAATTGGTAATGGACCAGCTCCAGCTCTAGCGGTCATGGCTCCCCAGAACGGTTGATCGCCGAAAAATGGTACGACCACAGTAGGCTTTCCTGTAGCGATACCAGCAGCAGTGGTTCCAGCACCGCCATGATGGACCACGCAAGATACGTGTTGGAAAAGCCAATCGTGTGGAACATTACCCAACATGAAAATCCCCTCAGGTACATCAAGTGCATCGCCACCAAGACCTCCCCATCCTTTGGAAACTAAAGCTCGGACACCAGTTTTCTTGACTGCTTCAAATATGAGACTAGTCATCGCATTAGGATCCTCAACGACAATAGATCCAAATCCAATATAAACAGGTGGTGGACCATCAGCGAGAAAAGCTGCTAAATCAGGTTCAGGGGTATATGAGGACGCTAAAGAAAGGAAATAAAATCCAGATATCGAGATATGCTTTCCCCAATCTTTTGGTTTTGGGATGAGTGCTGGTGACCAGCAATAAGTATATGGAACACGAAGGCGACTTAACATTCCAGGTGCCCAAATTAGACTAATGGGGTCAAGGCCAAGAGCCCTTTCTCTGAATCGATTAATTACATCCCCAAGTCCTTGCCAAGTCATCATTTCGACAAGTGCATAAGAAATGAAGTTAGTCATATTCACGTCCGCATTAGACGATTGAATATTTGCCAATGGATGAGGAAAAGACTGAGTGGGCGACCATGGCATCCTGTGTGAAAGTAAGCAAAGTAATACTATATTGATTCATAAAAACATACGTGAACATCATATGTAATGGTATACCCAATTTTTCCGCAATATGTACATGAGCAAAACTTGGAGGGTTAGCGATAATCGCATCCGCAACGAACGGCTTATCCGATGGATTAGTATCCATATTGATACCAGATCCGAGACCCAGAGATGATGGCGATCCAGATGTAATAGGAGCCGAACCTAAACCATCTCCAGCTTCGATACACGATCTCCAACAACCTAGGACAATTTCTTCCATACCCTTTCTTCTTTTACCAACATCACCGCTTTTCAACGAATCAATACCAGGCATCAGACCTGGGTTCTTTACCATGAACGCCATCAGTTCAGAGGGATCGCCACCAATGCTAAAAAATTCCAATCCATTTTCCTCGACAAACCCTTTGAACGTTGGATGTGTTGCTAGACGCACACGATGTCCATATGTAGATTTTAAAGTTTTGCCCAAAGCAACGAATGGCTGTACATCTCCCCGAGAGCCAACGACGTGTATAACCACATTTAGTTTTGGTGGTGGAGTCTGACCAGGCAATCCTCCCAGTGCAAGTGGTATATATCCTGGGGGTAGTGGAATCGCATCTTCCTGTGCATTAATAGAGAGCTGGTTTCGTAGGGCAGGAATAAGGAGGTCAGACAATTTGCGAGTTTTCTGATTGATATTTATATTGATTCGACCATCGTCCGAGACCTTGGCCCGGGTGTCAAATCCATCTTGACTGAGCTCTAGTTCGTTATGCTTGTTTCCATATGCGGGGGGAGGTTCTGTAGAGTCATAATGAGACTCAGCATTTGGGACATCTAAATGTAAAGGATGATGGGTACTGATTGAGGAGGCAATTAGTAGATATTCAGATTCGAAGGAAGAATATGTACGAACGACGATGTAGGAAGATTATCCACAGAAGGCCTCGCTGTCTCCTCCTGATGCCTAGAATGTCTTCTCTCATGTTGTGATAGGTCTTCATCCTCGATATTGCCATAAATGGCAGCTTCAGCTTGTGCGATTAGAGCAGAAGGTACAGTTTCACCTGTAGGCTTGTTCGATTCGGACGTCATATCGATATACTTCTACGCTGATGCAGTGAAGTGTATGGACTGCGGGGTGAGCGTCCCAGATTGATACTCCACAGCTTTCAACGAAGAGCTAAATATGTGTCGATAACAGATGTAAGGAAGCATGTGAATAGTTTCAGAATGCTTTCTTGCTGTATGTGATTACTTTGGAGCATTCTAGACGAGGCTACGAGATACCCCGCGGAGGCGCAGGGAGTAGCGATGACGATGGAGGTGGAGGTTTGGACGCAAGGAACCCCATAATATGTCTGAATTGGTCACACAATGCATAGATAAGAAATAGAAGAAATGGGTTGATATTCTTCAGTCTTGATAAAACTTCCCTTTCCATTTCCATTTTCCCACTTTCTCATCTTTCACGAACCCTCAAATCAACTTTCTCTAGCAGCTTTACCTACCTATAAACATCTCCATATCATAAATAAACCCTAATACTCTATCTATACGTAGAACCTACCAAGCCCGCAGCCATCAACGATATCCGTCAATATTCCGCTCAATGAAGCTCATACGCTGCCCTGAAAAGTAAATGGATCCTTGTGGGCTGGGGTTCTACAATCACTAATGAAATTGTACGTAGAGAACTCTTTGAGGCGAAGCATGGAGCTAAGTTGGAAATCAAGATGTGGCTGTTCGACGCTGCTGTGGCGGTGTTTTCCAAAATATCTTGATCAATATCTGGAATCACACAATGCTACATAGGGGAACTCAATATTTGACAATCACTGCCATATATAGAATATTGCACTATATTAAATTACGCTTTTAAATATGAAATATAGAAGCAAACTGAGATAATTGCGTTAAATCTCCTTCATTAAACCATAACTACGCCATATCCACCATCAAGAACATCACAAGCTGGCAGTAGAGCCCGAAAGTAAATGCCCATCAATTCTTTTGATCCCTTGAAGACTGCTTATAATACAAAGCACCGTAAATGCTCCCCTTTACTTCACTAAACATAAAACTTCCTAAGCATCATTTTTGACGCTTCCCCACAGCAAAGTCCATCGATCGCGCCCCTACGTTCTCTGCTCCAACGTTTTAAAGACCAAATTTAAGAAGAGAATTTGCGAGTGACCTTTGCGATAACTGAATATGATTGTTAGTAAGAAATCATAACTGGGAGCAGATTTGGGAATATCTTACTGTGAAGGGCAACAACGCTGAAGATGAAGACAAGAGAGAGAACCAAAACAACGACGGGGTCGACCTTTAATCCTGGGGATTCGTCGGTGTAAAGTCCTATTTTGATGTCAGTATGATTGTCAAACAGAAAATTATTACCACCATCATAATCTACAATCCTAAATCGCAGAACCACAACCCTACCCGTGCACCTGAGTAAAAGTCTCTCGCACAAGTGCTGGAAGAATTTTGACCACGGCTTGAGACTCTCTGCAGTGGCTTGTAATCCCAATGTTGAGATCAATTGGATCTGATGAACGAGAGAAGTATCGGAAGGCCCCGAACATACGCCACGCTTGAAGCTACAAATTATACTCCTCTCTAAAAGCATAACTATAACTCCAAACAAGACACCTTTTCCCTATCCCCTCACCCACATCTCCACCCACAGCCCATATTACACACTCTCCTCTTCTCTCGCTCCTCATTCCCACCTACGCATTATCATCCTCTATTCCCGTCTCTTATCTCCCATCTCGCATGTTCTCCATTCCAAAACCAAAAAATAAAACAATCACTCACTCAACATAGTACTCGAGCTACCACCCGCACCCGCCGCCCTCGTACTACTCGGCCTAGCATTTGCCACCTTATCCTTCTGATCTGCCGCCGCCCGTCTTCTAATCGCCGTCTTTGGGCCACCAGGAGGTGTTGGGCTAGAAGGTCTACCCGAGGCTGTTGCTACCGGGCTGTTGGCTGGGGATGCCGATCTTGGGGATGACTAGTTTGCGTAATTGTTAGTAGCTGTAGCTGTAGCTGTAGTAACGTATTGGTTCATGACGCGGTATTTTGAGATAGATAGGAATAAGGAAGGGAAGTTTTGCGGTATTGTGGGATAGTATAGTTATGATGCAAAAGAACTCAGCATAGAAGGACATACCATTATGAAGAAGAAAGTAGTGTAATTGATCTACAGGCGACTCTGAATAATTCAAAGGAGAGTTATGAAGTTTGAAATATCGAATTGAGTTAAGATGTAGAAGTAGAAAGTCGCAATGATAAGGTAGACCTGGCCTTTGGTGTGCTGGTCCAAAATTGTCAAAGGACAGATCCTAAAAGGAGCCCATGCTTAGTGCACCAAAAGGACGCTAAAAGAACTCCAGACCTGACTTTAGCCCCATCTCACTGGTAGGACAGACAATTTATTTTACTTCAACCCATTTTTTTCCATCCATTTATTAACCTCGAGAGAATGCAACTTTTTATTCACTTCACAACTAATAAATCATTGGGATCACCAGTGGATGCCTCAGAAATGCATCATAGTATTATTATTAAGTTTTTATTTACCCAGTAATTATTTACAAGAAAGGTGTAATTGGAGTGTAAGTAAAGTAAAGGTCGTATGGAATCGTTTCATTTTTGGTATTTGTTGATGAGTGCTATCTCCAAAGCATTCACAGAAGGTGGATAGTGTGTTTGATACATGAAGAGTCTGCGCCATGCGCAAAGCCCCGAGAAGTTTTTGATAAAGTAAAAGAGAAAAGAAAAAGGTGGACAAATGAAAAATGTCGGATATGCGTCTGCCCAAAGTGCCTCAGATCTTGCTGGGCAGGAAAAGAAATGTGACAGGCGGATCTGTCGTTGTAAGTTGTGCATGATTTGATGCTCGCTGGTCGCTGCTCCGCCCAGTTAATGTGATTTCCCCCATATCCCAAATCGTGGAAATTTTGACCCATCATCGTGACTTGGTCTCTCACCTTCTAACAACTTCCCCTCATCTCCCCCACTGCCATACCTTCCTGCACCAAGGCTGAGCCAGCACGCTGGCCCATTATATAGATTAAACAGTACATTCTACAACGAAACCAAAGGTATCTATCAACCGAACGCCTTTCGCTATGATATCAAGCGAATTGCATGAAGATTTTGCACCTTTTAGAGCGCAACATCAAGAACTAAACTGACATCTCGGACCTGCGAGCCGGCCAAGTCTTCGAGGACCGGGATTAGATCTAAAAGCTCATTGTCGTGAGCATCTGAGAACCAACTGCTGATAGGGACAGCATGTTGCGGGTGGAAGATATAAGATGTTGGAGAATTGTCAATGATAATGGTTTCTCTCAAATCGCGGCCAACTTGAGAAAGATCCTTGACGTAATTCCCTTGATGATTGTAACAACTTTCACGGAACAATCTATGATGGACGACGTGATGAATGTCAAGTTGGTCGAGAAGTGGATCACCATACTGTTAAATCTATTAGTAAAGATTCGCGAATATGAATAGTGTGCCGTCTATGCATACCTTAGAAACAGAAGCTGTGAAGACAACCACCTCGTAGAGCTCTCCGACACGTTTCATGAATTGATCAACACCGGGTCGCTTGATCACATACACATTATGGAATTGCCCTTCAATCTCCACAGGGATGGTGAAATCTGCTTGATGTAAGATCTAATAATCACAATGGTTAGCTTTCGAATATTGTTTACACGTGGCTGGGTGCTCACCTTAAAACTGCTATGTACCAAAGTCTCATCGAGATCAAGGACCAGACATTTTTTCCCTTTGAACCTTGGTGCAATTGGTGGTAAAAGCCATTGTTGCTTTTGCTCCAATGAATCCAACTCGATAACCTCTTCAGATGTTGGAATTTGAGGTACTGGTGGCGGAGGTGGAATAGTTTGCTGGCCAGTCATTGGCTCATCCTTTGGAATTGGTAATGGGGCCTCTTCAATTTCTGTAGTGCCTGGATCCAAGTTTGCCATCTTCTCGTCCCCTCCATCCTGTTGTCCCAGATCACCATCACCCGGGGAAACTATTCCTACTGCTGTTCCAGATTGCGCTGGAGCATCAATAGACACCGTTGGCTTTGTCATCTCAGGTTGTGTAGGTTCGGCTTCTACGACTGTGGGCAAATCTGGTAAAGGCTGGTCGCGTGCGTTCCCAATTGGACGGCTCTGTTCTTCGATTGCATTCGACGAAGAGGCGATGACTTCCGCGGTTCCCTGAGGGCTGATCGTATCATGCTTCTCATCTCCAGCTTCGACTTGCGGCACCTGTTGTTGTGGTTGCTGCACAGTTTCCTTCTCAACTAGTGGTACTGCGGGAGCACTATTTTGTTGTCCCATTTTGCTCGAGTCGGGTTGCTTAGCGGTAGTAGGACGACTCAAATTGAATTTGGATACTTTATTGGCTGGAACAGGTCCATCCAAAGAATTGGCGTGGTCCGGAGTACCGCAGCAGAGAAGTGAAAGAAAGCTCTTCTTCTTCTTTGGCTGACGAACTAAGGGTGCGTCGGGGACTGCAGGCTGCGAAGGACCTGAAGCGCCCGTAGGATGACCAGGTGATTTTATCGACATTTTGCTGCTTGCTGCACTCCCATTCCGCCTTCGCCCAAGAAAACTGCCCTTCGATTCCTTAGATCGCCCACCTATGCTCCCTCTTCCTTCACCCGCAGTCGCTCCGCTTAGACCTGTAGAAGTTGGCGAAGGTTGTATTTTGTTGGAAGATGATCTCGATGGAACTTTGAGCAGGTCGCTGTTCTTCTTGGAGGTTTCAGTCAATGCTTCGCCAGTTCTCCCTTGGTCCTTATCGATGTTTGTGGTTGAATTAAAAGCGTTGTCGGTATCTTCTGTCAAGGTATTTTGAGTTGTTGAGTGTTGTGTAGATGAGCTGGGTGGTTGGGAATCTGCGGTGACTAGAATTATTTGTTAGCAACGTATACTGGCATTACAGTAATCAGCGCATCTGAAGTCGGAACAATAAAAAAGTAGAGTTTGTGGGACAGAGAAGGTACATACAGTTGGAAGTGTCGAGCGCGGGTGGTTTAACTCCTTTCGTTCCTTCCAATGAAGTCGAGCGGCTAGGATCTTGCTCAGTCGGCTGAGCTACCTCATTACTCATAGAGGGCAATCTGGAATTTTATTAAGAGGCAACAATATTATCGAAAGACCAAATCAATGTTTACAAAGATCTATCGAAAGTAAGGACCTTTATCTTCGAAAGGCGTCGGATGATTCAGTTGATATCCCTAAACGCTATTTAATTAGTCTCTTTAGTCTCCTATCTAAGACTCTAAGGATCTTGAGGTTATCGCGCGATAAAAAAAACCCAAATGCGATGGTGGTTTTATAAGTATGAAAGTGAGGCGAGCATTGGGCGCAGTCGATTTTTGAGAATAGTTGGATTAAATTGAAGATATATGGGATGAAACTTACAATCAACAAATCTCGACGCTCCTGAAGGGGAGAAATTGAATGAACGACTTTTGGATGAGATTGGGCGAGATGAATGTCGATAATAGGATGGGACATTCAGGACCTTTAATTAGCGAGATTGGACTGCGCTAAGAAGCTTCAGCAGCTATAATAAATCAAATAAAATCAAGTCACTTTTTTTTTTTTACTTCACACTTCACTTCTTTTGTACCAGTGCTTGATAGAAAGGTAATGAAGGTAATCCGTTCTGGTGATGGTAGATCTAGAAAGAAGAGATGATTGAGATGATGAGATGATGATGCAGCGGATGACAGGCCCGAGAGTATTAGTTTTCTCAGTGAAATCAAACTCTTGCACTGGTATCCTTTTGGTATGCTTTTGTATGCTTTTGTATGCTTTCTGTATCCTTTCGGTGTCTAGAAATACAAGTAAATGGATGGGGGACCGGTAACGCTCTTTTGCCGTCTTATAAGATATAACCTGATAGCATTGGTAATGATCGTGGCAATTATTTTCGTAATTGAAAGGCTGTGGTATGGGACCTATGTATGGTGTGTGGTTTAGGTGCACCAATATGTATGTATATGTACTGTATAGGTCGGGAGGTGGAGAAACTGATGATGAGCGGAAAAGGAAGGATGGTTTGAATATCTTCCTCTAATCCGAAAGAATACCGGGAGTAAGGTATTTTACTGGTGATGATGGTAGTTGATAAAAATAAAATAAAAAATAGAAACAAAAATACAACAATACAACAATAAAAAAGAAGACCTGACCGTGGCTGTGATGAAGAGAGTACGGAGTAAAGATGGAGTTTTATCAGTGTGATACCAAATCAACCCAAGATGTACGAAAATAACGGTCTGGTAACGAGGGAGGTGATGGGGGGATAGGTAACGAAGCCAAATCTCATGGGAGTAAAATTAAGAAGCTGTTGATTCGATGGAAGCTTAAATCTTGGAACCTGCAGAAAGGGAAAAGATTGGGAGGGTCCATTCCCAATTCTACCAATTCTATATGAGGTAACTCACACAACAGGGCAATTGGCTCAAAATCCACGACCGGCATGATGCTATGGAGAATATGAAAATTATATGCTTACCCGTACCCAGGTATAAATTTATACTTTTCCGTGAGGCTTTCCAATCAAACCACTCACTGTCCCTACCTGGGTATCTTGAACTCGGATAACGCCTCAAAAGTAGCATGCATCCCAAGCATTCAAGCATTGCATTCATACATTGTTACTTACCTACTCCTCTACCTACTAGAAGGTTATCGAGGTTGAGGTGGTGCGTTCTATCGATAGTATAATCCATATATATCCCTCCCTCTGTCTTACTGTGTAACAATGCCATGGCCCTCTTACTTTCCACTTCCATTATTCTTTGATGTACGGTGGCTTTGTACAGCACCTACCTACCTGTTTACCTACCAACCTATCCATCTAGCTTAGTAAATGAGCACAACCTCCTCTGAATCAAGTTCTGGACCCCCCAAATTCAAAGTCTAATCATCCGTCCGGGACTTGGCTACTACTCTGTAACTTCATCAAAATGGATCATTTCAATCATAATCTTACCAGGGCCAAAATAAAATTAGGCGCCAAATTTTACCGCCCACAGACTAACCTATCAAACACGGGAACTCCCTTTTGTGAAGAATCCGTAATCAGACTAATAATTGGTCGGATGATTCCATTCGATGCTAATAGGTGCTAGTATAGGTACGATCTAGGTAGGCAAATAGGTAGCTAGCTTAGGTTACTAACTAGCAACTACTAAATACGGAGTAGCAGGTGTTTTAGTGTCATTACATAAACTTTGATCATCAATTGATCCCTCAACTTTTACAAAACTCGAGATCTTACATTACTATTACCACTTGCATACTTTAGATTTATTAATCCCCGAGGTCCTTGTCTAAACGAACAACGTACCAATATCCTTATGAGTATCTCATTTCCATTCAACATTGCGATCCTCAATGACTTCCGATATGGTCACAGAAAATCAAGGATTTTTCCCTCTTTGGAGGAATTGTCTTCATGTACCTTTTGCAGACAATCAGTCATGTTATCAATACTTACAGATGCCGTGCCTCGATCAAAGACACTGTAGCTCCTCTTTTATGATGCTAATGCGGATATCTCGTTGCACGTAGCCTGGACAGCCTGTGGTAACTTGTAAGCTCGTAGAAAAGTGCCCACCCCGAAGTTGTAGCCTATGTAGGTAGGAGCTATTAGACTCGGACATATATCCTAAACCGAAGCCTGGAAGAGCAAATGTTCCAAAGATGGTCGTAACCATGATACTTAAACAGGTCGGGTATGTCTATCCATGATGCCGACATTACTTCACGGACACAAGATTTCGTACTCTTCGTGGTCTTATGAAGAATGATCCTCGACTTTGCTAGGGACTCACTCCACTTCAGCGGTTATGCTATGACCTATCAACCCGGCCTAGCACTATGAAGCTTGAAGCTATCACCAAACCAGGATTTAACCTTTTTATGCCCAGGTGATATCCAGTTTAACTATCATTTTCCGCTGTCCAAGTTTCTCTTCCTTCCCTCTCCAACTTCAGTTCTCTCCAAGTCCAGTTGTTCTTCTGCCTATCACCAATCATCAAATCATAGCATTGATGATGGTCTCTTCGGGACCTGACTGGATCACCAGATGGAGATGTCCGGAGGGGATGGCTCTCCAGTCAGGGCCAGTCCAGGTTTTCTTCCCGTTCGCCCTATAATATTGGTGTAATATTAATAAATATCAGCCCAAGTACAGTACTTAGTAGACATCTTATCATAACAACCATTATCGATAGCAGTAAATGGTATCGCTCGACGCTTGGAGGCAGTGAGTATATTACTTATCAAAGTGCTATTTTGGTAAACAAGCATTATGGTGTAGTATTTGGGACATTTTTATTCGATTTAATCTATATTCTGAAATGTTCTAAATTTTCTTTTTTTCCCTTTTCCTTTTCCCTTTTTTTCTTTTCAAAACGATTGCGGGGAAGCGAGCTTGGAATTGCGGGTTTGTCCCTGCAGGTTCCAGCAGCCTCGGTTTACTTTCCTCTCCATTCACATGTCAACAATCGCAGCATTCATGATCATCGATCAGATCTCTAACCTGAGTATTAGCCATATGGATACATCATAATATTATCAGAACACACCATATAGCCATTCTTACTATCATCTTTGTATTGATATGACATAACAGTAGGTTCGCTGAATGGCCAGCGACTTATTCTCTCGTTGAACCCTTTGGGAATGCAACACCTTCAACTGCATACCTTACTCCAGCGCGAGAAATGAAGCCTAAGTAGCACCTCACTCGATATCGCTGAGTCTCGACTTCTACCAGAATACAGAAAATGGCTTCGCAGTCGACATTACGGTATTCCGATCCCATCGGCGCGCTCTATCAAAGATACGCGAATCTCATTCGTAGTCGAATCCAGGGAGTCTCGAAAGCAACAAAACTTCTGGCCACATTATTCCTTACCCTTTCTATCATATGCGGAGGTACTTTTGGTCATGGATGGTGGCAGAAACGAGCAGCAGAGAAAGAGCAAGGGAAAAGATTACATCGCCGGAATTCCGGGCTTAAGAATAAAGATGGATCGAGGGTGGTATTCGTACCATATAAAGATACAACTTCCAAAGTCACCATAAATCCTACGAAACCTTTGACTTTTGATGCTCATAGAAGGCTTTTCCTGAATCCACCTCGAGCTTCTGGACTCACGGATGGTCAAACTCCGCAGATTCCACCTCCGCAAACGAAGCCGGGCTTGAATTTGGCCTTTTTACATCAATTCCTGAGTCTTTTGAGTATAATGATACCGAGATGGTCAAGTAAAGAGACTGGTTTACTTGTGAGCCATGGTGTCTTTTTGTTGCTTCGAACATACCTGTCACTGGTTGTGGCACGATTGGATGGTGTGATTGTTCGAGATTTGGTTGCAGGTAATGGAAAAGCCTTCACTTGGGGCATCATAAAGGTAAGAGGCTAGAGTCCAGCATTCTCATATGGAGGATGTTACTGTTTTGTTCTTTTTTGTCTTCACCAACTCGTCTCCTTGCTGCTATTCAACTCAAATGGCTGACTGTTTAAAAGTGGTGTGGCATTGGAGGCTTGGCTTCTTACACGAATGCTATGATTAAATTCCTCCAATCCAAAGTCTCAATCGCTTTCCGTACACGCCTGACAAGATATATTCACGATTTGTACCTTAATGATAACCTCAACTACTACAAACTTTCAAATCTTGATGGTGGCGTTGGGCAAGGCGCGGATCAATTTATTACACAGGATCTGACTCTCTTCTGTGAATCGGCAGCTAGTCTATACTCATCGTTAGGTAAACCTTTCGTTGATCTATGTGTTTTCAACTATCAGTTATACCGATCCTTGGGACCATTGGCTTTGACTGGTTTAATGACAAATTACTTTTTGACGGCCTCGATACTTCGACGACTTTCACCACCATTTGGAAAATTGAAGGCCGTTGAAGGACGTAAAGAAGGAGATTTCCGAGGGCTTCATGCTCGCCTCATTGCAAATGCGGAAGAAGTAGCATTCTATGGAGGGGCCGATATGGAGAAGATTTTCTTAGATAAAGAGTTCAAAAGTCTCAAAAAGTGGATGGAAGGGATATACACCCTCAAAATCCGCTACAACATACTTGAAGATTTTGTTCTCAAGTACAGTTGGAGCGCATATGGCTATCTGCTGAGTTCGTTACCAGTATTTCTTCCCGCATGGGGTGGTCTTGGTGGAGTTCAGGAATTGGCCGACATTTCTGTGGTTGGTGGTCGAGAAAAAGGTCGGATGAGGGAGTTCATCACAAACAAAAGACTCATGTTATCATTAGCCGATGCTGGTGGTCGTATGATGTATTCAATCAAGGATCTTTCAGAATTAGCGGGATACACTAGTCGAGTCTATACGCTGATATCAACTCTTCATCGAGTTCATGCAAACGCATACTTTCCTCCTCGAAATGCCCAAGCTGAACTTTATTCTCTATCTGACGTACAAGGAACAATCCAGAAAGGTTTTGACGGTGTACGATTGGAGAATGTACCAGTGGTAGCCCCTTCAGTGTACCCTCATGGCGGAGAAGAGCTGATAGATTCTCTGTCCATGGTCGTTCACTCTGGAGAACATTTACTTGTGAGAACTTGCCCCTTTTCCTCTTCTCGAAATCGGAATTGCTAACAAACTAGATCTCCGGCTCAAACGGTGTAGGTAAAAGCGCCATCTCTCGTATCGTCGCTGGACTTTGGCCCGTCTACCGAGGCCTCGTCTCTCGACCTCGAACAACCGGCACAGATGGGATTATGTTCCTTCCCCAACGTCCATATCTTAGCGTCGGCACTCTACGTGATCAAGTCATTTATCCTGACGGTGAACTCGAAATGCGTTCCAAAGGCCGTCGCGACATCGAACTAAAACATATACTCGAAGAAGCACGTCTAGGCTACCTCCCCGATCGAGAAGGTGGATGGGACACGAGGAAAGAATGGAAAGATGTGCTAAGTGGAGGTGAAAAACAACGTATGGCTATCGCAAGATTACTATACCATGAACCAAGATATGCATTTATAGATGAAGGCACCAGTGCCGTATCAAGCGACGTTGAAGGTTTACTGTATGAAACCTGTAAAGGAAAAGGCATCACATTGATCACGATATCAACAAGAGCAAGTTTGAAGAGATATCATACTTTTAATCTCACACTAGGATTAGGAGATGAGGGTACGGAATGGGAATACGAGAGGATCGGGACGGAGAGGGAAAAAATGGGAGTAGAAAGGGAATTGCAGGAGTTGAGGGAGAGGATGGAGATGGAAAGGGCGTGGGAAGAAAGGATGAAGAAGATTGAGAGTGAATTAGAGGAGGTTTGGGTAGAGGGTGGTGAGAGGTTGGAGGGACCAAAGTATAGTGAGGTGGGGGTTGGAGATGAAGATGGACATGGAGATGAACATGAACATGGTGCTAAGGAGGAGGAAGGGAATGAAGCTGGAACTTTCGAGGTTGAAGTCAAAGACGGTGGGTTAGGGGTAGGGGTAGTAAATCATGAATAAATGAATGGATAAGGATTTACTGCACGAGATAGGATTCAAGATCTCTGTTTTCTGATGGATCATGACATGTAAGAAATACGAAGAATGAGTACTCCGTTAAGAGATGGATATGTGTGTACAAGGGCCACTTTTAGCAATTTATTTACTTTGTTTACCTATTTACCTATTTACTTATGTCACTATACTTTTATCAGAGGCATATATGTGTATAGTGAGTGAGGTGATGCGTAGCAATAGAATGGAAATGTTGAGATATGGTGTTGTGAGCATGGGAGGAGAGGAGGGGAAGGAGGGGTCAACAAAGTGAGTATCATAGATTCTTTGTGAAAGACCTCAGGACTTGCATAAATAGCGTCTCTCAAGCGAAGGGGAATTGGTAATATGTTGTAATGGGGAAGTTTGAATCAATTTGTTAGATTTATTATTAGGATGAACTTTAATTGTAATTGCATTTACGTCGTGCAGATAAATATCCTAGAGAAGTTGGGTAATGACTGGCGCTTTGAAGCATCGAAATACCTTCATAGCAAAGTAAATTTCACAAATACATGAATTCATGAATCGAAAACTGCACAAAAACCATTCATCATGTCAATATTGTTGTTTGCTACTCGTGATCCCATTCATTGAGCTTAAGCTAAAACACCTCTCCGAGATGCATGTAAAAACACCAATATTTGAAACCCCAACCCAGACTTATGCCACGAAACACTTAGTAGAAAGTTGATGGTCTCTTTGAGGCGAAGAGGTTGGCGGTCATAGATTTGGAAACACGATGAGGAAGTGGGAATTTGAGGTCCTTTTCGAGGAGTTGCTTGATGTATGGGCGCTTGACGTCTTCGGTTTTCTCGATCTCAACAACCTTGAGGATCTGTTTACAGAATCAGTAAATGTTGATTCGTTTCGTTAAGAGTAAAATCTAAACTTACATGGATCGACCTGAAACGGGAACGATGTCTAGCAGCCATATCTTGGTACAAAGCCTCAACAGCATCGGTTCTTGACATCTCACGGTACTCCTTGTACATGTTGTGAGTTCCGGAACGAGAATCATATCTGATCCAGATACCGAAGTTCTTGACCTTCATTGGGCGCTTCTCAGAGATCTGCAGAAGTAAAAATTAGAATTTGGGAACTTTTGGATATGTTACTGTGCTATCGCATACCTCGTTCAAGCTGACGATCTCTCCGTTTGCCTTCTTGACCTTTCTCAACTTCATCAAGAAGTACCAGAAACGAGACTTTGCAACAACGGTGTTTGGTGCAAAAATTCTCATGCGGTACAACTTTGGGGCTGGGTTTGCCTCGGATGGCAAATGGCGGCCAATGACCTGGTATTCTCTAAGGCGACCTAAAGGAAGGCAAGTTAGCTTCCAGATCTTCCAAGTCTCAGTCTCGAATCCATGCTGAGTCAACTGATAGGTCCAAAGGTGCAATTCATGGCGGGTATCATAATTTGGTGAGCTGGTAATTGTTGACTTCGTTGTATGTCGAGTCAATTTGGAACAGTCCGAAAATGCCAATCCTTCGTATCATGTAGAGAACAATCTGCATGTGATATTTCAACAAGCTGAATAGTGGTGCCTTAATCTTGGATTTTTCTTCGTGCCATTCGTAAATATTCCCGGCCCACATCTGCAACCAAACATCCATCCAGTTTACTCAATTCTTGTCGCTACAAATACTCAAATCGAACGCAGATTTCTGCCTGGTGCCAAACATTGCATTGCCGAGAGGTTCGCAAAGAAGAAGAGTCGAGGGATGCGCAATTGTCTTATCGATTGTTTCGAGGGTCCAGTCCATCGGATTGAAGAAAGAAATCTGTATCTTACCCATCTGGAGGGAATTAGCTGAGCTCGTTGATTTCTTCACAATAGGGAATAACGTACTGTGAAATTGTGTGGCCGTGGTTGTTGTCGTGATTGTCGCTGCAAATTTTGAAATTGATGGCTTCGCGCTTCTCCCAAATTGAAATTCTCGGTTGAAAATCAAAGCTAAGGGTTTCAATTTCTGGCAGCCCTAGAGATTATGGCCTTGCCGTATTTGGCCTCGCGCTTCAATGAGCACGGGAATTATGGAACAGCGGTGTGTCATTATCATATTTTTGATGATAATTATTGATTTGATCAGTATCAACTTCAAAGAAAGAGATGAATGATGAATGAAATTCATTGAAAGTTGTTTTATATGACAGTACTTCGGCGCCTCATGGATATAGCAATTGTGATAGCATAACAATTCATTTCTCGTTCTACGATTTCCTTTACATAGATTCATGATACCCTAGTCAGCATTTTGAAGATTTTCCGTTTTTCTCCTCTTCACAACAATCAAACTGAAAAGCATCAAACCAGCTTACTGTTTCCTTCCACGACATAGGAAAATTCATAGCTACTTACAAGAGGTGAAAATTCTCGGAAATTGAAGATGGATCCATTTCTGAAAGAGTTCAAGGCTGCATACAATGAAGGGAATGGCTACAATCTATCCATGACCCTTCACCCTGCCGCCCCTGCCTCAAATCCAAACAGACTTAAAGATTTCTACCGAAGTACAAATTTCGAACATGTCAAGAAGGATATTGACTATCGACTCCTTTATGATGATCGATCTCCATTGAATTGTCCAATAGAAGAGGCCAGAGCGTGGTCGGACGTTTGCTGCGCGTTTTGGAAATTTATTGGATTGATGTACAATGCAGAGGTTGCTCCCGAAGACAATTCAAAGGTACGATTTTTAATATTTCCGATGATTGCTGGGCACAACACATGTCACTATTGCTTAATCAAAAGTGCCGGTCAAACACGTGACTGTGTTGCATGCAAAAACTCTTTCCGCATTTACCAGACTTGTCATCTTCATAGCCAAAAAATCAGCTAACAAAAGGTTAGGATGCATGGACGAAGGTATATGAATCATGGAAAGAAGTAACAAACACCCTTCATCGTGGTTACAGTGCCTACGGGTTCGAAGCTTGGACAGTACCTTGCTTATACGTAGCTGGCAAATATTTGCGAATCTTTGCTATCAAGGCTGATGAGGCAACTGGTACCGTGATGAACGCTGCTATGAATTACCAGGATGACTTAAACCCAGAGTCAGAAAAGAATGAAAAACTGGAAGATGCAGCCCGACAACTCAACCGCATATTCACCTTGTGCCTCAGTGACCGAGCATCCCTTGAAGAGTCTAGAAAATGGGCTACTTACAATATAATCAATTTATTGTTCAAGACTTATTTCAAGCTAAACTCTATTGGATTGTCGAGAAACATTCTCAACGCGATTCAGGCATATAGAGGTGATATGCCTAGCCTTGAATCCTTCCCAATGTCTCATCAAGTGACGTTCAAATATTATTGTGGAGTCATATACTTTCTCGAGGAACATTACGAGGAAGTGAGTTCATTCAATCACAACGTCTCATCATGCGGTTTACTAATTTGTTTTAGGCAGAAAAATATCTCACCGAAGCATGGAAACTATGTCACAAGAGTGCTGTTAAAAACAAGGAGTATGTTTACCTCCATATATCAGCATCAAATTCCCACTAACCACAATAACCAGGCTCATTCTTACATATCTAATTCCCTGTCATCTCCTAACAACTCACACTCTTCCTACACCAGCCCTCCTTCAGCCGTACCCCAAACTCCAAAAACTCTTTGCTCCTCTCTCACGTTGCATCAAGAAAGGCGATCTCGCCGGATTTGACGCCGCACTCCTAGCCGGTGAAAATGAATTCGTCAAACGTCGTATTTACCTAACTCTAGAACGTGGCCGCGACATCGCTTTACGCAACCTTCTACGTAAAGTCTTTATCGCAGGTGGTTACGAAGAAGCCAAGGAACCAACCGCTGCACCAGTAAGAAAGACGAGAATTCCAGTTGATGAATTTGCTGCTGCGATTAGTATTGGGAGTAAAGAGACAATGGAAAATGATGAGGTGGAATGTTTACTTGCTAATATGATTTATAAGGTAAATTACATGTTTTATTTCTCATTTGGAGTGAGTCAAAAATGCTAACAGTTACTATTTAGAGCTTGATGAAAGGTTACATAGCACGAGAACGAGGAATCGTGGTATTGAGCAAGGGTGGTGCATTTCCTGGAACAGGCGTATAAATGTTTATTAAAAAAGAGGTAGTACAATGATATTGATTATATTATTTCCATCAAGGTAGTATATTGTGGGTATCATCTTAGTTCGGCGATATTCTCAATAAATACATATACGAGATTGGTACCAAGGACGTTTGCCTCGTAGGCAACATTCATTTCACATGCACTTAGTTCTATTCGGCCCATTTTAGATTCAGTCGCCCACCATTTAAACATTGATTGACTCAGTATTCAGATGATCGATTCATTATTATCTCTCATAGTTCATCTATTCATTTACTTGTATTACAAGTGTATATCGAACAACAAACTAGGTATCCCATTACCAAACTACAAAACAAACTAGAAAACAAATCCTTAATATATTAAGTCAATTTGAATTCCATCCATCGATGCATCCATCCTCATTCTCCTTTCTTCTCACTATTCCCCAACTAATTAACTAGCCAATTTCTTGATTCCTTAGTTTCTTAATATTAACCCCTTACTCCTGTAGTTTCTACAAACTCCCTTCCTTTTTTCATCCACTACTTCATCTATTTCCTCCTTAGCCTACATATTCACCTCTTCCCTATTTCTCCCTTTCCTCCACTTCCCTCATTTTATACTACAACGGAAAAAAGTAAGAAAATATTAAGCTTTTTTACCTACTTACATGGTATAGTATCGTATCGTATAGTATCTGTATTTATATCTATAATCTTCTATTCGATAATTCATTAATTAGATGGGGTTGAGGGAGAGGGAGAGGATGTAAGAAGATGATATGACAATAGGAAATAGCATTATGAGAGGATGAGAATGATGAGAACGAGAGCAAGAATAAATAATAAATATTACATTCCATTCCATTCATCCTAACCTATTCATCCAAAACTATGTCATCCATCATCGTGTTGGTTCATTAATCCATCAATCAATTCATCCATCCATTCAATTTAATATAATAACAATTCATTTCACCTTCCCAATTCCAATTCCCATCCCTAGAACTTTCCCTAGAACTCTCCTTTCTTTCTCTCCTAAGAATAAAAACGCAGAAAGAACCCTCCAAATTCCCAATCTTCAACTAAAAATAAAAATCAAGAAATAACCCAATCATGAAACCATTTAACGCAAGAATCATAACTATACATGTGAAGCTGAAGCTAAAGTTTGCTTCTCTTTTCCATCCATTTTTATCCCATCCCATCCCTTCATATTGCGATCGTCAACTTGATATCGTTTTCTGGTCCCAGATAGAAAAGGAGAAAAGTTTAAACTCCAAAAATATTAAAGAAACAGAAGAGAGAGAAAAGATAAAGGTAGAGGTAAAGGTAAAGGTAAAGGTAAAGGTAAAGGTAAAGGTAAAGGTAAAGGTAAAGGTAAAGGTAAAGGTAAAATTAAGGTCAAATCCCAAGCGAGGATAAAATGTTGAGGTGGTGAAGATGATGATGGTAGAGAAGAAAAACAAATTTAATGCCTGGTGGTATCAAAAGAAAGAAAAGGAAGTTAATGTGTAATTTTTGTGGTGAGGGGTAAATGGAGTAAGTGGTGCGTGATAAAATCTAATTCTGTGATTAGATTCGAGTCGACTTGAGACGCAGACCGAATTTGTGTGAGAATTTGGGAAATTAAGACGCTTAAGTTGGTGAGTGAAAGTAGAGAAGTGAATCAACTGGATTGGGAAGAAGTTGATAGAAAAAGAGATACTCGAGGAAAATTGTCGTGTCATGAAGAGAAGCTCGCAAAGACCCTGAAGTATTGAGTTGAGATGAGTTGAGTTGAGAATTGCTCGTCTTCTGCTCCATTTTTCAATGAGTCCTGAAACTTTTTGGAGAAGCTCTATTCTCATAGTTAGCCATCATTCATACATGATACCATACAATAAAAGGATATAAAAAACTTACGCAATAACATCATCGACATGATTAGCTAGCGCGACAAATAAATCAAAAAATAAAGGTGATCCTCCCTGCAACATCTCCAATTGCATCGTTCCACTTCGTTTGAACGTGCTTCTATTTTTGATGATAAGAGCCAGGTAATGAGCTCTTAATTTCGAATCTGTATCCGGTGTATTTGCATATGCGTAGCGAGCTGATGAGAGAATGGTGCTGCATTGAATACCGGATTCTTTTGCACATCCGTTAGCCTTGATACGATAGGGGATATATGAATAAACTTATGACAAAGTACATACGAAGACCTTGTTTCCTCAATGCCACAAGTTTAAGTTCTTCCAAACCATATTTTTCCGCTGCACAATAAACAACAGTATCTTTCAATAATTCTCCCTCAAGAGAATGATGATGAATAGTCGACTCCCTTCCTTCTCCATCGTCACCTTCCAACTCCCAAGTATTTTTGCGTTGGTTATGCATGAGTCGCGGATAGTAATCTCCTTTGTATAAGTATTCGAGAACGGAGGAGAAGATCTCGGGTTCTTCGTCTGGAAGTGAGATGCGTTTGTTGGTTGTTTCCATATATTGATTTCGACAGACGGATTTAAAGTAGGGAGATAGACAGAGTACATCTTCGTGTCCCACGAAGAGACGTTGATCGCGGCCGACGACCATGGTTATTATGGAGGAGGTTAATGTGCTAGATATGAGTTAGCTATTATGATAATAAAGGTGATGTGTACAACATACTTCGGAGAAGGAATTTCTTCGGTCGGAGGTTTACGAGTAGTTCTCTCATGACGATGTTTTGATACTGCATGCTCCCTGAATGAAGATTTTCCTTTATGACGACGATTTCTAGAAAAACTCTCTGTTGTTTGTGATTTATTGAGACTTCTCGTAAACATTCTCGGTCGCTGAAATGAAGCCTGTGAGGAATTTGATAGAAAATTACGACGTTGAATTCTTCCACACAAATACAAAATGAATGTTAGTAATATCTATCGGTGAATTATTCGACCTGATGAATTGATCGAGTCTCATGAATTGAAAGAAAGAATTGTTCTGGAGAGAAGTGGGTGGTTAGTAGATATATGTATTCCAGGCAAAACGAGCTGACGCGCCTTTTGGAGCCGGGGAGACGCGATTAGAGTACGAACATCTCACCAAAGCAGGTGACTCTCAATCTAATGGCCTTAATTCTGCCTCATTTGGTCTGATTGTGCAATTGGAAGCCGTTTTCGCCCCAATAAAGTCAGGGAAGCTGCATGAGAGGTTCAAGCGAATTTTCGGTGGCTTGGAAGGGGAAGTAAGGATTAACGGGGCTTTCTATTAGGTACCAATCCAATGAACATCATCTCGCCGTTTAATGACTCCCATCACAGCAAACGGAGTCATATAGGTATTAATTCGGGCTTCAATCACTACATGTAAGCCCTAAATCTGGATATATACAGCCTTGTAACACTGAAGTCTGAATAAAGCAGCATTCTACCTATTCCCAATACATCAGATATCGATAGAGACGTTATTTATATCCTTGTTTCCCCGGACCAGTCATCGCTAACACAAGTATGCCAAGGGTTAAGATACCACCTCGAAAAAGTTGGCCGTGATAAAAAAAGAAAATAGGGCTGTTGAATTTTGAAATCTTTCTAAATGGGTTCTGCTGGAAGTCATAAAGTTTACCAAATTCAATTGATCTTTATCTATTCTACACTGGTAGGATAATTCATTTCTCGAAGTTGAACGAGCAAATTAGCATAAAAAATTCATCGTGGGAGATATTGATGAATGGTGAAAAAAGTTGAAGCTTTGGAGGAATGTATGCAAGGAGATGGATGCAGTAACCTTGGAAGCTGTAAAGCACATGCAAAGCTAAATCTTACTTTGTGTGACCCGATTGTTCGGAATTGCCTGTATAGAATATATGAAACTTGTGAGGGTGCGGGGGAGATATTCTATATTTACAAGGCCGGGGAGGGTGAAGCAATGAGTATGGAAAAGGGGGCAAAGGATAATACAGAGGATGGAAGAAAGGTATGGAAAGAAACGCCGTCTCGTCTCTCAAAGACGGTTCGCTTCGAGATGAGACGAAATATATGCCGTGATATGTCACATCAGTAACTGTGCTACTCTGTTGCCTCCCGATTCTCGGTCAGTTTCACTACATCATATTTAACATAGGTATGTTTCTTATATTATCACAAACTACCTTTTAATTCCATCTCGATCTAAACCAAAATCCCCTATATAGCCTCCGCAATAATCGTACTTCCACCTCCACGAACCAAAACCTCATTATGCAATGCGCTCTGAACAACTTCTCGTCTTACCTCCAACCCAAGATCCAAACACCTCTTCTCTAGTAATTCCCCATGAGATGCCGGTACCAACTCGTCTTTCCCAGCTTGCAAAATCAGAATCTGCGGTGCTTTTAATCCAGATCTTTCAGTGCGTTCATGTAATTTGCCTAGAGCTTTCCAACTATCAAGATGGTTTCTTAGAAATGGGTGAAGATGTCGATATGGAAGCCATTTTTGCGGATAAAGTGTTTCTAGCATTGCTTTACTGTGCCGAACTGGTTAATCTCAGACGTACAAAATTTCCGAGTGATAAAATACTTACATGCCCAGAAATGGTGTCTCCAGAATCAATTTATGTAAACGCAACTCATCTGAAAATATTCCATCTTTTGCTGCCAGACCAGTGGCAACTCCCGCCCCAATACTTTGACCCCAAAGAATAATCTCACATCCGTCTGAGTCTGGTCGTGATTCTAAATCTTTCTTAACCCATTGCATAGTAGCTTCTGCATCCATCATAATACCCTTTTCTGATGGTCTACCTCGAGATGTCCAATATCCTCTATAGCTGCAACATACGAATACATATTGCGCAAGACCAAGATGAGCAGATCGTGACTTTTTCACATTTCGCGGCACACTAGAGAGAAATGGAAGTCTTGGTGGTAATGATGCTGCATTTCCTGCACTTATGTGAATACTCATAATTGCAAACCAAGAAAGAAGAGAGCAATAACCTTGAAAGTATAAAATATAGACTATCCGTCGTCTCTTCTCAATCTTGACAGCAGTAGATACTTCTGCAACACATAGACTGATCGACGTACTATCTATAGACTTTATCTTCTCTTCCCTCCATTTTATACCCAGACATTCTTTTTCATAATTCGCTATGGTTTCTTGTCGGGAATTTGGAGGTAATCCAGGCTATGTTTACTGAATGAGATATGTAGGATGGGAACTTGTGAGAGTGCTCACCATGTAGATAATTTTATTCTGAAATGTTACCATCATAAAACACTTCCCTACCTCGACTCAGTATGAACATTGTTTGAGCACCAATGACGACAATAAGAGATAGCAAGGCTCGCTGCGGCACTCATACGGAAAAGTGTAAACAATCCTTCAACAGGGATTTTATTTTCAAAAAGTACTGAACTTTCAATACTTTCATATGATGCAAAATCATCGATTCTCTAAAGAGGAGAAGAGAAGCATAGAATCCTACTCACAACTCCACATCGCAATCCCTAGACCTAAAAAATACATAGGTGGGATAAGAAACATGGGCACCTCAAAGAATGCACGACGTTGATGTTGTCCATATCCATGTCGCGGCTTTCGTAAAATACACCTTGCCCTCGCCCGAAACATTGTGACTCAATGTTTTATTCGATATTCGATGATTCTCTGAGTCATATGATTTTTCATGGACTATTAAAGCCTCTCACTCGCATTGCAGTTATTGTTGTCGTTAATTTGTACAGATTGAACACGATCAATCAAAGGTTGGCCATTGACTAGCCACATATCAAAGCTCGCTCCAGGGCCACACTTTTCAGAACCACTCAACGGGCGTCATTGTCAGGCTATTGTGACCGAAATTGAAACCCGAACTTCACGCAACCATCTCTTCAAAGTCACATTAGAAATTCCAAGATCACATGAACGAAATTCTAAATATTAATAAATTGACAAAAGAAGTATTCTGAAGTTTCTAATCACTATCAAAAACGAGAGTAGTAACACTCCAAAAATCAGCAAATATTCGAAGTTATAAGAAGTCTCTCGATACCAATTCCGGCCACCAGAACCAGAAACAAATTTCTGGCGTCCCCGTGCGACAAAACAAACAAACAAATAAATATAACCTTACCCCTCCATACCAGCGACAAATATTATTCTAAAGAACACACCACAGCACGCTTCACCAAACAAACGAAATACAAACCATCACCATGTCGAGCAAAGATGATAAAACGGTGGCCAATCTCTCACATGTCTCTATTAATGGGGATGACGTCGAAGGACATGATGAATCTATCGCACCGCGCAGCGACAGTGGGTGGGATGGAAAACTACGTATAGAGAAAGAGGGTGGCAAGAAGTTAGAGCTTGTCAATCCGGAAGCTTTATCTGATCCCGAGTATTCAGACGAGGAGAATGTTGTTCCCGGGGAAATTATAAATGCAGATGAAGGTACATACACACCTCTCTCGTTCCTTCTCCCTACCCAAAGATATCCATCTAGCTAGTACTATATTAACATGACCCAGATCTCCTCGACGACTATCCCCTCGACACCGAAGAAATAGACCTAGTACACGCACGCATTTCCTCCATCCCATCACTCCGACTCTCCCGCTTCTCCCAAGTCCAACGACTTTGTCTCCGTCAAAACACCATCACCACAATCGAAGAACTCTCCTCTCTCGCATCTACCCTCACCGAACTCGATCTATACGATAACCTAATCGCGCACATCCGCGGACTAGAAGATCTTATCCACCTCACCTCGCTCGATCTCTCCTTCAACAAACTGAAACACATCAAGAAGATAAATCACCTAACCTCCCTCACGGATCTCTACTTCGTCCAGAACAAAATAACCACGATCGAAAACCTAGAAGGTCTAACCAAACTTCGCAATTTAGAACTAGCCGCGAATAGAATCCGCGAGATTCAAGGTTTAGAAACATTAGTAGGACTAGAAGAATTATGGCTCGGCAAGAACAAAATCACCGAGATGAAAAATCTCGACGCCTTGCAAAATCTCAAGATCCTAAGTATCCAGAGTAATCGCATCCGCTCCATAAGCGGCCTAGATAAACTTTCTTCGCTAGAAGAACTATACATCTCGCATAATGCGTTAACGTCACTCGAGGGTCTGGAATCATCTTCTCAACTTCGCGTCTTGGATATTTCGAATAATCAAATTTCGTCTCTGGCGGGCGTCAAGGGGTTAAAGGAGTTGGAGGAGATATGGGCGAGTTATAATCAAATTGCGGATTTTAATGATGTGGAAGAGAATTTGAGAGATAAGGAGAAGTTGACTACGGTTTATTTTGAGGGGAATCCTTTGCAGTTGAGGGCTCCGGCTTTGTATAGGAATAAGGTGCGCTTGACGTTGCCGCAGCTTATGCAGATTGATGCTAGTAAGTTTACTTCTTTTTTGTCGTAAGTATTGGTATCGTTTTTTGACTAAAAATATGACAGCTTTTGTTAGGGTTTCGTAGAGCACGGTTTATGCAGTGAGAGGGTCGGCATTTGGAAATAGGAAGTGGTCAGAAGGGTAGACATCCATGTGCGCACATAGCACGAAGACATTATAGCATTGCAATGGAGTTCTTGGTGGGAATTGGATGGGTTTCATGGAAATCACAGCATATACATGGCAATATTAAATGTTGCATTGCAAAGTGGATGGGAGACTGTACTACGGATGTTACGATTGTTTTTGTTCAACACGTTGAATATCTAGATATCATCTCAAGTAATAAAGCGAAACGAAAACGTAGTAAACCTTGTCCTCAACCTCTATCATCTTTATAATGCTTATGCGAAAATGTGTAATGTTCCGAGATACTAAGAAGTAAATTGTTAGTTAAGGGGTATTCGTTAAAACGTCTAAAAATTCAAACATCAGGTTCGAAGGAAGAATTAAACTCACATCAGTAGGGTTGTTAAATCTCAAATTGCGGTCCAATTTAGAAATTGATTCTAAATCTGCCTTCTCCAAATCGAAATCGGTAACGTGTAAGTTTTGCTCCAGACGGGCTTGGTTGTTGGATTTGGGAATGACGGCGAGGCCTCGTTGGGTTGCCCAGCTATGGGGAGTTAGTATTGGGTTAGAGGATAGGGACATGGGATACTCAGATGGGAAGGGAACGTACCGTAGTAAAACTTGAGCGGGAGTCTTCTTGGTCTTCTCGGCAATCTTTAGGATATCTGGGTGCTCGAAGAGTGGAGGGGTGGTTTGGGCGTTATCCCAGCCAAGCTCGATGAATGATTGTGGTCCGAATGATGAGCTGGATTTTTATATCAGTATACTGGTATGTTTAAAGCAGTCTTCAAAGAAAAAGGAAAAACTCACTAAGCAGTAACCTTAATACCCTCACTCTCAGCCAACTTCAACAAAGTATTTTGAACCAAATATGGATGATGTTCAATCTGCAAAGTAGCAGGTCTAACCCTCGCATACCTCAACAAATCGATCAACAACGCGCCCTGGAAATTGCTAACACCGATACTCTTTGCCAAACCATCATCAACCAACTTCTCCATCGCCTGCCACGTCTCCTGAATACTCGCCTTACTCTGCTGCACATCCCCTTCCTTATCGCTGTATTGCCATCCGGGTGGATAACGCACAGATGGATCTACATAGCGCAGCGCAACGGGGAAATGCACAATATACAGATCGAAATAATCAATGCCCCAATCGGCAAGTTGTTTGCGCGCAATGGGTCCCACGCGCTCTTGGTCGTGGAAACTGTTCCACAGTTTCGAGACGATGAATAGGTCTTCGCGTTTTACGAGGCCTTCTTTGATGGCGCGGGCTACACCTTGTCCGGCTTCGACTTCGTTGCCGTAGTCTAGGGGGTGGGTTAGTCGTTTGTTTTGTTTTGTTAGGAAGGAGAGGGGGGAGGGGGTTAGATAATGGAATGAGAGGGATATTTACCGCATGCTCCGTCAAATAGACGATATCCAGTCTTAATGGCGTTGTATACTGTATCGGCGCAAGTAGCATTGTCGACTTTCCATAAGCCGAAACCAACTTGTGGCATCTCATATCCGGAGTTGAGTTTGAGGGTTGGGGAAGCCATGATTGATGTTTTGTGTGTGTGTGAGTGTATAGAGAGTATTGAGAGAGAGAATTTGAAAATGAAGAGATGTGAGAAGTAAGAGAATGGGTAAAAAGTCTTAGATTCTATGATGAAGTGTTCTTTTTCCCTCTGGAGAGCGGGGTTGATTGAGTGAATATTGGGAAGGTGGGATGGTGGGGGTGGAGGTGGGGCAATTCTTGGGTTTCTAATGGGATTCTGCGAACCTTGAGAAGCTCATGGAAAGTTTGATGTTGGATCTAGAGTTCAGAGTCACAATTTCTTGGGTTTCTTCCATCAATTCTTTCACTCTATGATATAAACTCGAGTATAAAATACATATTAACATTGTACCTACTACTTGCCCTCTATCACTCTCCTCAAAATGTAACCCCGTATACCATCACATGCCACTTACTACCAACTAGATCCCATCTCATCCTCTCATCTCATCCTACCAAGCTGATCTAGGATAAACCTCCTACACATCTCCCATAAACTCCCAAACCCATCTTCTTCGCTTTCATAATTACAACCATACACTTACCACGCATTTAAATTTATACTCATCCCATTTCAAAAACCAGCCCCGCTTTGAGGCTGAATACGAGAACCACAAATTATCATTTAGCCTAAAAGGTAATTATCGGAAAATTGTCCATTGTTCCGGGGTAAAATTGGGGAGGGAGTGTGATCTGTTGGGATTTTTTCGATTTTTTTAGATGTTTTGGAGAAAAAAAAAAGATCCTATTTAGCATGCCTATTTAGCATGAATGCATTTTTGTTATGTATTTCCAAGGCAAGGGGCCGCCAGAAATTTAACGAGCTTAGGCTCTTGCTGCTTTACAGACGCTGTGCGATGACATTCAGCCCAAGAACAACGTTGCTTGTACATCGATCTTCAACGCTGCATTTCTATAATACCCTACTCACGGATTAGAATGCAACCAATGCGCGCTCGTGCACTTCGTCTTCGTCGTCCAGTCCTGAATTCTCTGCAAATTCCATCCTGAGATATACCGGTGCGCTCCTTCTGTATCTGGCACGCGCTTCCTGCCAACCCGGATGTTGTGTGATAGGGCACATGTGGTTCCGTTGACGACAAACTGAAAGCACAGGTTGTCCGCTTCACAGGCTGCTTCACACTGCTCAAAGGATACGAAAGCGCCTTTCTTGGTACCTTTAACATGGTGAAATATTTTCCACCCGTCGTCTGTATTGTCCCAATCATTCATTCTGTGAACTAGTTGCGAAGCGACGTACTCAAACAAATCTCTAAATAGAAAGGGTTGCTATATGATAAGTATACTTAGTACGGTATTGATGTTAAATGCAGAGAATCAGGAGACAATATGCGAAGGGGTCCGAATATAAATTGATACCATACCATGCTCATTGCTCTGGATTTCCAGTTCTCGACCCATCGCCATAGATCTTCCATGTCTGTCCCAGTGACGTGGTGCAAGGAAATTACCGGCTCACACCACATCTCGGGCCCAAAATTGATCGTCACTGGTGGATCTCCGTTAAACAAAGGCCAATACCCTTTGATTTCGATGCCTTTCCGCTTCAGCGCCACCGACAAAGCCTCATCACCACAGCACAGCGCGGTCGTGTTTACGCCATACTGGCTATACATTAACTCCTCGTCGCCACCCCGGCCAGGCATATTAAGTGTCTCCAAGGCCTTGTACGAGAATACATAACCGCTCCCACCATGCGCAAACGGGGGTGTAGGGCCCCAAACCGGACTCCCCATATACATATTTTTTAAAGGGTTTAAATGCTCCAGCAAGGCAAGCAGATTATCCCATTCGATAAAAGTATCCGTATCAATAAAAAAATACCACTTCCGCCTCCACAGCGCACTCCTCTCGGCCCCCAACATCTTCCAAATCATACGCTTAATAGCCATATTCTTATATCTCGCCAACTTCTGCCCTCCCTCCAGTTCGTGCGTATCCCTCCCTTCCCGCCGATACATCTGCAACTCATCATAAAACGCAAATTCTGGATACTCCCCACGTTCCCGCATCGAAACATCCGCTAGCGCATCACGTATCCGAAAAGCCCCGGCCTCCTCCTCCAAATCCGAGAATATCAAAATATTCTCAGCCGGAATACCAGACAGTATCGTCGCAAGCTGATACTGCAGTCTGTCCTTTGGCTCGGAACCGCCCGTCTCTATAACGATTTGCACGTCATGCGCAATTTTTGCACGTGATGCGGCGCATGCGCTGCTGAAGGGGGAGAGCCTGTAGCAGCTGTGATCCCAGGGCCAGGTGTCGTACCGTCGTGCCAGCAAGATTTCACGGAGCTGGAATTTGTGCGCGAGAAATAAGATTAGACATGTGCATATGGTAGCTTTGAAGAGCCGCTGCCTCCAGATGCGAGACGCGTAGCGAACCATGGTATGGCACTACTACTGGAGTTCTGCAATGGTGGCAGTATGGTAGGTAATATTGGTGGCAGTCGGTATATATTGTCACAACTGTCGCCGCTGATATTTTGTAGACGTTCTTATTTTTGATGTAGCGTTGTACATACAGTCTATCATCCATCCCTTTTATAAAGGAGCGCCTGAAAATGGCGATACCACATTTTTCAAAAGTGGAATATTATCATTTCAAATTCAGCCACCCAACAGTTATTGGGAAAGGCGCCACTAAGCCATTATACATATTGCTTAAGGCTTAAAAGCCTTATTCTTAGGCTGTGCAAAAATAACCTGCAACCAGTGGGGACTCTCAGATAATCCACCTTGCGGGTTATCTATTAGAGCTATTAGCTACCCCTAGGATACCCATTAGACTTTCAGAATAACCTGCCCCACGGGTTACTTGCAAGTTGATGGGTATCTGCAAATTAATGAATTATTATTGGCTATAATCCATAGTTTAAGTGGATTGTGGATTTCACAAATAACCCGTGAAATATATACCCATTCGGATTTCCCAATTAATACCCGCTCTGCTGACGGGTAACTCGCGGGTCCCCTGCTAGACTAATAACCTGCCCTGTGGAGCCCTGTTGTACAGTCTACTTATTCCTTTTCCCTTGTTACTTGCTATCGATCAAGTAGATGTCGATGATAAAATTTACGCCTCAGCCCCGCAGGTACAACTAGAACTATTTGATGGGGTGGGCATAGCACAACGGTCGTTTACCCGTATCATTTCAAAATTCACATAGGTAAGTACTCGTGCGGCCGAAAAGTATGCAGCTCCGGAGCTAGAAGCACGTTCCACAAAGTGGTAAACTACAAGAGGAATAACCTGGTTTATTTAGCGTCGGAGCTCATATTTTCTGGCAGGTAACTAAGTTAAGTGAGATATCGTTAAGAAAGCCCCTGCGAGGTTTCTTCTTCTCCAATTACATTAGAGGTATTTAGCTTGTCAAGAAACTAGCTATCTCTAGTATTAGGTAAAAGGGTTGGTTTATCTTTATAGAAATGACTAGAATGATTGTTACTTTATCTTTTTCGGAGATAGCTAACTTCATATCTATAAGAAATGAACTTGATAACTGAGAAATTCTGTTTCTTATATCCTACCTATAAGAAGTTTTTAGCGTAGATATAAATAGAATCAAAATCTCCATTTGATTTAAGCGAAGCTATTCTGACCATTCAAAGGCCACACTAAAATCATATTTAAGCGGGCTAGGGCATAGAAGCATGTGGTATTGGTGTTGGATGGTGTATTGAAAGGATAACAGTAGATTGGTTAATTAATTAATTATTTTATTAATTATATTATAAAAAGAGGGTCCTATTTATATTGAAGGTAACACTTACGAGTAGAGTTCAACCATAGCACGGCTTCATATGAGGCTAGTCACATGACCCTACTTACAAGTAGTTTTGAGTATATCTTCAGAAGTCCTTCAAGAACCAGCTTCGATAATATATATGTTGTGAGATTCCATGCAAGAAGACTAATAATATCTTACAATCGACGATTGGACAAACCTTAAGAGTATTGCCAGAAATACAAATTAATCAGCTTACCTAGGTAATACAACTTCTTCACACTAACTCAGATAATAATCACACATCAAGCCTCAACATCCGGACAAACAAACAAATCGTCCATCTATACATCCTTCTATCCCTATTTCAATTCGGTTCACGGAGGATCTTCGGTGGTAATTAAGAGGATATTGAGTGGTATAAAAGATTACATCTTCTACTCGACGAAGAAAACAAAAGCTGGATAGGAAAGCAAAATCTCTATATGAACCTCTATAAAACTCTAGCTATAAGGGATAATATATAAACATAGCTACAAAGTCTTAGACACAATATGATATTAAATCCTTCTGTGCAAGAAACCCATCCATCTCGAGCTAACAACCATCGGATATCGATATCGATGTACCCCTCCGAATTGCAATTGACATCTGGTTCTTATCCTGTATTGATCAATCTAATTTACAAAATGTGTTTTTTCCTTCAGAAGTTCCTTCTTGCTCCCCATCTTGTACACTCCGTTGTGTCTGAATCTACAGATGAAGCAAAGGTAGATCTATTCAAATCCATGCTTGTGTTGTGTGAGCTAGGACAATAAACAATTTCGTTGCATCGTATTGTATTGCTTTGCTTATAAAATCAATATTAATAAGACTAGGATAGGAATATTGACAATGATGATAAAAATAAGAATATATTCGTAATATATGAGGGATAGGAGATGAATGCACAGGAGACAGTAAATGTATATGAGACAGACTCGACAAAAACACTCATTCAATTCAACACTAATTAAGAAGTCCTCTATCCTAAAATCATTCATATTGGTATTTTTTTTATATAGCAGAAAATATGTACTATAAACCCACCAGTCTATCAATATCCCATTAAATTTGTACCTTCATCCTCCAAATGAGACGAGTGTAGTAAGTATCATACTAAATACACCATCCAGCAAGTAGCTATCTATGTACTTAAATATAAAGAACGTCCGATATCAACACATCCAATTTTGTCCGAATCAAAAATCAAACCACAAGACATCAGGTGTCCATCCTTCCAAACTCTCTTCTACCAACTAAACGTCATCATCTCCGGATTCAGCGCCACAGGCAACAACAAATGACTAGCACACATAACCCCCAGAGGAAAAATAGCGATAAAATCATCGATATTCCAGCTCCATGGGAGAAACGTTGCTTCGGCCATGATAATCATGGCTACGATACCGAAAATACACATGGCGTATGTGTACTTGAAAGTTCGGAGAATCTTGGGCACTTCGAGGAAGAAATTGGAAAATTCGACTTCTTTGGATGTGGCACCCCATGACATATTGATTTCGAACATGTGGCAGAGAAGTGCTTGGGACATGTGCAGGGAGACGCCGCCGAAGAAGATCATGAACATGAAGCACCATTTTAGGTTTTCGAGGACTGGGGGGATGTGTATTAGTTTGAATTTGGTAGTGAAATAAATGCGAGAAATGGCAGTAAGGGTGCAGAGGATGTGAAAGGAAAAAACTTACTAGCAGGAAGGAAAGACTTTTCGCCAGAACGATGACGTTGTACCGCAAGACCCACATTACCAGCTCCAGTAAATACAACGGTAATAGCGAGCCAATTCTGCCATGAACCGACATAGGCACGATCGAGATATCCGTTCCAGAGACCCACGAATACATAATTTGCAACGCAGATTATCCACGCACTGCCTAATGCATAGTATGTACCAATATATGCGACGATTTGAACTTTAGAACCGATATCGATACCCGAACAGATGAATCTGCGGAATAGAGGTGTGAATGGAGATTTCCATAGCCAGGTTCTGATGGGGTTAAACATAAGTTCGTTACAGCCGTAGGCTAGTTGATGGTTAGCAGGAGCCACGATCGTGGAGAATGGATTTAACTTACCGTATTTTTGCCAGCGGGTCAATTCATCGTACACGGTGAGGGACACGCCTTCTTTGAATCCATCGCCCGCCCATGCAGCCATACGAATTGTATAGTGCTTAAGTTGTAATCGGAGAGCCATATCAAAGTCCTCTGAGACGCAGGACTCGGACCAGAACCGTTCATGACCATCTTCATCCTCGAAAGCGATCTCCTGGATAGCAGACCATCTAAGAATTGCATTGTGTCCCACGAATGCTGCCACACCACCATTTGCAACACCATAACGAATAGCAGAGTAGATAAGGTTGGTAAAGAAGGTAATACCATTTTCGAAAAAGTTGTGCGATACTTGCATGACGGCAGAAGAGAACTGAATAATGCCTACATCTGGACATTGTTCCATTTCGCTAGCAGCATCAAGTAAACAGTCTTCGGGAACCTGAGTGTCTGAATCGATGATTAGAATGTAATCACCAACCCTGATGTTTCCTTCAGCCCACGCTTCAGGATTCTCATCAAGAACTTCTGCAAGACAAGATTCGAAAGCAGCAACTTCATCAACTTGGGTCCAAGTAGCCGGTCTCTCAATATCTTGAAGTTTCTCTTCGATAGCATTGGATAGCGCAAGTCCGTAGTTCATATTCGAGGCTTTCTTAAACTTTCCTTTGCGCATGTAACCGTTTTGACCATTTGGGGGACGGGCGGTCCAGCCAATGCCATGATCAGCGTAAAAGTCGATTCTTTGTTGTCGAGTGGCTTCATCAAGAAGCTGAAGGCCATCGTCATTGATGAAAATATTTGCGGATCCGCCTTGCAATTCATAGGTAGAAATTGCTTTCTTGATTGAGGAGATCGTTGGAGCAATGACAGCAGCTAATCCTTCTTTATACACAGGACATTGAATGGTGACATGTGGTAGTGTCGTGGTCAGAAGACGAGGTGGTGCTTTGGCAGAAAAGAATTTCGTGTTCCTGGAAAGTTGCTGAATTGGACCGAAACATTGCATCAGAACACCAATTACCACGTTTGTGAAGAACTACTTGAAGTTAGTATCCATAGAGATGGTCTTTGATATTGCCGACGACATACCAGTGTGAAGAAGCAGTATATTGGGGTCATGACCAGGTAGCAAAGGGAGATCCAATGTTTCAAGACGACAACCTCTAGCGCAAGCTGGGCGTACCCAAGACCCATAATACACACCAGAAGACAGATTGAGCACCCGACCATGAATGAATTGAGATACATGATTGGTCTCTCTTCAACTTGTCCTGACTCTTCATCAACCTCACTGACCTGAGCTCGAGGTAGAGTTTCACTCTTTTCATTGTCAGTGGCAGTCCAGATAGTTTGCAGTAAACCGTCCTCGATTGCTTTAGCTCTATCAAAAAGAAGTGTTGGATCATCTTCCCAAACGACAAGGAGGGCTTCTCTAGCAATGAATGCAGCGTAGTGAGCTCTGCGAGCACGAGGAAGGTCTTCAAGCGTTGGTAGAATTTGAACCCTAAGGCCGTTTGTAAGAGGAACATCAAGAGCGTCAGGCGATCTTGTGAGGAATGGTTGAACGACAGTGGAGTTAATGGTCATAGCAGCCTATGTCCCACATTAGCGTCATATTTTCTTGCTAAATTTAAGGTTAACGCTAGTGAGGGGCACTTACTGAAACGTTCATGATCTTCATAGCTCTACCAAAGGTGGAGCTAGCTAGGGCTGGAGGACGACAGAGATACTCTGTCCTATCTTTGCGTACCATAACACCCTCATGTTGTCCTGAATTATCCATAATCCACATCAGACCTCTTTGTTTCTGCCAAAGATAATTTAGAATAACTTGATGTCTGATATCATCTAAACGATTGTTGCTGTACAAGCTAACCCTGCTCGAGGCAGTTGGTGATGGCTCGGAAAAGCCATGACGAGGTGAATCATTTTCAACGACAGAATTTGGGCCAGCTGGAGATTTCTCTTTGCTTGAATCAGACTTTTCGCCTTTTGAAATCTTGAAATAGCTAAGAACACCCATAATAAAAAGAGTGGAAGTAAAGTAGCTGAAGTAAAGAAAGTGGTTTGCACGACGATAAGAGAAGAGAAAAGGATAGACACATGAACGAAGACAAACACATAATATACATGTTTACGGAGGCAACGCCGATAACTCACCGTTTTCGTATGCCAGTTCGGAATAGCCACAGGGCCAACCTTCAGGCCAAACGGGAAGGTTTCATGAAGGTTGATCGAAGCACCACGTCTAGAATTGAGTGCAAGAGGTGAAAGTACGAACGTGGATTTCGACCCTGGTCAATCGACATCCTCAAAAAACACCTCGTCATTTTTGAAGACTTTTGGCCGAACACCCTGAATCCTTGAAGATATCCCTCTAAAATTTCCACTTTAATTCCTAGACTATTGCTCAGATTCTCAGCTAGATGCAGAAATTCTGGTCCGGTCAATGTCCGAAAAGCATATCGTAGTGTTGAGTTGAGGCCCATCGATACTTGAAGCTATCCTTGAGAAGATCTATCGCTTGATGGTGATCTAGGTCCAACCAGACAGGGAGCATCGACAATTCTGAATGCCGATAGGGAGGGATGCTCATGCATTTTGGTTCCTAGACGTCGCTTCTGTTGAGAAGAGATTGGGCAAGTCAAAGCGTTCCTGGCCTATAGTGTTGTCGTACATATAGCAGGGTGAATCTTCGCATGCATGAAAGTATTGATCTTGCACTTCGTCAGCAAGGGTGAGGAGGATTATTCAGGGTTGCTTATCAGGATACAATCGCATCCACCACAGACTCTCAATATCCCGCGGTGCATGCTCCAACAGATGAACGCAGCTTTTGACAGGTCGGCATTCAATACATGGCAAGCTTGTAGACGCGCCTAGCTGATTTTGTACACCCGTTTTCTCTTGAATTTGAGGCTATTGATCTTCAACAGCACCAATGTTCAAGATTTGGGGTCTAAAAGTCGGAGAATTTTCCACGTTAGGAAACGATACGCTGAAAATGTTCCATCGCGTACCAAATCTGGGAGGTTCTTGCCCATCACCACGAAAACGGATATCAGAAAGAATCAAATGGTAGATCAAACGTGGCAGCCATGTCTTGCTCTGTCACATTCGCTTGCAAATATTCATCTGAATAATTTGATATCATTTGTTCTATCGTATCCACCTAGAAGGCTGGATCTGGGTAGTACAACACCATTCTCATGTTCAGCTGAATGTGAGTTGGATTCTTCTACGCTGTGGCTGGACTGCCAGTTCGAGGGACACTTTGCGAAGGTTGTACGAATATCTAGCGGAGAAATATGCAATTGTTTACCAGCCGCCCGTATTGCCAGCTTATAATGCTCCACATATGGCCCACACATAGCGGCATATGTAGTGATGTTCTACAAGGGTTTAGCGACAATCCACACAGAGCCCCTTGTTTGCTGTATTGGTCATTACGACATGCACATAATAGATTTCCATGTCTGCACTGTTGCGAAGAATCGTTTATATTTTGGAGTCGAGATACACAACATAGACATGGTATTATAGTACATATGCGCACTTAAATGACAAGGAAGAGGAAGTCGTCTTGGGCAAGTGGTAATTGTTGCTTCGAAGATAAACCTGCGTGAATGAGGTCCCAACAATTTCTAAACGAAGCATGTTGTGCATTTGCATGTGAAAATGACATCGAGGCGTTTATGCTACGATGATCAATCTAAGATGGTATGATAAGGATATACGACGGTTTGCTGCTGTGTACCAGCGGCTATATCAGCTGTGGTCCCTGAGCTATGCATGCAAAATGCAAATGGAAAATGTAAAAGCCTTCGAAAAGGGGAATATTGCTGGCAGCCAGATATTTCTGTAATGATAAGTGGTCAACAAGTGGTGGTACTGCAGTAAGATACAAAACCAAACGGGAGGGCGTTCCGGAAATTATTCTGCAGTGTCCCTGTACAATACCACACTTTAACGGTCGGACGAGCAAGTAATATCCAAAAGCTTGGTTTTAAGCGACTTGATGCGACGCTTTCCGGGTTGTCTTCGCTTGGTTGTACATGAAGACGCGACCATCAATACCGTTTACATTAAAAGACATTGCAGTCAATTTTCGCAATCTCGCAAAAGTTGATTATGATATTGAATGCAACCCAAAGAAACAACGAAGTATCCTTGGCAAGGAAGATTCCGCTCGTGTGTGTTTTTATTCCGATGCAGGTCCGGTAGCTTAGTGAAGCTGGTTTGTTTAGCGCTTTCAGGTAGAATGTGCATTGTGTATACTGTGAATGAGAATGAGAACCAAATCATATTCCATAAACTAAGATAAACGCTATTGCTGTGTTGATCCCGACCCCCATCTAAGAATAACCACTCTCATTAAGCTAACCATACCCAAAGAAATCCTCCAAGGTCCATGCATATCCTATTTACACCGATCGTTGCTTGTTCATCCCCATCCCCTGTCAAGCTTAGTTCAATCACACTGTTGCCACATCTGCACTTGGTCCACAATCATTTGTCCATTCTTCTCCCACGTAGGAAGCCATTCGTTTCGGGCTTTCCAGAAATCGAGCTTTGCAGATGGGCTTCCATCAACCCACGGCTTTCCATCTGCGCCATCCAGGAACCAGCCATTCTGCGCCCCAACACCCACGTTCAAGATAAGATAAAATTCTTGATCGAAAGGGGTATTTTTTCGGCCAGTTTGTGACCATGGATCCACAATCGCTGTCCCATTGGCATCACTCAAGGGAAAATTTCCTTGCTGCCACAATGGCTTCTTAAACGGCCAATACATGACTTGGCGCAGTGTATTATCAATGTATGCAAAAACGTACTTCTCGGTCCACTCCAGGCCGTAAAGGTGAAAATCGTCACCGAACTCGGAATGCAAGGCAGCTCTCACGTTAGTGGTTTTTTTGTATGCATCGCTCGCTTCATCAGGACCCCAATGTAAAGAGCTGAATACGAAATTGTTGCCACCGAGGCTGTAGGTGTAGTTGTTGCCACGAGATTCCATAATATCGATTTCACCACTCTGTGGCCAGGCTCCGTAGGTATCCTCGACCGGCAGCATCCAAATGGCTGGCCAGAGCCAATCTCCTTTAGGGAGTTTGGCTTTAACCTCCACTCTCCCGTACTTAATGGTAGCACCAAGCTTGGTATTGATGCGAGCAGACTTGGCTGGTTGCACGATAGTCCCGTTGGTTGTGTTGGTAGAAGTGACACAATTGAGAAAGACATTGGACATGGTTGTGCAAGTTCCATCGGCCGTGAGGTTAATGATACTGTTGGTGGTAATCAACGATGCATCCTGAATTGTAGGCTTAATGTACAGCTGGCCATCTTGAATGAATAGGTTTTCGGCATCTGTCGTGGTCTGCTCAAATTGACCATTTCTGTGTTGATTGATCGTCAGAATTTTGGAGCATGTACGTAAGGGGAGAAACTAACCCAAAACCACCCACTTGAACTTCTTTTGTCCAAATGTTAGGATCCAAAGTACCAGAAGAAAAGTCTTCTGACAGAACTGGACAGTACTTGTGTCGTGTAATACTAGCTATTTTCAAGTAGATAATGAGGCCAGTTAGACCTAATCCTAGAACCAAGCCGCAGAGGGGAAAAACCCATAAAAGTGCCTCCTTCTTTGACTTCTTGTTGATAGGGAGAGGTACGGCATCTGCTTTGCGAACGCGACGAGATCGAAAATATCCTGTCCCAGGAACTTCGGCGTACTGGAAACCAGATCGAGCTCCGATTGTCGAGGCAGGTCTTGAGTATGGAGGTGTAGCGAACGGGTTGGAAGTACCCACAGGCGTTTGTGCACGGCTGTTTTCCTCAGATTGAGGGGTACTCTTCGAAACAGTGACCTGAGAAGTAGCTCTCTGCATTTTCGTTGTAGCAAAAGAAAAATAGATGCTAAGATGAAGACTTGCGCTCTCAAACTCAGATAAAGCTCGAGGAAATTTCACATTATAGCACAATGCTTCAAGCGATCATCACAACCTGTTTCCTGATAAGATAGAGTATCCTGCAAGCTTTCAAAGTACCTGTCCGGGCCGTACCCGATGTGTGATGCTCGCGAAAGTGTGTTGAGGACCCGCAATGTACAAGGGGCCCCTGATGACGCTAAGATTTTGTCAAATTGGAGGTTCGTTGGTAAATAACCATCTAGCCCTGTCTACATAACACGACTATTGACTTATTAGATTAGCAAAAATTTCAAATATTGTTCAGCCTTAACCTCTACCCACACCTTAAGACGTTGAAATATTCCTTCCATGGCCTCATGGCCATTAACCTTATCCATCGATGTTACATTCGTTGAAAAACAACAAAATGAAAGACTTGGCTTTCCAAAATAGACCTCACTTTGGGTTTTCGAAGTAGCATTGAGGTATGAGAAAGGGGGTTTGATCAATACCCTCCCCATTCAGTCTTTATCTATTTGTTTTTATTGATATGTTAGATGAGAATATCGAGCTACATGCGTGAGGTTAAATTTGACTCGGATTTTCACGTTGTACTCGTGTACTCGGCAGATACATTGATAGAATGAACGTGCACCAATGAGCCGTTTTAACAAAACGTGCGATGGGTGCACGCTCCAGGTCCTCCCACTTTGTGAACCTTTATGGACTTCGCCGTGTCAGACAACCTCTTTTCAGGTCTTCCTAATTTATGTGGCGTCGAAAATATTGCTATTTCATTCGAAGAAAGGGATTCAACCATAGAAACGGATCAGAATGTGGCCTTTGAAGAGACCTGTCATCTCTCAACCCGTCAAGATAGTATCAATTTAGTCCAAATCACCTCCAGGCTTCCACTTTTGGCTGTCTTGGGTTTCTGTGAGGCGTAAAAATGCCCCTCAATTGAGAACAATATTGGGGGTGGAATGATGAGAATGGCATCGTTTTTTGTATTTTTGAACGGTCATGTATCGTCTTGGATGTGACAAGGAAGATGATTGCGTTCAGCTGGAAATTGAGCACCCAGATAGAATAATGAGCTGACTGTGGGCTGTGAAAAAAGTATAAAGAGCCTCACATCTGCAGATCTCACCAGAAAGAATCAGGTTAACACGAGCTTTCAATCTTCGCTTCTTTAATATAATCTTCTCCGCAATCAGAACGACAGATTCTGCCAAAATGAAATCAACAATTGCCTTCTTGGCTCTTTTAGCAGTCGCCACGGCCAATCCGTTCCTCAAACCTCGAACACTCGATATTTCAGCATATAAAGCCGTTCCAACCGCTCCTGCTAGAGGAGCTCCCGCCGGAAACACCGTGACAGCGAGTATAACATACAATCCGAAATCTGTAGCAGATGCTGCTGTTGCAGCCGCTACAGCATCTGTCGCCGTGATCAATCGTAGACATAAGCGCAGCACTTGTCTAAGTACGTGCGCTGCCTTACCTGCTGGAAATGGGCCTAGGGTCAACAGTCCGGATACTGCAGCAGCTTTCGAAGCAGATTTAAATCTTTCCGATGCAGCACTGAACGCGGTGACCCCTCCAGGCTACGTTCGTGTCGATGGCTTTCAAAACGTTCACGCCGCTGCTGAATCCGCCACATACTTGACATATATCTCCGACTCTCTCACGTCTTACGATCCTGCCATTTGTGCCAATGCATGCAATGACATACAAGGCTGCACCTCCTTTAATATCTGTAAGTGCTGTTCTAGTAATATTTGCGCAAAAGCTGACGACCCTAGTTTTTGAGAGAGATCCAACCGTCGCTCCAGACGTAGATGATTGTCCAAATCCTCCATCCCAAACACTTATAAAATGTTCACTATTCGGTGGCTTATTGGATCCTTCATTGGCTAGAAACAATGGCCAGTTTCAAGCTGATTTCCAAGTTGTGATTGCTGGTTCAAACGCATATAATGCGGTTGCTCCACCAGCAATCCAGGGATATGGAGGAGTACAAGATTTTGGAACTGCTACCATTGATGCTCCCGCCAACACTACAACATATAGTACGTACCAAAGAATCCCACGAAGTGAAGCCCATATGAAATTTACTAATCCATGAATAGTGGGAGTGGAGGCTTTCCCTCAGACTCAGCCTTATGATCCAACTGTCTGTGCGGCCGCATGCACTGCAAAGAGTAACCCCGGTTGTGCGTTCTTCGTGTCTTATATCTTGTACGAGAATGGACGGAATGGAGTATTGTAAGATCCCCTTTTTATTCCCTAATCCCCTCTCATCCTATTCAGTCTTGCTTCCACATTTTACTTTAAAAAGTTCCCTGATTCGCAATTACTGACTTCCCAATGTTACAGTACTTGCACATATTTCACCGTTTCCTACGGCTCCGACAGAGCGATTGAGACTGGACAATACGATGAGCAAGGAAACCATTACACCATCGGGCACAGCTTTGGATTCACCGCCGATGGTTACACATCATACTAGTTCAAGTTGCTAGCGGCGTCATAAGTAGCAAGCCGTGGTGGCGTTCGAGTCGAACTGATGGGATGAATAAATGAAGGCTCTGGTTTGAACCACAGCGCAAAGAAGTTGTTAGTATATGAATAGATTTCTGTGAATTTCTCGCGATCAAACTATCGATGGTCCCTGACTGTGCTGCTTACAACTGAAACCACGGTGATTTTTTTTTTAGCTTGTTATAGCTCATGATAGTTTAATCGTGCAAGTTGATGATGATACATTAGCTTCCTAAGGAGCGCCATCGGGGATTCCAATGACTCAAACAGTTCAAACCTTATGACCCGAAAATCTGAGTTAGCATAGCTTGACTTCCAAGATGGATTGATAATCCCATAGCAGTCTGAATATTCCAGATCAATCCTAGGTTTAGGAACTGCTGATTGTTTGGACTGTAGTCGGGACTATAGCAACTGATCAAAAGTATACAGGCATTTAATCAACCGGTTGAAGACATATTTTCGCGCATAGATCCAAGGATGTACATCGGATTTCGTCTCTGTGTGGGTCGAAGAACGGCCTGCAAATATATGCGGCTGTTGTCTCAATGCCGGAAACAATCGTCATATGACAGTGTGATGAGTGATGAGATTTTCGAGGTTATCATGATCCGAAACCGACGGCTCAGCAATATCAAGATCCGTTATACGGTATATGTTTCAGCGTCGAGACCCATGTTTACAAGCGGCCGAGGGGCGTTCAACAACCAACCCAATTGAGGACACGACTGTCCGACTCGGCCGGAAAATTGACCATCCTGCATATGTACTTTGACGGCGAACCAATAGATATGTAAATTGATGGCTGGACGTTGTGGAGAATTCTCATCGTTTATTAGAATCGTTATTGTCAATGTCGATAAAAACCCCTTACTTGATACACCGCTCTAACCTTCAAAACTATTTGAGGAGAAAAGAGTAGCTCTTTATACTTGTCCGCTTAAAGCTTTTAGTCCCCATTCACTGGGCCAGGTTGATCATCGTGTAAGGCTGATGATGTCAGTAGTACCCTCAAGTATCATGAATTCCTCGATGATGTCTCCCAAGGCTTGATGAAATCCTACAATCATTGGTCGACCCTTATAGTAATTTTAAGGGTCAAAAGTCAAATGTTTCCTATTCGGCGAGCAGAATTGAACAAAATTCGGATGAATTAATGGATATGTTTCACAGGCCAACCAAACCGACAAAACTAGCAAGATAACACGATAAGACCATAAAAGCAAACCCCTCACATTTCCATAAATAAAAAAATCTTCCGATCCACTAGAAATTGATGTATGTGACTGAGCTACATGGGACTTCGTTGAGGTTCTGAGCTTTGGTTGGTTAATCGAAGCGCCCAGAAATGTTGCACCACCAATAACAATAGCTGTCACAGTACATGTTGGCGCTAACAAGGTTTTCTTCCCCGCGTACAAAACAATTCAGATCAATCGAATTCGTCGATTTATAGCGGTAAAGCACGCCCGAAATCTATTTCCAGCACAGTTGCAGAATTGATCGTCTCCGGGAACTTTTTATTTTAGGCTGCATGAACCGGGGATTTATGGCGTTGTCAAAAATGAGGTTTCGATGTATATATGTGTAGTAGTCGTGCTCCTATATTCTTGATATGTGTGCCCGGGAGAAACGTTGTATAAAATATCGAAATTGTAATATTGCGGATTTGTTTCCATTATGCCAGATAAACCAGTCAGTATGGGTTTGCAATTATTTCCACCTCCACCATCCAAGAAGAAAACTTGGAAAAGTAATAGCGATGAGCGAAACCTTCCAACATCCACATCCGATCGGGGCCCTGCGAATCGTTCACAGTCGCTTGATATGTTCGTCGATGGAATGCAATTACCGTTTGGCGGTAGCCAAATTCCCCAAGATGGAAGAGCATTGCCCATGAACATACCTCCTCCCGCCGTGCTTGCATCTGAACGCCCGAGGTCTCACACTTCATTTTCGGAAGCACCTACACTTGTGAGAAGCAACAGTAATTCATCCAGATATAGTCAGCACCACCATCGAGAAGAGCCAGTAATGAGATCCATATTCCCTCGATATAATCCCGAACTTCCATTAGAATATCAACAATATTACCCAACACAGCAGAGCCCCCGACACATTCCACAGAATGCTATCAGTCGACAGTCATATTCCCCCGGAATCAATGAGGTAAGCCCAGGTATGGGCAGTCCAATGTCGTTCGGCCCACAATCACCCGGTCAGTTCGGAAGAGGTCTTCAAGACGAGACATGGCCTGAACCATCAACCTCCGCCGAATTAAAGGAGCTATGGAAAGTCACTAATGGATGGAAAGCATCGGGATCTGAAGGTCGAAAGTTCATTATGAAAATGAATAGCGCGGTAAAAGAACCTATTCACACTCTTTCTTCAGCTACTCAGCCTTTTTACACCTTGCGTCTTGATCCGACTTCAACTTCAGCTCAGGTAACGATGAAAAGGCAAAATCCGGCGAAATCTCCGAGGAAGTCACAATCCCCAAAGAGTGGGGTATTTCCGAGAGCTGATTCTCAAATGGAAGTATTAATTACAACGCTCGAGGAATATTCGCGCCGCTTGCCACCAAATGACGGCTTGGTAGCTCTTCTGTACCCCCATGCAGCCTCAAGTATGGCAGTCGATCTGGCTGGACGGTCAAATATGGCAGACGGGGCCCTAGTTTTGGCAGCAGCCGAGCGAGAGTGCGGTCGATTGTTGTGGGACGATGATACTAAGAAATTTTACCTTAGACATCCTGCTGTCAGCACTCCATTTCTCATAGCGATAAATTCATCACCAGCTTGGTCCAGAGTTGAATATACGCTTGAGCATCCAGAACTACCACACAATCTTGTGCGTTTGGTGAGAGATGGTAGTGGAACAGGATTCCTGGAAATCGATACAGGCGTAGCTGCAAGAATAGATGCTTTCTATATCGTGGATGTAGCGATCGCCGCTGTCATGCTGGCGGCGATGGACGAGGAGAAAAGGATGCATATTGAGAGATTTGATGCACCTCCTGGTGCACCAATACAGCCAGATACTCCAAAATCAAAGAGGAAATCATTTCTGAGGGGAGAACAAATGGAGTTGGATATAGAAAGTCAGGAGAGCCCACAATACAAGATGGTTCCGACGAAAGAAAAAGCCAAAGACAAGGAAAAGGTGCCAGGATTTTGCGGCTTGCTCTGGATGATGGTGAAGGCCATGGCTTGGATCGTGAAGATGGCAGTGAAAGCAATCGCAGCTATTTTAATTGGGCTCAGCAAATGTTTGACTAGGAAAAAGTAATCGCGTTCGGATAAGAGGATGAAACTTTGGCGTTTTTGGTATATGATCACGACTATGATATGATTTTGGGCTCGGGTATGAATGTAATTAATTGCCTTCCTTGGGATATCCCCGGGGTATCTTATTATCGCAGGTCGATGGAGGGATTTCGAACCCAGCATAATTCTCTCGGCCGTTATCTTTTCAGCATGCAGCTTTCGACATGTCTGAAGGCCAGTTAAATAATTTTATCTTTTTCGTTCTCGTATCTTGAATTTAACCCCATTTTTGTTGATGCCACCGACTGTTGATGATTTCGCCATTTTCGCGCGTTGTAGATCCAGAGCCTCCTCGGCGTCGGTCAGAGCTTTGAGCCGCTGGCGTGCAATCGATAATTTGACTTCCAACTTTTGCCCCTCCTTTTCCTGCAGCTTTCGAAGATTTTTGGTCGAAACATCCTCTTCAATATTCCTATCTTTCACTGTGTCATCAAGTTCATCGAGCTCATCGTCCTCGTCGATATCGAAATCCATATCCATGTCAGAAACATCGTCTCCCACTTTTTCTTTCTGCTCTTCTTCGTCTTCCACAAATACAATTTTCTTTCCACGTCCCTTGATGCCCACGGTTCTTTTTTCTAATTCCTCGACTTCCTTCAATGCCTTGTTCCTCATCGTCCGTACGTAACCCAAATCTTGTGTCTTGAACAAGCGCACAGCATCCTGATCCAAAACCTGATTACCTCGATCTCCATTCACAGTTCCTGTGTACTTTTTGCCGGTTTTTACAGGTCCTTTCTTGTTTACCATTCCAAAGTAAAACTCATCAGGATTCTTCTCGAGCACTTTTTGTTTAAGTGCCTTAAGCTTCGCTTTCTTCTTGTTGAAATCGCGCGCTCTGGCAGAATAATCCTACAATTTCCATTAGTATTTAGCAGTGATAATTCACGAATTTCATACCTTGTGCTTTTCAAGAAGTCCCCATCGTTTGCGCTCTTCAGGTTGTGATCGCTCCTTATAGGTACGTCCATCGCGGACGGATTTACTCGCTTTATCCATTGTGTAATTTTTGTGTAATTTTTGTGTAGACCAGATTGAGGAGAATTTTTGTGATTTGAATGTAATTTGTCTGGTTCTGGTGAAGTTGCGTTGTTCTCTGCTGGATGTTTTTCTTGATTGAGATTCCACCGATTTATTAAAATTTCGACAAGGGTTTATCGTTCACGCTAAGATAAACTAGCTCAACTTGGGAAACTACCTTAGGACATTCGATTTTCTCTGAATGAAGGACTGAGGTATAATTCTGCCTCATGAGCCTCGAGTTGTGATTTTTTTCTTCAATTGATTTCAAATGGCAGCTATGTCTTCACAGAAGGAGGAGGTAGAAAAGGCACCTAGACTACCTATGCCATCACGAAATCCTTTACCATTATCCGCAGCACAAGAAGCTCAAGTCCAAGAAGTTTACCATACAAGAGTGCGGAGTTACTGTGCGGCAGAGATTAAGAGTTTGTATTCTTACGTACATATTTGGCAAACTATGACTGATGATGGAATCCAGCGTTCGCAGAGTGCGCTCTCGGAAGAACCTTCACTGCTCCGTTCAAATGCAGAGAACAAAATCGAGCGATGAACAATTGCATGATAACGCATGCCACACAATCAGAAAAGGATGCAGCTAGAGAAGAGTGGTTTTCACTGAGATTACAGAGACAGAGGGATCGTGAAGCAAAGGAGGCGAGGAGGAAAGAGCAAGAAAAGTTCCATAGGGAATGGTGGGGTCTACCAGCCGAAGAAAGAGAAGGCGACAAAGGTAAAGAAATAATGAGGAAGGCAGAAAGAGTTGGTGGATTTCCCAGGAGGGATGAAGGACAGCTTAGCAAAGATCGGCATAGGTGACCATGGTTTTCACCCGGATTCTGGGGCAGCATAGGCGTTGGGGTTTTGCAGCATTTTCGACCAGCGTATGGAAGGCGCGACTGGGGTTTACATGTACGACTATACTGATATGACGTGAAATCGCATTTCTGAACTGGACGAGGCATTTAAGTCCGAACTTCATAAGTCGATCAATTGGATGTCAGTGGCTGTTATCGCCACTTCTTTTGAACCGTTCCAGGCAAGTGCCATTATTTTTGACCCTACTCCGTACTGTTGAGGAAATGCATGCGAGCAAGTAAAGCAGGACCGTCCTAAGCTTCAGAATCCGTTAACTCTTTTACTACCTCGATAATCATCATCCATTTGTGCTTCGAGGGATCTGTTGGAAGCCGAACACAATTACTTCCTCAACTTGTCTTCTTCATGTCCCACGGAGCAATCACAAAAACCACTGCCGAGATTCTGAAATCCAGCGAATTTAGATTACATAGTGATGTTCGGGTAAAGTGCACCGACTTCGGTGGTTTTCATGTCACACTTTTGCTCGCTTCAATTTTTTTGCTGTTGCCAAGGGCAAAATCTATCATGTTTACCCGAAATCTCATCGCTATGCCATGGCATTTTATTGTGTTTGCCTAGTCTCTGAAATCAATAAAGCCACGTATGTCATATTGCAGCGCTTGTAAGGTTACGGAATGCTTGATCATCTAATCGCTTAGCGTTACAAGAAAAGTTTTCAAAAAGAATATCTCATTTTAAGCCTTAGATCATCGATTACAGCATCATTCAGAAATTATATTGCCTAGAACATTGTTGTACATGACTAGCCTTGGGATACCTACTAATAACTTTTCCTTCAGATCCAACTAGGATCATGGCGCAATTCCCACCCAAAACCCGCAAGATTGGCGTTCCTACTCCGACATCAACTTCTACGGTTTTGACGACACTTAAGCGGAGTCTAGTTGATACATCAGCCTCTAAGCCCTTCACGGAAACCTTTGCCTTCTCAGAAGAACCTCCTCTTCGGGTTCCCGAAACCATTGGCACCCTAATCGAAGTCCGTACTTCTCCCAAGGGCGGCCTCGGTATATTTGCTCTCTGTCCCATACCGCCTAACACCCTTCTCTTAAGCGAAAAGCCTCTTGTCATCCTCACCGACACAGGGACGCGTAAAGACCCCCTTGACGCCCTAGTAGCCGCATTACCCCCTTCTCACAAAGCAGCATTCCTCTCACTTCATGCTTATCAGGCAAACCCACGAGAATCCAAAAACCGAAGCATTTTGTATAGTAATGGATTTGGAGTAGGTAAAGTGGAGAGCTTATCTACGGGGGTTTTTGAGACGGCCAGTAGATTTAATCATGCTTGTGTGGCAAACTCAGGATATAGATGGGAAGAGGATTTGGAGAAGAAAGGAAGGATGAAATATTTCAGTATCAGGTATATTGAAATGGGAGAAGAAATTACTGTGGATTATGGACATGGGGTAAAGGGCCTGAAGAGATTTTACGGGTTCGAGTGTGATTGTAAGAAGTGTCGAGAGCGGGAGATGTGAAGTGGGGAGGATGCTTGGAAGAGAGTAATTGTGGAAATTTAAAGGAGGTGGGCTTGAGCATCTTGAGTAATTGCTGAAGGCTTTGGGGTTGGGGTTGGACATCGAGGGAGCTGGGATGGAGTAGAGGCTATATATGACACAAGGCTCTTGACCTTCTGAAATTAGATCAAACAATCCAAAGTCCCTATATATATAACATTTCGGTCACCTGAGATTATATCAGACGTATAAAACTACCTTTGATCTAAATAATGATACTTCCCCATATTCAAGAAGATAGGTGTATTAGATGAGAGCAAATACTTTTATGTCTTGATTTCATACCCTTTGTCCGTTAGTTCTTGGCACTTCTTACTTTCCATGGCACCTAGAGAGAGGTTAATGATAGGATTGAGACACGGTATACTTTTTCGGTAAGATGATATGCGCCTAAGATGTGGTGAATGCGTATTTTAGTCTTTGGCTGACTCGAATTTCGATATAAATTTTTAAATCAGATTTCTCTGTTTCGTTTTTCTTTTTGTTTACCAGGGATGAATAATTGTAAGATCATACTGTGCATGAAAAAAAGCAGATAGGAGTGGGATTGGAAGTCGGAATCATGCATGATGCGGAAATAGGTAGAACACTGGCAAGATTGGAAGTTCACGAACAAGATAGATCTCTCCTCTTCACAATCTCGAAGGTACAGAGATGTATCTTTTCTACAGTTGATATAAGATACGGTAAAAATGAGAGGATATATGTGATAAAAGTGAATTTTTGCTGTATTAGTGCAGTGATTCACTACTTACTCTTATGTTAGTCTCGCTGGTCATTACGTTTGAAGACATGATCAATCATGCATATACGTGGGGTTGGCTTTTGCTAGATTAGCTGGGGAATGAATATGCAATGACACATGGAAGATGGGAAATGGGTATAGCCTGAGATGAGGAATGAAGAGTCATTCATAATCTCCATACAGAAGATAGATCGATTGGACTCTAAAGTCTTATTGTAATCATCATGTATTCCTACTCTCAGAATTCAAAGGCAATGGAAGGGACATGAAAAGAAAGTGAAAAGAGCTTGTGCAAATGAACTATTCACTCTCTCATCGCTATTTATCTCTTGAACTTGACAATTATCTGCTTTTGAATCATCGACTACGCTTCAAATCATCGTCTGTCTCTCGGACTCTCCCTGTTCCATAGTGTATCGAACATGGGCTATCCATGATTTAAAGAGAAACATGAGAGCTGTCTGTGAATATGTAACTTGGTACATATGTTGGTTCAGACGAAATTTCTTTACCAGAGGAAACATCCATGGAATCCCGGGTCGTCGATGTTGTATCATACGATAATGTCCATAGTTATGTCCTGAGTGAATGAACTGATGGAATTGTGGGAAAGTATCTAGAGAAACTTTTGCTTGCTGAAGACCTGCCATTAGAGAGGATGCGGAATTGTAATTGCGCCAGACTAGCAAGTGCTATAAAATTTTAACATACATTACACCAAACGAAGAAAGAATTGTAACTTCTTAACCTCAACAACAGATTTTATATGTCTTTCATCCATTGCAATGTTTTCCACCACATTACTTCAGAGTGCATCCCACTTGTTGCCAATTGATTTGCAGCAAGGTTGATACGAGGAGAGTGTATCTGCAGCCCATCAAGTGTAACTTATCGAACATTATCAATCTCCGTCATCGTCGAGAATACGTATGGATCAGAGGATGTCTCCGATAATGAGGGATCGAGCATCAGAAGCAAGACAAGTAAAAGGATACGCTTGAGTGAAAGGTACTTTGGGCTACGAGACAATTTGCTTATTAAGCTGGGTAAAGTGTCGGGCGAATTCATGTAAGCATAATCTCGTAAAAAATGTTCTATCGACAAATACGCAATGATTCAAGGGTATCTCAACACGATTCGACTTCTGAAAGTCAAAATACTCCGGCGTGGATCTTAAGAATGCTTTTGTGGAGTTAAAGGGTATCAGCGATACTCAACTGGATGCGATTATTTAGTCTGGAAAGTTCTGTCTCAATGACTATCCATATTTGAATATTACAAGTTGCCCTGATATCTATAGATGGGCTTTCCACGATAGACAGTCACAAAAAGCTCATTAATATAAATAGTGTGAATGTCCAATTTAAAAAACGAAAAAGCTTCAAAGGCTACGGTCCTGCTAAGAAGAGACAATGCGGCGAGGGTACCTATGAGCGAAGCTCCAACGCAGAATCCCCTGGTCGAGAAACAAGCTACCAGGATAACGCGAACAGTGTAGGATGGTATGTTGGTCAGCGCAGTCGGTCTAATCTCAAATATGAGGTCGGAGCATTAGACGTCGCCATCAATCCCGTGGGCTAAAGTGTCGATGGTGTCATGATCCAGCTGCTACATCCGCATGATTCAATACCTACCATCAGACAAAGTATCAGTGGATATGATCAAGCTTCTGCATTTGCACCGCTAGTTATGCAGCAATGGCCATACTATATTGAAAATCTAACATCATTTTTACCACCGTCTCACGAGCGAAACCTGTTCGCCTTCGAAGTTGACCATGACAACCAGCAATGACTAACAGCTTTTAAGTTTCGACAATAATCCCACCACGACTACAATGGGGTGAATGCGAACATAGTCCCGGGTCTTTGTTGCGTTGCAGTTTTATGCCTGGAATAACAGAGCACCACAATCAAACTAAGGGATGATTTAACATTGTTCTCAATGTTGATGAGTTTCTTGCTTCTGTATTCGGGACCACTTTAGACATCTACAAATAAAATTCATCGATATTAATTAATATTTACTAGACATGCGTTGGAAGGCTATGAGGGCAGTTCATTCCAGCTGCGCTGGTGTTACCACGGGAGGAGGGCACTTGTTTCAATGTTTAGACTTGGAAAGACATCTCATCAATCCAATCCCACTTCCTCCTGCCATAAGGTATTCTATAACTGTTTCCCCATCCAGAAGCAACACTTGACCAGACTTGACATGAATCTCTATTGCTTCTGGCTTAAGGAACTCTTCTGGCCTCATATAATGTGATCCTTCTACCACTTTGAAGAAGCCATTATGTAGACGAAGCGCTTCTTCAAGCGGTCTATATATGAATACAAGCTCCTTTCCCGCTTTGTATGGGATTAGTTGAGTAGGGTTCTGCATCCAAATGACAGCTTTCGATACTTTAATTTTCGAGTTATATGCTCCTTGTAGTATGTCGTCGATATAGCTGTCACTCCATAACTATTAGATCAGTGCCGGAAATGTTGTGATAGATCAAACTTACATCAAAACCATCATTGCTTTTCGTAGCTGTGACCCAATCAAGTTGCTCATATCCCAAAAATTATGTTCTTGACTGGAGCTCTCTCAGTTTGTCCGGAGGAATTTCTGCTTTGGCAGCATTAACATATGTCGATATTAGTAGGAGGCGAACAAGTCGATGATCTTGTATCCCGAATCCTGTGCCATTCTTATCAGTGATGGAAAAAGACATATAGAAGGAAAATTTTGTGGCCGCACTGTCGTCGCGAATTGACAATATCCATCCACGATTTATTTACGACCCTATTCTTGCCTACCTTGCTAGTAAGCATTGGAGCTTTTGACCTTATGTTATAGATGCCTGAAATACAAGGCCTGAAAAAGATTCCCGTAGTTGGAATAAATGAAATGACAGCAAGACAAAATCTTTTTGCACATCCTCCATAGGAATCCTTCCTTCAGATTCGACAAGTGGCGATGATGATAGTTGGGCCAATTCAAACTTAGCAAGTATGTCGATTCCAAGCCTCTTGGTCGAGGATAAGGTTAAGAAATGCGGAATTGCCTCAAACTCAACTTCATGAAATCCTAACCTGGATACGCCAGAAATATATCACATGGGCAAAGGGTCTGATGCTTACCGAATAATCGGAAATCCAGGATTAAAGCAACACTACGGCTGTGTTCTATTGTGATAGCAATGGAATGACACAAAATTGGCGTGGAAATAAGGCACAAGGAGAAAAGGTTCTTAGTACACCCCCTAGAAATAAACGAGCGGAAAGGGCTGCAGCCGAGGAGAGGAGAAGTGGGTTCCATGCTTCCCCACTGCCGATCTTGTCGGGTAGGAAATTATTTCCTGAAGTCTAGGTTAACCTCAGTGATACCTGCACTGATACGTTGCATGTCTTTCTCATTTCTCTGACTTATATTCGATCTGAGATGACCTTTGTCTGCCTATGACAACAACATTAATCCCAGAGACACTAGCTAGGTCTACCTATTTGCGGTTTGGTCCGATGGTACCTTCTCTAATGTCTTTTTACTTTTTCCTCCCCATCCATATTCCACATATTGCACAGCCTCCCTTTTGCTAAGGACAGGTCCATGCGGATACTTCTTTTTATCCTTCCATTGCACCGACTTGCGTATCCCAAAAAGCTAGGGCAGTTGACTAGTATACGCCTCTTATCCTGCGATCTTCATTGCAGCAATTAAACTTTTCATACCTATTGTATACATCGTCGGAAGTTTCTCAAATAAGTCAGTGACATGCTCCACGTCGGAACTACAAGGATATCAACATAGAAAATATACAATTCCATGGTGGCATTGACTATTGCCCCCTGCAGGGCCGGTGAAAGCTGCATCACAGGCACACAGTAAAATCCGGCTGAAGGACTGGTAACATACTTTTTCTCTACATGGTAACCATTTAATCACACTCAGGGTCATAATATTGAACACGCGCTGAAGATATCTTGTCAATTTGTTCTGGTGTACTCGGAACTGATATCGAACTTCTGATTGCAGTAACATTCCAGCGACTTGGAAGGATACTTGCACACGAAGAATGCATCTGAAATACCGCACTACACTAGTATATGGCTTCCCGTCTGTCAATCAAAGTTTTTTTGATTGGTTAGTAATGCATTCTATCTGCAATATCATTGGACGCCAAATGCTCAGTCCCAGACTCTTTGGCAGGACATCTTGGGCGCACTGTGGCTAGTATACAAGCATATTGTAACGAATATACTTGGTTTTTGGATCTGCCAAATAGTCAGCCGACGTCAGCGGCGACAAGCCGCCAGCCGTCATTCCAATTGTGTTTTTGCCTATGACCAGCATCTGAATGGAGATATTAGATTACCTCTACCGGTGTCGATCGCTGGACCCGTTCTCAACGGTGAAAATGATGATCTCATCCTTGGTCTCGCTTCAAGCATCGAGAAATCAAATAGACTTTTATCTGATAGGCCCTTTTTGTTCCTATGGCTAGTAACTATGTTTATACCGTCACAGCTCGATCCTGTGGAGCAATTAGAGTATGGAGATATACAGATATAAGTATCAAAATTCCTTTCATGTTTTTCTTTAAATTAACTCAACTACAATCATCTTTGTCTTTAATCAGTTTATCTATTTTCACAGAATCTTCTCCTGTATTCGAACATTAACATACCACCATGAAGGTAGCCATTACTGTCGCTCTGTTGGTGTTTGCTGCCACTGAAGTCGCTGCGTACCCCAGGATAGCTGCTGGGTATGCTGAAAAACTCGCGAAATCACAGCGCGGCAAGCGAAGCACAGCTGCTCGAGACCCATTACAAAAGCGCTTTGGTTTTGATGCTGCATCGCAGTACGTTAGCACGACCGGAAAGAATGCGTTCGTTGCACCAGACTTTGATGCAGGAGATGTTAGAGGCCCTTGCCCCGGTTTGAATGCTGCAGCAAACCATGGATACATTCCCCACAATGGTGTTGGAACCATTGGCGATTTTATCGAAGGTACCAACACTGCCTTTGGCATGTCGTTGGATCTTGGAGCGTTTCTCGGCATCTATGGCGCCGTGTTCGATGGCAACTTGCTAGGTATGTCTGAATGTTCTTTTTCATGGGCCGGATGCTAACGTCCTATAGCTTGGTCGATTGGTGGACCAACACCTAACAATGCTCTTCCTTTGGGAAATCTCTTGGGTCTTACCGGCCAGCCCCGAGGAATTTCTGGCTCACACAACAAGTACGAATCCGACACCTCTCCAACTCGTCCGGATCTTTACTTGGCTGGGCAATCCTTCAATCTAGAGGTTGATTTGTTTCAAAAGTACTATGATGCCTTAATTGAGGGTGTTGGTGCCGATGCACAATATCAAGGACTTCTTGACTTCAGAATTGATCGCTTCAATAACTCTATTACGACGAATCCGTACTTCTTCTCTTCACCCTTTGCCGGTGTACTCGTCTCACCTGCCGGTTACAACTTCCCTGTTCGAATGATGTCCAACAAATCTGCAGAATTTCCAGAGGGCTCGCTGACAAAAAGGGACCTAATGTCTTTCTTCGCCATCACTGGCGAGTCTGGCAACTTCCAATATACTCCTGGCCATGAACGAATCCCAGATAATTGGTACAAGAGAGCTATTGGTGATGAATATTCCATCGTTAGCTTTCTTGCTGACGTCGTCGACTTTGCAGTGCAATATCCACCTCTTCTTAATATTGGTGGAAACACCGGCAAGCCAAATACTTTTACACCTGTCGATCTTCGATCTTTGACCAACGGTGTGTTTGAGACGGGAACTTTACTTGAGGGAAATAACTTGGAATGTTTCGTCTTTCAGATCGCTCAAGCAGCACTTCCTGATATTGCTCGTGGTTCTCTCATAAACGTCGTGGATGCCATTCAGCCATTCTCAGATATTGTTACTCAACGTCTTGCTGGCTTGGGCTGTCCGCAACTGAATGGCATCGACCAAAGCACATTCAATAATTTCCCAGGATACACTAATTGCAAGAATGGATGCTCATCGTATTAGATGAGATAGTATGGGCTGTGCAATTTACGGTGTTCTAATAATGACCGGATGGAGGATTTTAGCTGTCATTTTCAAGCAGATTCTATTCAATTCTTTTTAATTAATTCCATATAGATTAGTATATTTTCTTTCATTAGAATTGACTTGTATTTCGAAGAACTATTATATGAATGATTTGATGTGCAACGTTTATTAAGCTTCAACACCTTCATGAAAGAAAACTAAGAATCACATTGCATTCTTCAAATTGTACATAGGTGCATGAATCAACTCTTACTCAATTTTTATCGCAAGGCAGAGTCAAAACCATCAAAAGTACATGATATAGGTACTATACCTATACCTTGGCTGATCGAGGCTAATATTGATGATCACGTTTGCCAGCCTTGTTGAACCTCCTCGAAGCGAGGCTGAAATTCCTGCATCTCGAACTTCTGCTACTTTTCATTTCTCGATTGCCAGCATTATGAATTTGTCACTGACTGATCCCTTCGTTCTTGCACAAGACTATCCCGAATCATCTACACTTACTCTTCGTAGCGGCCATGCTTCGTGCGTGCGCTTTAATCGCAAAGGCGATTTCCTTGCCGCAGGGCGTACAGATGGCACCGTCGTGATTTTTGATGTCGAAACCAACGGCATAGCGCGAAAGCTCAAAGGCCACACCCGACAAGTGCAATCGTTGAGTTGGTCGTGCGATGGCAGATTCTTACTTACATCAAGTCAGGATTGGACGTGCAATATCTGGGATTTGATGGATGGGACTATTGTAAGGACTGTACGATTCGAGGCACCAGTATATTTGGCAGAATTTCATCCTTGGACACAGTGAGTCAAGAAATATTGGTTGACCTTTATCCTCCCAATGGAGACTGATAATTTTTTGCGCCTTCTAGTCTTAAGATATTGGTCTCATTATTCGAAGATCCGCCATTACTGGTAGATCTCACGAACCTAGAAGTGGTAAAATATATCCTACCTTCTACGATCAAAAAACGAACCGTGTACGGAGAAGATGAATCAAAACCCATCGCACCACAAACTACTACAGTCGCTATATTCACCGCATCTGGAGACCACATACTTTCGGGTACTAATAAGGGATGGCTAAATATAATAGAGGTGGCTACGAGGACAGTGATCTACTCCACGAAATTATGCACAGGGGTATTACTTTATATGCGACTTACGACTTCTGGGCGGGACGTGGTGGTTAATGCCCAAGATAGGATTATTAGGACGATACAAATACCTAATTTATCAGCAGAGGATCTGGACCCCGATACGATAGATATCGAGGTCGAGCACAAATTTCAAGACGTGGTAAACAGATTGAGTTGGAACCATGTGGCATTTAGTGCGACCGGGGAATATGTGACGGCTTCGACTTTTAACAATCACGATATTTACATCTGGGAAAGAAACCACGGAAGTCTGGTGAAGATTCTGGAGGGACCCAAGGAAGAGCATGGAGTGGTTGAATGGCATCCACATAAGCCCATGATAGCGGCATGTGGTTTGGAGTCTGGAAGAATACATATTTGGTCGATTGTTCCGCAGCAGAGATGGTCGGCTCTGGCACCGGATTTTGCGGAGGTCGAGGAGAATGTTGAGTACATTGAGAGAGAGGACGAATTCGATATTCATCCACAGGAAGAGATCCACAAAAGGAGATTGGATGCTGAGGACGATGATATAGATGTCCTAACAGTTGAACCAGTCAAGGGGGATGTTGTCGACGAAGACAATGCATTCAGGATGCCAGTACAACTTGATGGTGACGATACCGAGAGCGAAGAAGAGTTTGTAGCTGTGGGGAGGGGTGAAATGAGAAGGAAGAGTCCATCTGATGGGCGTAATTACCAGCTTGATTCGGAAGCAATCGGAAGTGCGGACGAACAACCTCGAAGGAAGAAAGGCAGAAGACGTTGATTCGTCTTATTCTTCTACTTTTGTTGGCAAATGGCGTTTTTAGGAAAGTAGGTGGAAGGATGTGGTTCGGAGCGTTGGTGGGGTACTTCGAACTGACTTGCATATCATATGCAGCTGCACATACATACAGCCAATTAATAGCTTACACATTAGGAGAAAATAATAATCTAGCAACAAGTTCATCCAGCACTTCCTTCGTTATCTTATCTCACAATTTTTGCATAAGTATTTATACAAGACATATATCTCCTGTTTTAGTTCTCCAAAACAGTCCGAAACTCTCGAGGTTGTACGAAAACGCCTCAAGCCTGCAAATCGCTTACATACCAACACATTCATTCCTGGCCCTCCAACCATATTGAATTCCTATTATCCGTCTTACATTCCCGTCTTGCCTATCCAGTGAAAGGTGGCTGCATCCAGGAACTTACCCCTCATTCCAAATTCACTCACATAAAGAACGTGATAAAGAGCTCCTCCTACCATGTCTGCAAATCGCCCAAGTCCTCCTTCCCTCACAATCACAACAAAAACACTCATACCACCCACAAACCTCATTGCTGTATCCTCAAATTCATTGAGTGCCGGTACACCATCTTCATCAAACTCAACCTCCACCGCAACCACGTTATCAGCAATTTCATCCGTAGCCAAATCGGCACTACCTATTTCAAGGGCTGGATTGAACAGGAAAATGCCGGCAATTCCAATCAGGGGGGCTGTGAAAGAGTTTGATTATATAGTTATCGGAGGTGGTAGCGGTGGGAGTGGGACGGCGAGGAGAGCGGCGGCGCCGAGGATAAAGGGGGGATGGGGGAAAAGGGTACTTTTAGTGGAGAGTGGGAAGAGTGGTGGGACTTGTGTTAATGTTGGGTGAGTTTTGGAAGTGTTTCTTCTGTTTTTGAATTGCGTTGAATGGAACTGTACACACAGCTTCTGGGTGATAATTGCAGCAGATTGAGTCGAGTGACTTGGGATGATGCATTAAAGTTAGTCTAAATTGTACCGAGGATGAGGAACAGTGGTGGGTGTGTTTTGAGCTGGGAAAACATAAACTTGTTATTTGATATCCGCTTTTTGAATCTGCGAAGAAATTTCCTCCTAGTATTCTTATAAGCCTATAAAGTACATTCGAATTCCACAAACACTAACAACAAGTAGCTGTGTCCCTAAGAAACACACTTGGAACTTCTCCTCCATGTCTGAAGCCCTTCGTGCTAGCCAACACTACGGTTATGAGACCCCCTCCAATATTCCCTATAATTACGCCGCATTCAAAGCTAAACGCGATGCCAACATCGCCGGTCTAAACCGTGGCTACGAAACCAACTGGGAGCGCGAGGGGATTACTCTCGTTCGTGGAGGTGCCAGGTTCATTGCTGCGAAAACTATCGCTGTTGAATTAGTAGATGGAACTGGCGTTGAGACATTCAAAGCTGAACATATCTGCATAGCCACCGGAGGCAAACCAATTGTTCCAAAGATTTCCGGAGCGCAATTTGGAATTACAAGTGATGAATTCTTCGGACTCGAGGAATTACCCAAGAAGATAGCAATTGTTGGTGCGGGATATATAGCCGTTGAAATGGCGGGAATGTTGAATGCTCTTGGAGGAATCGAAGTACATATGTTTATACGAGGCGACAAGATATTGCGAAAATTCGATCCGATGATTTCAGAAACGATGACGAGGACATACGAGGAAGCAGGGATTGTCATTCACAGGGGATATAAGAACTTTGCAAGGGTAGAAATGTTTAGTGGAAAGAAAACGGCGGAGGAAAAGGTGTTGAATTTGAGATGGGATGGGGATGATGGGAAGGGCTTCGTTGTTAATGAGGTGCTTTGGGCAGTGGGGAGGAGCCCGGATACCGAGGACTTGAATTTGGGGGTTGCGGGGGTGTTGACGGATGACAAGGGACACGTTAGGGTGGATGGGTTTCAAAACACTAATGTGGAGGGTGTGTATGCTTTGGGAGATGTGACGGCTCAGTTGCAACTTACGCCTGGTATGTATTTCCTTACACAATCTTATGAAAATTACATGAGGTATTTCTAACAAAATAGTAGTTGCAATAGCGGCTGGCCGTCAACTCTCCAACCGACTCTTCGGGCCCACTCAGTTTTCACAAGCTGCGCTCTCCTATAACTTCGTCCCAAGCGTCGTATTCGCACATCCAGAAGTCGGTACCATCGGGCTAACCGAACCGCAAGCTTTGGAAAAATATGGGGCCGGCAATCTCAAAATCTATCACACGAAGTTTGCAGCAATGTTTTATGATTTCTTTCCGGCGGAAGAAAAGAAACATTTACCGACCGAGTTTAAAATCATTTGTGAGGGAGACGAGGAGAGAATTGTGGGGTTGCATTTGATAGGACTGGGGGTCAGTGAGATGTTGCAAGGGTTTGCGGTGGCGGTTAAGATGGGGGCTAGAAAGAGGGACTTTGATGCTTGTGTGGCGATTCATCCGACGAGTGCTGAAGAGATTGTTACGATGAAGTAGCGGTTGGGCAGGGTGGAAATGTGGGTTCTAGGCGACGTGGGATGGTGTGGGAACAGGTGGGCATAGGCAATGGATGTGTGGACTGGATAGAAAAGGTAATTGGTGGTAACTTGAACAAAAGCAACGGGGTGGATATATTATGAGTACAATTGGTACAATGTATTTCTGGACATAGGGATTTGATCATGGCAATGAATTCTAGACTTCTTTCTTCTGAAATTGAACATAGAAACACAGAACTGATGAATGAAACTTTGTACTGATACAGGGCATTTTCCGGAGGACTACATGAAATAGTATCCACAGTCTTCTCGATCCAAAGTTCAAGCCATCTCAAGCTCTGTACAGGCAACTGTTGAAGCTTTCGTTGGAGGGAGCATCAAGTATGATCCCACGCAGAAAGAAATAGGAAAAGTGGAGATAGAGACTAGCTTGAACACATCATCTTGTGTGCTGTCCGGATACGTATGAACCATAGGGGACTGAAAATTAGGGTATTGGGAATTTATGATATTGAGGAGGAGAGAGAACCAGTGGAGATATAGGGACTAAAAGGAGAAAGAATATTGGAAGTAAAGCTTCGACTTCTGCCAGCGACTTGGCTGCCGAATCCCGATATTGTAAGACTTACTAGAAGCTTGACCTCACTACCTGTCTATCTAGTAGCAGAAAGCCAATTCAAAGAAAAAGTGCCTAGTAATTACCTATTTTGTATATATTCCTTTGTACTTCCCCCGGGTGTGCTACTTCGAATCCAGGCTAGATAGCTTCCTACTAGGGAGGAGTTAATGCCCTAGTCTAGCTCCTAAAATGTCGATAGTAGTGGTAGAGAAATCATCAAAGAAATATAAAAGCTATTTTCTTTGACCATTTCTCAAAATGTAAAATTTCTCTCCTTTTCTTGTTCCCATCAACTTCCCTCACCGGATGAGTCTTTTTTGGGGGGGTGAATGTTTGAAACAAATCATCAGCCACATCTCGTTTATAATTGGTTCACAACAATAAACTCATGGACTAACCACACTTGGTTAAGCGGGCTATCCGGTAGCCTCATCCATCAGCTTTCTTTCGCGACAGATCAAAGGAACCTCGTCTTAAGCAATCCCATCCACCACCATCAACAACAACCGACAGTTCGTGGAATCGCACCAAAAGACGTGGATTCCTCATCGCTGGTCTTTCTAGAGAGGAAGAAACTGTATACACTCCTTTATAGACAACGTCGACAGATCGGTCGAGTCCTCACGGTCGGAGAAATCGAAAATTGTCCTCAGGCCGAAGGCCTGGCCTCGCCCTCCCGATCGCAATATCAACATCCTATCCATTTTGCACATAGACTTGCTTGTTTCCCGATATAGTTCTTCTGCGAATTACTGAGAACATATTTTCGAGATAAAAATCGCGTCGCAACTTTGGTACAGTGGTGGATTACTTCTTATACCGCTCGTCGCCACATTTGCTTTTGACCTTTGAACTATAAATCAAATTTTTAATAAAAATCAACAACAACTGCCAATATGGCGAATCTTAATTTTGCGCATTCAGATGCGCCATTACGGACTATCCAGGAGATTCAATTTGGTCTCTTCTCTCCTGAGGAGATCAAAAATATGAGTGTAGCTCATATTTTGTATCCTGAGACTATGGACGAGAGTAAGATGAAGCCAAGAGAGCAAGGTCTTAATGATCCCCGACTTGGTTCTATTGACAGACAATTTAAATGTGCTACTTGTGATCAAAATATGTCGGAATGTCCTGGTCATTTCGGTCACATCGAACTGGCCAAACCTGTTTACCATCCTGGTTTCCTGAAAAAGACAAAGAAGCTCTTGGAGATGGTCTGCCACAACTGTGGTAAAGTTAAACTAGACAGGGTTAGTTTACTACCTGTTTGAGGTGGTTTGTTTCATGTACCTTGATGCTAACATCAAAATATCAGAGCAATCCAGCTTACAAGGCAGCCGTTTCTATCCGCGATCCTAAGCGCAGATTCGAGGCTATATGGAAGCTCTGCAAGACCAAGATGATTTGTGACAGTGACGTTCAGATGAATGAGGAGGAGTTTAACGCAGATCCAAAGGAAGCTGCAAAGAAATCGCACGGGGGTTGTGGCAACATTCAGCCTGAAGTTCGTCAAACTGCTCTGGCCCTCTGGGGTACTTGGAAAGCTCCCAAGGATGAAGATGGAGAGGCTGTGCAGCCTGACAAGAGACAAATCACTCCGGATATGGCACTCAACGTCTTCCGCAGCATGTCTACTGCTGAAATTCAGGATGTTGGATTGAATGCAGATTATGCTCGTCCTGAGTGGATGATTATTACCGTTCTTCCAGTACCACCACCTCCTGTTCGACCGAGTATTTCCATGGATGGTACTGGTCAGGGTATGCGAGGAGAGGATGATTTGACATACAAGTTGGGCGATATCATTCGTGCCAATGGTAATGTTCGACAAGCACAACAAGAAGGTTCGCCTCAACACATTCTGCAGGATTTTGAAACTCTGCTGCAATATCACGTCGCAACCTACATGGACAACGATATTGCTGGTCAACCACCAGCTCTGCAGAAGTCGGGTAGACCTGTCAAATCCATTCGTGCTCGTCTCAAGGGTAAGGAAGGTCGTCTCCGTGGAAATTTGATGGGAAAGCGTGTCGACTTTTCTGCTCGTACCGTTATTACGGGTGATCCCAATCTTTCCCTAGATGAGGTCGGAGTTCCTCGAAGTATTGCCAGAATTCTCACGTATCCGGAGACCGTTACACCACTAAACATTGATAAGTTGCATCAACTTGTCAAAAATGGTCCAGATGAGCATCCTGGTGCCAAGTATGTCATCCGATCTGATGGTACACGTATTGATCTTCGTCATCACAAGCGCGCAGGTGCAATTTCACTTGAGTATGGTTGGAAGGTTGAGAGACACATTGTTGATGGTGATTTCATTATCTTCAATCGTCAACCATCGTTGCACAAGGAATCTATGATGGGTCATAGAGTTCGTGTTATGCCTTACTCCACTTTCCGTCTCAATTTGTCTGTCACATCACCATATAACGCAGATTTTGATGGAGACGAGATGAACTTGCATGTTCCACAAACATATGAGACTCGTGCCGAGGTCATGAATCTCTGCATGGTGCCACTTAACATTGTTTCTCCTCAAAGAAACGGTCCTCTCATGGGTATCGTTCAAGATACACTGGCTGGTGTTTACAAAATCTGTAGAAGAGATGTTTTCATAACAAAAGAGCATTTGATGAACATCTTGTTATGGGTTCCAGACTGGGACGGTGTCATTCCTCAACCTGCTATTCTTAAGCCACGTCCTAGATGGACTGGAAAGCAAATTGTCAGTTTGATCATCCCTAAGATCGTCAATTCCTACAACGCCAGCAAGGATAAGGAGCATTTGCATGCGCCATTGAACGATGATGGTTGCTTGATCCAGGAGGGACAACTCATGTATGGTCTTATGGCCAAGAAGAATGTAGGAGCTTCTGGTAATGGTATTGTTCATATTGTTTTCAATGAACAAGGTCCTGATGCTGCAATGGCCTTTTTCAACGGTTGCCAGCGAGTTATTAATTATTGGCTCCTTCATAATGGTTTCAGTATCGGTATTGGTGACACGATTCCCAACAAAGAGACCATTGAGCAGATTGAGAAGGCTATCGCTAAGCAGAAGGCTGAAGTCACAGAGCTTGTTGAGAAGGCTACTAGTAACGAACTTGAATCCCTTCCTGGTATGAACGTTCGTGAAACCTTCGAGAGTCAAGTCTCCAAAGCTTTGAACGAGGCTCGTAACACAGCTGGTACAAAGACCGAGGACGGATTGTTGGATATCAATAATGCTGTACAGATGGCTCGCTCTGGTTCTAAAGGTTCTACTATCAATATCTCTCAGATGTCTGCCCTTGTGGGCCAACAATCTGTTGAAGGTAAACGTATTCCTTTCGGTTTCAAATACCGTACTCTTCCACATTTCACCAAGGACGATTATTCGCCAGAATCGAGAGGTTTTGTCGAAAACTCATACTTGAGGGGTCTCACTCCAACAGAGTTCTTCTTCCACGCCATGGCTGGTCGTGAAGGTTTGATTGATACCGCGGTTAAGACTGCAGAAACTGGTTATATTCAACGTCGTCTTGTCAAAGCTCTTGAGGATGTTATGGCCAAATATGATGGTACCGTCCGTAACTCACTTGGTGACATTGTTCAGTTCGTCTATGGTGAAGATGGTCTAGACGGTGTCATTTTCGAGAATCAAAAGATGGATCATATCAACATCAGTAACAAGGCATTCAATGATCTCTTCAAACTTGAAGTTATGTCTGAGCGGATTTCAACAGATGTCCTAGAGCATGCAAACGAACTCTACGGAGATCTTGAGACGCAACAACTGCTTGATGCAGAATTTGCTGCACTGGAAGAGGACAGAAGAATTCTTCGAGACTTCGTCCACTCTCGAACCAAGGAGAAGGATGACGATCACTTCCAACTTCCTTTGAATATCATTCGTATTATCGACAGCGCAAAGAGATTGTTCAAGACTGATGACGGAAAGCGCAGTGATTTACATCCCAGAGATGTCATCCCAAGAGTGCAGCAGTTACTCGACCGTATGATCATTGTCCGTGGAACTGACGAGCTTTCTGTTGAAGCTCAATATAATGCCACAATTTTCATCAAGGCGCAGTTCCGATCTCGTCTTGCCTACAAACGTATTGCACTCGGTATGCACCTCAACAAGCTTGCTTTTGAACACATTCTTGGTGAGCTCGAGACTCGTTTCACTAGAGCTTTGGTCAACCCTGGTGAGATGGTTGGTGTGCTTGCTGCACAGTCTATTGGTGAACCAGCCACACAAATGACCTTGAACACTTTCCATTTCACTGGTATTTCATCCAAGAACGTTACTCTTGGTGTGCCACGTCTCAAGGAAATTTTGAATATCGCTCCGAATATCAAGACACCCTCCATGATTGTTTATCAGGATGGACCTAATGCTAATCAAGAGACTGCTAAGTTGTTGCGAAGTGCTGTTGAACATACTACCCTGCGCTCCGTTACATATGCTACCGAGATCTACCACGATCCTGACATTCAATCTACTACCATTGAAGATGATATTGATATGGTTGAGTCTTACTTCATTATTCCAGAAGAGCATCATGATTCACCGGATAATCAATCCAGATGGCTTCTTCGTCTTATTCTCGATCGTCAAAAGATGTTGGATAAGGGATTAAAGGTCGATGATGTTGCTATCAAGATCAAGGAAAATTACCCCAAGGATTTGGCCGTCATTTTCAGTGACAACAATGCCGAGCAACAAGTTATTCGTATCCGAATGATCAAGCAGAGCGATTCAAAATACGATGATGATGACATTGAGGAAGATATCATGCTTAAGCGACTCGAGGCGCATATCCTCGATACTTTGACCCTTCGTGGTGTTCTCGGTATTGACAGAGCTTTCTTGAACAAGGATGTTAAGCTATTTGAGAAGCCTGATGGTAGATTGGTTGCAAGCAGAGAGGACAAGGACTGTGAAGAATGGTACCTTGATACCAGTGGAACATCACTGAAGGAAGTCTTGACTGTGCCAGGAGTTGATCCTCGAAGAACCTATTCGAATCATTTCATTCAGGTTTTCGTGGTCTTCGGTATCGAAGCTGCTCGATCTGCCTTGATGCGTGAATTGACAATGGTGTTGGCTTTCGATGGTTCTTATGTCAACCATCGCCATCTTGCTCTTCTTACTGATATTATGACATCACGTGGCCACCTAATGGCTATCACTCGTCACGGTATCAATCGTGCTGACACTGGAGCTTTGATGAGATGTTCTTTCGAAGAAACTGTTGAGATTTTGCTTGAAGCTGCGGCAGTTGGTGAATTGGACGACTGCCGTGGTATTTCCGAGAACGTCATGCTTGGCCAGCTTGCCCCTATGGGAACTGGAGAGATGGATGTTTTGCTTGATCCAAAGATGCTGGAAACTGTCATCTCTGACAACAGCCGAATGGGTCTTATGGCAGGAATCCCCGTTAAGGGCGGTGAAGGTGGTGCTGCAACTCCTTACGATGGCCAATCTCCACTAAATGAGGGTGGTTATCTTGGTACACCTGATTATGGTGCTGCATTCTCTCCCATCCAAAGTGCTGGTTCTGAGACACCAAGCGGATTTGCGACAGAGTATGGTGGAAGTCTCGGCTTTGGTGGTGGCATGAGTCCTTATGGAGCTGGGTCGAGAAGTCCGGGTGGTGGTTATTCTCCAACCAGTCCTTTCAATGCATCTCCAACCTCCCCACAGTTCTCTCCTTCCAGTCCTGGTTACAGTCCAACTTCGCCAATGATGGGAGGTGGTGCAAGCCCTGGATATTCTGTTTCGCCTCGGTTCTCGCCGGTCAGCCCTGCATTCACACCTACATCTCCTGCCTATAGTCCTACCAGCCCTAGTTTTGTGTCCCCAACTTCGCCTTCGTATAGTCCAACGTCACCAAACTATTCACCAACCTCTCCTAATATCCATGGATCACCAACTAGTCCGTCTTATAGTCCTACATCACCATCGTACTCACCAACTTCTCCCAACTATAGTCCGACCAGTCCAAATTATGCTGGAAATAAAGTATCACCAGGCTCAGGTCTCTCACCTACCAGTCCTGTCTATTCTCCAACTTCTCCAAACTGGAGTCCATCTTCGCCCCAACACCAGGGCAACAATACTTCTCCAAAATATTCCCCAACCAGTCCCTCTTACTCTCCTACTTCTCCAAACTTTTCTCCAACGTAAGCCAAGCCATTGCTTTTGATTATGGTACCCTTGCTAACATGATATAGATCCCCTCGCGGTGGGAATAACTGATTTTCTTTTTCCTTTAATGTATCAACATTGCCTAAGAAAAGAATATGCATATGGTCTCTGGGCGTTCTGGGTTTGCCTGCTCATAATCTTCAACCTGAGGATTTTTTCATTAGCATTTGGGTCTTTTCATATTCCTACCATGGCGTTATGGGAATGATTTAAAGCCTAGTACCAAATTTTGCTTTAGATATATTCCACAGCCACCCAAAATTGTATTATGGCTGATGATTCAGGATGTTGGGGGCGGTGGATGCATGCATGGGATATATTGCACACGAAATGTCATTTTGAGCAAGGAAAGGCAAAGGAGATAAGAATGGGTGAATGAAGAACGAGATAGATAAAGGGATGAGACGAGATGATCTTAGATGTCTTGAATGCATTTATGAACATATAATTGAATTGTAACCTTTATGCTTGTGTAAGTTTTTCAGTCTAATAATTAATGTTCTGTGAATGATTGAGTTGTTAATCTGATTTTCCCTGCTGCATATTTGCTGTGGATTTTTATTGAGTGTTGTGTCAACTCCAGAAGTGTTCATGTATGTATGCACATCCTATTGGGTTTCTTGAGACCAGAAAGAGCATCAGATTGAATTGATTGATTCTCTAGCTAAGCAGTTAAGCTGCGAGTATATATTCAAAAAAAATGAAGGAATAAGGTTAGGTATTCAGCCTTCGGAATTAAAGTGCTTTGAAATCAAAATATTGAAAGCAAACAAACAGTATACCAAAAAGGAAAGAATGAATTAAAAGTTGAGTTTTGTTTGCTCCTTATATGCATCATGCAATGTATATGCATATGCTGCCAAGATCCCAGGAGGTCAACACATCCGTATGTCGTAGATATATGGAGCATATACGCATGCAAACTATTTCCATTACCACATATCCCTGATATCATCTAATGAAGCCCTTGAAAGCAATTCAACAATGGGTAAAGATGATATATCTAAAGTCTAGTCACCACCATGACTATTCTAGCAGTTCACAGAAACAAATCACCAAGCCCAATAAGAGAGTTCTACTAGTACTAGCTAGATTCATGAAGATATCGTAAAGGCGAAGAATGCTAAGGATGCTAAGAGCAGCTCCTTTTCTATAGATTAGAGGTATAAAGTGTACTAAAACTCGATATTGTAATCTTACATAAACCCATTCACCCCTATCCTTTATTTAAAGATTCGATATTATAAAGTATAAACATGAATTTATATTCTAATTCCATCCCTTATCCGAGTTATTATGTTCGCATCACTATTTTACACCACCGCATACCCTTCCCAAAACGTGTTTTGAGTAAATTCTATATTCACCGTATAAGTATTATTTCCCTACATAAGGATTCCTTTATGAAGTTGAATTTCCTTTCCTTCTTTACTCAAAAACTAAATATCAAAGATTGAATTTCAACTCGAAGCTATTTGTACTTCTTTGCCTCCGAGCCTTGAGATTTTCCTTCTTTTGGACTATTTGCAGAGTAATGTTATTGATTGTGACAAGTCTTTAAGAGTTTCAGGTTTCTTCTGGATTATAATACTCTTCATACATTGTCTAGTAGTTTATTGGTTCATCAAACTATCTACATCGATCCTTCCTTTTTGAACAGCGGTTAGCATGTCCGACAAAACTCAAAACTCAAAATTACCTCCTGCCTCTTACTTCGTACACTGCAGAAAGATCATCATAACAAAAGAACAAAAACAAAGCAACAACAGCAAGAATGACTGAAATCGAAATCCTCCAAAAAAGAGCAGATAGTCCCAAGCTCAAAACATGGGAAGTAAAAGCACAAAAGAATGTACGATCAAAGAAGCAACCGGCACTTTGGAACTTCAACCACCCGCCAAGATAACTCCCAGCAAGGCAACTATCACTGGTTTTGCAGCGGCCCTTCATACAATGTTACCTTCTAGTCCTACCAAAGCGGTTTCTACTCCGAATGAACAGATGCCAGCAAGCCCGAATAAGAATCAGAAAACTACGGCTTACTATGATTTGACTGAGTCTCCTGAACCGACGGATAATTAGTTGGCGATTAAGGTGTACTGGCTAGTGCTAGATGGATTTGGAATGCTTGGAAGGATTTTGCTGGTGTTGATATCATTTCGGTGGTACTACTTGCATAGTACTATTACAGTATTTGTGGTTATTTATTCTTAATTATCATGATATGAAGAAGGGTCTATTTATGTTAAAGAGGGAGGGGCTAGAGTTCACTAATGGTACGGCTCCTTATGTGAGCCTAGTCACATGACATAGCAACAGATGGAGTCGATGGGATTGAGGTTTATGTCATCCTCAGACCCTCTATTTCGATTATATTTTAGTATTATTTTATGGTAAATACACGGATTTTAATTAATTATTGTATAATTAAAATTTAGGTGTCATTTGGTTAATAAGAACTCGGGGAAGGATAATTGTAACGATACTGTACTGGAGGCAGTGGCTGCCTAAGGTTTCGTCTGGTTGGTAGTTGTGGGTTAAGGCTTTATCACTGGTATTCACTTGGAAGTGAATTCGTTACTAGATCAAGTAGAATTTAGGTAGACTAATTGATAACTAAGTTGAGCACGAAGCTCCTATACTATGAAAATAATGAATGTTTATATACTGCTCCTTTCCAGGAGCCTGGAGGAGCCTACGCTCCTGGGGGCTCCATCACGTGATCCCTACTTGTCCCACGTGATGGTGAATCGTGACAATAATCTCCTAAAGAATCTAAAAACTTTTAATCGCTTTTTTGATGAACTGTTACGTTGTAACATTATAAACTATTATCACGTGTTATAGGATCATATGGATAGTCTTGTGAGGGAGCGAGGGAGCGAGGGAGCGAAGGAGCGAGATTCGAATCTCGCTCCCCAGCTCCATCGCTCCAATGTTGGAATACGAAGGTCTATATAATCAAGATGGATTCCCTTTGTATAGAGATTTGTGCTCAAGATCAAGATCAATCATTTAGTATACTCTACTATTAGTTACGGATTGCATCATTGTCATTACTTAAGTCCCTGCTTGACGCCTAGTTATAAACCACCTCGAGAGCCTAGAGCACTTCCACGTGATCTAGACGGCAAACCTCGTAACAAGAAGGGTCTGAGGATGAGATAAATTGAGGTATTGATTAGTTTGCCGCTATTATTGATATCACTTTGTATCTCTGGAGTACTTGGGAATAGAATTAAATTATGTTTATTCAGATGATTTTGATGTGATTTATATGAAGAATTGATGTATTTTTGAGTGACAAAATTATTGAGAATGAGGCCTTTAATTTCCTTTCTGATCTTGGGATTCCACGTACTCTTACTTCCGAGCATTCACCGTAGTAGCTATAGAATGCCAAAACAACATGAGAATATGCGGAAGTCTAGTTAGCCATAAGCAAATCTTAATACATTACCATATTTTATCCTCATTCCACTTGGAAGAATACTCCTAGAGGCTTCAAGCGAGATGCTACTCTCTGCAATGCGCAACAACCGACTCTAGTCAAAATAGTTTCCATCAAACATAGCATACCATAGATGCGAAATATCTACTTGGACATTGGCTCATGTAATCCTGTTTAATTGGCATTGCGACTTCGCTGATATCAGGGTTCAAATATCTTTACTATACTTACTAGGTATGTTTGTTATTCTGGCACTATGCCTCCAGCTCGGGGTGATCTGAAACGCAGTAGCATGCTTGTAAAGTTAAATGTATTGTCTTGGTCGGGCTTAAAAACCTGCACTGGCAATGCACTGCATTCACCAGTTGGCATTTAGAATCAGTGATCACCGATATCGTAGTATGGTGTTGCACCATCACTAGATTCTAACAGACTAAACATCGACTAGTACGGTACAGTATTCCTCCACATGTACCATTTGTACTATCAAACACATCTATTGTAGTCACTGAGTATATATGGAGAAGGGAGAGATCCGGTTGTTTGACGTCGGGGCAATCACGTGAGTGAATCTCACTGCACGTCCCGAGGTTTACCCTTGGTAGAAGTCACTATGGTCCGAGCTCAAACCATTGATCATTACTGCGGCCGACAACACCGCTCCTTCTTTTCTATTAATCTATTTTATACTTTGATATTGAGAGATTGATTATCAAACAGATCAGCCAAATTATTATTACAAACAAGCAAAACAAGTAAAAAGTATACCAAGTACATGTATTGAATTTCTTCCTAACTTTTGCCATCAACATTTGCTAATTTGTATACCACAAAATCAGAATCCGGTTTCTCTCCATCAATCAAGTGGGGTCAAAATTTATGCGGCCGCAACAAACAGAGTAACTTTCTCAGAGCCGACCGAGCAATTTGACCCGAAGATGGATCATCCTCCGACTGGCCCGAATCATGGACCTCATGGATCCTCTGGTCCTCATGGACCGAATGGTTCCAATCCCCTTACCCTTGGTCCAAATAACATGCCTCTTGGTCCGAATGGCATACCTCTTGATCCAAGTAACATGCCTCTTGGTGCCAATGGCGTACCTCTCGTCCTAGAGAGAAAGGCACCACAGGCATGCGTAACATGTAAAAAACAAAAAAGAAAGTGCGATAAAGTACTTCCGAATTGTGGTCTCTGCTTTAGAATGCAGCGACACTGCGATTACACTGAACAAACTCCTGCTCCTACGGCTGAGGATATCAATGCTTTACGCATGAAGTTAGTTGAACTTGAATCTAAAGTTAATGGAGGTAATATGCATGCACCTTATGCTACACCTTCGGGCCCAATTTCCAGTGGCCCTGAATATATGCAACCACATTTGCCTGCATATGTAGATCCACAAGAAAGTCCCTTCAATAACATACAAAATAAGTTCCCTGTTATGGCTGTTCTTGATAATGAAATTTTCAGGAATGAAGGGCAAGTGTAATGCTTCCGGAAGGTCAATTTTACTTTGCTGACCAAGTTTTAGTCTACCTGTACCTAGACCTGCGGTGAACCCGCCACCAGTAAGTTAGCATACATCTGATCTGCTTGTTTTACCAAGTGTTCAAAATCCCAAATTTCTTCCTTGAAGTTCGTGATTTCATGCGCGGATACGCTGTTGTAGGTGGTCAATCCAATCTTGAAACCTGCTAATAAATACTGTTTAGGAAGTCAATCAAATGTTGGCAACTGGACTCCCCATACCTGCTGTTATCTTAGAATATTTTGGGACTATTCACCACTGTCTTCCTATAATATCTCATAACAGGTTAGAACGAATGCTCACTACTTCCCCGTGGGATAATGGTGCCGACTTATCTTTGCTATTCCTTTGTATGAAGCTCATCACATCCAAGCCAGTAGATGGCCAAGAATGTCGCCAAAACCCCATGTACATTGCGGCAAAACGATTCGTTGCATTGTTGGAAGCTTCTGGAATGGTATCATTGATCTTATTGCAAGCTAGCATTCTTATTACTCTTTTCGAGTATGGACAAGCCATATATCCAGCAGCATGGATGTCTGCTGGTTGGTGTTCTCGTTATGCTATTTTATTAGGCATCAATGGTTTTGACACCTCTCCTCAATTGATCGGTCCTGTTGTAAGCATTGTGTTCCATTTTCGTGTTGCACATCTAACTAGATTTAATTTTTAGGATACCTGGACTGAGCAAGAAGAACGACATCGTACTTGGTGGGGCGTTCTTATACTTGATAGGTAAATTTGCTATATTTAGTCTGATTGTCAGCAGCTAACAAATAACAGAATGGTCTCCATAGGAAGCAAAAGTCATCTCTTGACCACTCAAGAACCAAAAGAAGAAGATCCGTTGCCTGTTGATGATATTGCCTGGGTAAGCTCTGGATGTAAAGCTCTATGATCTCGATCTAATGGGAAGCTAGGATAACGGCGACATGACACAAACGGTTCAGAGATCTGTATCTACTTCGCTCACTGAATCTGTAACACCATTTGCTCGCCTATGCCAAGGATCTGTGCTGTTGGGAAATGTTCTCCGTCACCATTATACCGAAAAAATTCCGTCGGAAACAGCTCGTTTTGATATCGCATATCAACTCTTCGAAAGCTGTTCTGTTCTCGCTCGTGAAGTCAATGAAGAAGCGGTCGCCTCTAGAGATTATCTCATGTTAGCAACACCTCTTGCTATTATTTACAGCGCAATCATAGCTCTCCTTGATCCCTATTCCCGTCCCGCAGATGGGTCATGCAGCGCAGCAACTTCGTCCGAGAAAGGAGTCATGATGAATCAAGCCATCAAAGGCCTCCAAGATTTCTCACAAAGCGTGGTTCAATTTGCAGAGTGCATTAACAGCCAAGCTCAGACACAACAAGATCTTGATAAAGTTAGTCCATTAATAATGGATTCTTTGTGGGCAGCAGGCCAGCATTACATGTGGGCGTGGAAAGAAAGTCGCAATCCACAATCACAAGAGGCGTTGGAAATCATCCGAAATTGTTTGAGAAGATTTCAAACTAGATGGAGAAATGCGGCAGAGTATTTGAGGATCTTTGATGGTCAAGAATTTGGACAATTTACTTCTGCGCTTGGGAGTGCTAAGCAGATTAGTGGTAGTGGTAGTGGTAGCGGTAGTTAATCCGCTTGTGGCTTTTATTTATTTGTAGCTGCGATTTTCATGTATTAATTTGGACGATTTTTTTTATTGGGGCTTCCTAAGGCTATTTATTGAGTATGTACAGATTTAACTATATTGGAGCAGGACTTATGAGTATATAGTTTTTTATTTATGTATCCGGATATCTTGAATCTATTATTACCTACCAAATTTTATTCGTAGTGTTACTAAATAGGCACTGAAAGTTATAGATTTCGATATCGGGATATTAAATCACCTTTTATGATGGTGAGGGAGGATTGCTGAGGTGATCTTGGGTTAGTTGGTGTATTGGATATTGGATATTGAATCATAATCTTACAATTCGTGTTTTGAGGATGGAAATAGGAGATAAGAAGTTTGTAATCTCAGTGGGGACTTTTCCTGGAGACGAAGAAGCTCTTGGATTTTTGATGGAATGTGAAATGTGAAATATTGATAACTATTAACTAATTAGGTAGGATTTCTAGATAGAAGGGTTAAGAGAATAATAGGAAATAAATTGGATTATTAGGAAATTAGATCATTCATGGAAAGAGTGATTAATATCCTCATTGCGAATACTGGTGTACTGTATATACGATGATTATTCATTCTGAACAATGAGTCTATCTATTTCTAGGTATCTCTATTTTACAGGTTTCTAATCTATCAATCACAGCACTCCTCTAAAACTTATAAACTTGATCTTTTGAGTATCCCAACTCCTTCAAGATACCAGCCAATTCACCCTGATCGGAAGGAGAAACCTTTCCACCAGAGATAGCCTTGTACATTCCTGGAGGACCACAAACGAAGAGTTTAATGTTCTCGGACTTGGGTTCGGGGAGAACAGTCTTCAAAAGCTCCTTGTTGATGAATCCTTTTCCACCCTTCCATGATTTGGGTGGGTTATCTAAGACGTAGAAAGCGCGGAATCTTTGTGGGTATGTGTTCTCGAGATCTTCGAATTCGCGCTTCAATAAGATATCTTCTTCGGTGACGTTTGCGAATACCAATGTAACCTTTGTCTTGTCTGCTGGGTTGTTGAAGATAGCTCGTGCGAGTTGGTACATTGGAGTAATACCGGTTCCTCCAGCAATGAGAGCAATATGGTCATGCTTGTTTGCTGACCATGCGTATTTGGGGATAGGCCCCTTGAAGTCTAATCTTTGACCTGGAACCATTTCGTGCATGTGTTCGGACATAACACCATTTGGGTATTTCTTTACAAGAAGGTCAATAAAACCCTTTTCACCTAATGAAGAATTAGTAAAGGATTTAATAGAAGAGGAATGAAAAAATTCTTACCCTCGTCACTTGTGGGGGTATAAGGACGAATTGCAGGCTTTTGCATCTCCGGACCCTTATACTTTGTAATAAGAGCAGAAGTAACATGTAATCCGCTGACTTGGTCGCTCTCAGGAAGCTCGAATCTGAATTTTTTGGTGTTGTGATTGACAAGCTCCACGCTGTCCAATTTAAGACTGATGAAGCCTTGATCACCACCAGTGAAAGCAGCTTTCCCAACAGCTCCTTCAACCTTAGCTTGTCCCTGTCCAAGAGCCTCCTTTGCCTTGGCTTCTGCGTCTTTTGCTGCATCCTTGACCTTTGCGGCATTATCTCCCTGACTCATGAAATAGTAACCTGCACCAGCTACTGCTGCTGCGACGCCGGTGTACAAGGCAGTATTCGAGCCGCTGCTTGAGGATTCGGTGGCATATCGTCGGTATTGCTATATGTCGATATATTAGCCCATGTAAAGTATTGAATTGGACCATTATGAGCCATGGTGCCGTGGTCTTCCAGCAAGCTATCTATTTGAAGCTTGGTGTTCCACGGCAGCAAAAAAAATAAACAAGTAGCGGGGTTCGGCTTACACTTCTGAAAGGCTGAGCCGCTCTGAGGGTCTGTCTTGCAAACATGATGAAATTTGATATATTTTGATGTCAATTGGGTATCGAAAATGTACAGAGAAATACAGAAAGACAGTATGCCGGGTTCAAGAGTGTATGCTGAGGAATCAAGACTTGGCTTGAGAAGCTTGAAGCTTTCACTATTTACCCACTAAGTGACGTAAATAAACCGGACGTCGCTTCATCGCTAATAATAAGAGCCCGTGCAGGCTTGCAGCTACAGTGGATTGATTTACGATTCTCGGACTTAGGAGAATTGGACTTAGGAGAATTCATACCTTGTAGGTCTACTCCGTATGAATATCTTGAATTAGAGGTGATCTGATGCATTTCATGTTAAAATAGGAACTGGAGTGCTATGTATAGAATTGTTTACAGGAATATTTATAGTAACCTTACTAAAATGCTACTAGTGTTGTAGCATCATACAAGACCTAGCTGTAGGTATTTAAAGCTCGGGTAAAACTGCTAAAGAAGAACTCCTGGAAAGATGACTAATATGAGCTTAGTAACCGCTGATATAATTGGTGCTCGGCAGAACATCGTAGACTTTAGACTTCACTTCAACCTCACCTCATCATCCTTAGTTATCTAGTAGGTATCATATACTGCACAATGATATGATAGCTATCTACCTAATAAAGTATGGAAGAAACGGGAATTTCAATGGATAAAATCATGTGATGCTAAATTCTACTCCAAATAAGTACCTAATCTGATTTTTATCCCCCTTGCACTGCTTTGTTTTTTGGCCTTTTGCTCAAGTTTGACATCAGCCTTCATATTTGATGGCGCACCAATAATATGACTTCCTGAATGTATCTTTGCATCCCGACATCACTTGGTAATTCAGAAGAAGCATCGTATGTGAGGTCATAGAACTCTTCTTAATACCTAGTCAAGACCACGTCTTCGATGTAAAATACAATACTCTTCCTCGTTCCTCACAATTCTACCATACTTCTTGTTATGCCAATTCTCTTTATACAATCATAGACGGCATTCTCTGATTCTGCATATAAAAGAAGTACCTCAGATACAAAGTGTGCATCAGTGACAACAAGTAAGCATTCATTACCGTCTGGTGTCCAATTTGCAGACTTCCTCGTGACAAGTGTCGATTGATAACTCGTTTCCAAGATCCATAGCATAGCCCCAAATGATTTCCTCTGAGATTACTTTAGGGCAGCAAAGGTATTGGAAGGATGGTATTGGGTCGCTTCGAATTGCTAGAGATGAGTTATTGATATTACTATTTAATATTTACTTTTGAGGATTTTGATTATTCCGTTCCTTTCAACCCCAAAGAACAGACAAACAAAACAATCATATCCAGCATAAATTTATCACTACTTTGCTGCATTACGTGGCAAGAAACTGATCATTTTGCTTTCTTCATATTCATCTTCATCACTTTATTTTTGATTCTGCTGTGCTGAATTAATTATCTTGTCTTTGAGAAATTGTTTTCAAAAGATCATCATTCTTTCATCTTCACTTACTCTAAAGAGAACTTCAGTTTCAAATAAATTCCATCAAAGGTGATTAGTATGCGATACTTTGATACAGACGCAAACAAAAATGCCTCGCGTGCTAACTACTCCTACGCGTGGTGACCAAGAGAACCATCAAGGTGTGTTGACTGATGCAAGCTCTCGTTTCAATAGGCAACCGACCAATAGCTTCAGCAAGAAGCCGCACTATCAATACCTTTCACGACATTCCCTCACCACGTCTGACTGCAAAGACTTCAATCTTGATTACTATTTCTCAAGCACTAGCAAGTCATCCCATCCACCTCATCGGAGATTGAGAGGCGGCACTAGCACCCGAACATTGCGTGGTATTGCTCCTCACCAACAAGCTGGAGCCAATCGCAATCTATACGAGACAATCCCATACATGCCTTCAAAGCTTTCCAAGGTAATGATTGCTGAATACGAGCTACCCATTACGGACATTGATACATCTCCCCCTACGATGGTATGTCCGTATTCTATTGCACAGGCCCATCATCAGATCATTTTAAACTACCTCAAAGATAGCCGCGTTTCAATCTATCTAACTGCCACCAGTCTACCAGACTCTTGCTCAATAAAAAATTGCCGTCTAAGCCGATTTGCCGCCTCGAAAACTCGCCTGAACGCCGAGGTTTACTTGACGCTACCGATCTTAATTCCTCTTCTTTGCAATTCCCTATTCTTCTGCCAAAAACCCCAGTCAAATATTCTACTGTCTCAGAACAAGTTTCCACAAAATCACTGGCGCAAGACCTTGATTCTGTTGTCACTAGACCAATTTCACACATTTGTGACGCTGGTTCTGATTTTGAAACCAGAATCGCTCAAATCGGAACTGCTTACGAAGGCACGACGATATCGAAGGTCTCAACCCCCCTCAACGACGAAAAGATGACCTTACCAACAGTCCGACAGAACAATTCAAGCCTGAAGCGAATACAACATAGCCAATCCAAGCTTACGGGTGCTGCTGACTCTACCCAAACAAAGAGTTTTCATCTCGGTGTTCCAAACAGCAATGATCGTCTTACGCCCGAAAGCTATCTTGCCTCCCTCCAAAGTAATGGTAGTCCAGTACCGAAAAAACGACGCCATGCCCGATCTAGCTTAGGTAATGGCGAAGGTAGCAAGTCCGTCGACAACATTTTGTCTCGCCATTCAGAACAGGAAAATCGTTTATCTTTTGAAGGTGATAATGAGAAGGCTTTATTTGGACCTCTTATTCAAATTAATGACGACAACGTCAAATTGCGTGATAATCAAACCGAAGGTGCCACCGATGGTCCAAAACAAGCTGATAGTCATGGAGATTCCGAAGATTCCGCCGAAGGTGTCGCCGAGGATGCTACTCAAGAGGTCACCCAAGATGCCACCGATGGTCAAACACGACTTGCTGAACAAGAAGTTCCTACCAAGGATGTCGTTCAAGGCGTTGCCGACATTGCAGACAGTTCATCTCAAGTTGCTACAAACAATGCTATCCTTGCCGTTGCCCACAGTGGCTCAATGGGTCGTTCGGAGAGTCAAACTACCATAGGTAGACGGAATAAGATGGTTCCGCCTCCATCCAAGCGGTTTGCTAGAGATGCCGATAGAACCATCTTGGGTAGATCACCACCGTAGGTTTATTTGTGCACTATCTATTCTCAACACAAACTAAACCTTATATGCAGATATTCTAAAGTTAGTGCCCGTACATACATGGAGCAGCCTATTGAAGAAGTCGAAGATTCGAACACTAGTCGTCGAAATATGACCAGCGGTGTCTCCTCAACAAAGCCGAAAGGATTCAAGCGTGTACTTGCCGCTCGTGCTAGTACTTCAACCATACAAAGCGGAAATATAGCTGTTCCTAACGATAACAACGGTGCGAAGTCAAATTTTGCACGAAGACTGTCATCATTACCAGACTCTCCAGAGAATCAAACCCTCAAACCCGTTACCGTCGAGAAGAGACTCTCATTTACTGAGCGTCTCACTAAACCAACCGCATCTTCTGCAGCTCGTGCTAATGCCCGCAAGTCAGTCCCCGCTCAAAAGTCAAACACGATGGCTTCTGTTAAGAACGCAGGAAGAGGTCTTAAGAGCCGACTCTCTGGCATGATCCGCACCCGCCGTGCTTCGGAGGTAGTTGGCCTCGTCGAACCTGACGTTCACTCCTCTTCTAATGCTACGGAACAGACTACAATATATCAGGATATTCCCACTGTTGTCTTAGAGAAGACCCCCGAGATTGCTCCATTCGCAAATGATCGCGATGTTGGCGAGGAGTTTGCTTCATTTTACAGTAAAATGGAGTCCCGCTCTGATCAATTTGGTCCAGCAGAACTACCTACAAGTCTTGTTGAGCCCATCAACTCTCGAATTATCAGAACAGCCGAGGACACTTTTGAAACAGCCAATGAGAATAACAAAACATACCAGCAGATAATCGATCATTCTACGTTGGTCGCACAAAGTCCTGAAATATCCGTACAACGCTCTGCGATGTCTGAAGCAGAAGTCGATGCCATTTTTGAAACTCGAAATGTAACACCTTCAGATTCTGTTTTTGGAGACCGCATCCGAAAATTGTCATTGGCCAACCTCCCTACACGTACGCCTCCATTAGTTCCAGAAGACCACAGTCAATCTCAAGTAGATGGTGAATATGACGTTCAAATTGCTGCTGAAGATGGTTCTTCAGATCCTCCACCAAACGAGCAAGGCAATGGCGGCCACGCAGTCGAGCAACCTCAACAACAAACCTTCAACGACTCACTTGATGAAATCAAAGATACACTAGTCAAGCTCCGAGCTGCTCTTCAAGAAGAACAAGATCCATACCAACAACTTGTTCTCATAGGCTTTAGTGTACATCTGACATCCCTGGTCCAGTCCATTAATAACAACCGCAAACTTCTTGTATTCCTAAAGAGAGCTAATGATGCAATGTGGGTAAATGCTTCAGTTGAGTCTTTAGAGGCTCGGAAAACTCTCCATTATTTGGCTAGAAGAGTAACCGCTAATGGCAATACCTAAAAATTGGTACAGACGTCGTTATTGCACTCATGTACCTTTAATTTGTTAGCTTCATGTTTTTCCGCGAGTTCATGATAAGATCTTGCGGAAATCTCACTCGTTCAGCTCAGTTCATGGCATAAATCGTCACACATATTCTCCAGCAACTATTTCAACGATTTCCATCCTACAATACCTAACTACCTTCTGTGTACATTTGAAAACAGCTACTTACTCTAATTTTCCCAACTCGAATACTTCAATTCAATTTAAGAGATCAACAGATTTCATCATCGTCTCAGTATGATTTTCTGTTAAAGTAATCAATCTTACCTAGGATTAATTACTTCACTCATTCCAATCCAATCCAATCCGATCAATTTTCCTCAAAAGTTCTTTTCCTTACAACAAGCTCTGCGCATAATTCTCTAATTCTCTTTTGTTTTGTTTTCTTTTCTTTACGTCTGTATGCAAAAGCTAGTGAATCTCCACAGCTTCTTGTTGTTTTGTTGGTATCACAATCACGGTGGTGATGGTGATGGTGATGGGGTATTCTTTGCTTTTGAGATTTCATTTGGATTTATTTTAGATTTTCTTTTTTATTTTCTTTTTTTTATTTTATTTTTTCTTTTTTTTGAGGGAGGGAGAATGAAAGGAGTGAAGGATCTGGTGGTGTTTATGGACGGGATGGGTTGGGACGGGTTGGGATGGGATAGGATGGAAGAGGGGATTGGGTTTGGTCTTTTGCTGCTGATGCTGCTGAATCTTCATCCGGATTTTCTTTTTTGATTTTTTTTAGCAGGAAAGATTTCCTAGAGATGCATACTGAGGTAAGTAGCTAGGTGACTGATGTTTTATGGTCATGTCAGCCTGGATAATGATGGATTGCTCGAATGGATAGGATGGTTGTTTTGATGATTATGAACGAAGGAAATGATTACGACAGAAGCACTAGTCACGAATGAAAGATTTCTTTAATGTCAATAGGTTAATTAAATACGTAGATACATAGATAGGCAAATAAGTAAATAAGTAAATAATCACCAGCAAAAGAAACATCAACCAATGAGGAAAAGAAAAGAAAAGAAAAGCTTTCCGCATCTATTCATGATGATGTGAGTGTGATGTAATCATGAAGTTATGAAATTTAGACTAAACCTCATAATGGAAAGTATATATAACTACCTACTCACTCAGATTACCCTCTGTAGGTATCAATATAGAGTATTTGATATTACTCATATATATATACATACACCAACTTTTGCACATTAGATCAGTATGATGAATATAGGATTACCTTCTTTAGTGATATATTATTATTATTATCTTACACATTACAATTGTATTCTTATTATTTCAACTTGTGATATATCTCAAGGTGAAGTATTAACAACAGGGAGGACGAAATTAAGCGGAAGTTATTCAGGTCGTATCAGATAATGGCCATACAAGCGTCACATGCAGCTTATTGAGTTGGAAAAAGGTATTTTAATGATTGCGAGCCAAAAGTGACGATACGACTATCGTCCATTCAATTCTGTACAATAATACATCATGTATCTAATGCATCCAACATCCAACCCAATGCTCACCATTCCTCATGTATTCTTTTGTCTCGAGTTATGTCCTTCACCTCCACTCACAACTACATTACAAATCACCTTCCGCATCTTCAACATACATCATTTTCAATAACTTATTCTCCCTTCAACTTGTCTTGGGTAACGCTGAAAGCTGTCTCCAACAACTTCGCTTCCTCCTTTGTATGGCTGGCCTTGAGACCAGTGGCGACACTAGCACTTGGATCTCTACCTGCATACATGACGTGCTTCCTGTCATGGTATTGAGTGTTGTTCAACAAGGTCTCGATTCTAGGTTGGGTGAAACTCCAAGCACCGGCATTGAGAGGTTCTTCTTGACACCAGACAATGGTCTTGGCGTTGGGATACATGTCGAGGTTCTCCTTGAGTTGTTGCCATGGGAAGGGGTTGAGTTGTTCGATACGAGTAAAGGCTGTGTCCTTGATATTGTTGTCGGCGCGGTATTTGCTGAGAGCGGCGTATACTTGTCCCGTGCAGAGGATTACACGCTCAATGTTCTCAGGCTCGTTGATAGATTTGCCATGTTCGGCATCAGGAATAATCCAGCGGAATTGTGAGTCACCAGTGAATTCATCAATTGATGAACGGGCGATAGGGTGACGGAGGAGAGATTTGGAGAAGAAAATGATGAGAGCTGGTGATTGTTAGAAACATACTTGTGCAGTGGAAAAAAGAAACTCACGTTTACGGAATTGTCTATTCATCTGCCTTCTTAAGATGTGGAACAAGTTAGATGGTGATGTCATGTAAGCAATTTGCATGTTACAATCTTGATGTTGGCGGTCGAGCTTTTCTGGGGATGGGAAGACACGAGGATCTTCGTTACAGAGTTGAAGATATCTCTCCATACGACCGGATGAATGCTCAGGTCCTTGTCCGTCATAACCGTGAGGCAACGACATGACGAGACCGGATCTTTGCATCCACTTGACCTCACCGGAAGCAACGAACTGATCAATGATGCACTGAGCGTTGTTGGCGAAATCACCAAATTGAGCCTCCCACATGACAAGAGCATCTGGCGAAGACAAAGAGTAACCATATTCGAAACCAAGACAACCAAATTCACTCAATGAAGAGTTAGAAATGACGAACTTTCCTTGATCTTTGCTAATATGTTGTAAAGGTGTGTAGGTTTTCTCGGTCTCTTGATCATGGAAGACAGCGTGTCTTTGTGAGAAAGTACCACGCTCAACATCTTGACCGGAAACACGAACGTGGTGACCTTCGCCAACAAGGGTACCGAATGCGAGAGCTTCAGCCGTTGACCAGTCAATGTTCTGTCCTTCACTAACGGTCTTGATACGGTTAGTCAAGATACGCTTAAGGTTACGATGAACGTTAAAGCCCTCTGGGTATGAACCAATTGTTTCAGCAATGTGTTCCAAAGTGTGCCCTGGTACACCTGTGGGGTTGTGTGGAAGAACTTCCGTAGCAAGTTCCTTAGGTGATTTGAAGCCGTTCCAAGCAGAGGTTGTCCACTCCTTTGATGTCGGTTGGTAATCCTTGCTCTTGGCGAAGCTATCCTCCAACATTCCCCAGACCCACTTTCTGTGCTCATCAATATCATCCTTGGTAAAGCTACCATCTTTGAGAAGTTGGTCAATGTAAATGTCAATTTGAGACTTGTGCTTCTGGATGCGCTTGTACATCAAAGGCTGCGTAAAAGATGGCTGATCAGTCTCGTTGTGACCATGCTTTCTGTAACAGACGAGATCAATGACAACATCACGTTGGAACTCGGCACGCCAATCAGCGGCCAATTGACAAACGTAGTTGACAGCTTCAACATCATCAGCGTTGACGTGGAAGACTGGAGCATCAATTGACTTGGCAATATCGGTGCAGTAAGCAGTTGATCGAGCAAAACGTGGATCGGTGGTGAAACCAATTTGGTTGTTGACGACTAAGTGAATGGTACCACCTGTGGAGTACGCAGGCAAAGAATGGAAACCCAAACACTCGTAGACAACACCTTGAGCAGCAAAAGCTGCATCACCGTGGAGGAGAACGCCCATAGCGGTTTTGTGGTCTTTCTCGTCGTTGTTATAGTGTTGGATAGCTCGAGTTTTACCAAGGACGACGGGGTCTTCAGCCTCGAGATGGGAAGGATTGGCAACCAAGGAAAGTTGAACACGTTTGCCAGAAGGAGTTGGACGCTCGAAGTTCATTCCAAGATGGTACTTGACATCGCCGGAACCTTCATCTTCGGCAGCTGCCGAACCACCAAATTCACTGAAGATCGACTCGTTGGGTTTTCGGACAACGTTACTGAGAACGTTCAAACGACCACGATGAGGCATTCCAATAACAATGTCTTTAACTCCAAAGTCGACACTTCTGTCAATCAGAGCCTTCATACCAGGAACCAATGTCTCACAACCTTCCAAGCCGAAACGCTTGTCGTTCGGGTATTTGGTAGCCAAGAAATTTTCGAAACTTGAACTCCAGATTAAACGATCCAAGATTCGGCGCTTCTCATCAATCGAGTATTTGAACGGCTTGTCGACCTCAATTCGAGCTCGTAGCCAATCACATTGTTCTCTGTCAGGGATGTGAATGTATTCGACACCGTAGGAACCGCAATAGATACGTTCGCATGCCGCAATAATCTCGCGCAATGTCATCTTCTCACGGCCTGCTTTCTTGAAATGTGGTAGAATACCAGGTCCCAGGGAATACTCGGTATCCAGATCCTTCTCAGTAAATTGATAATGTTCGAGTTGAAGCTCCTTGGGTTTGCTGTAGCCAAATTCCTCAGCCTCCCGTCTAATCCCGAGAGGATCGATATCTGCTTTGTGATGTCCACGAGCTTGATATGCACGGCACAACAACTGGACCTTCAAATGATTTGTAACTTCTGACCCCTCTGCACCGCCCAAGCCTGGCAAGAAACTTGGTACTCCTCCGGTAGGTGTAGGAACCAAAGTTGGAGGAGGGGTGAAAGCTTGCGACATTGGCATATCGCCACTCTCCATATTTCTGAAGTAGACCTGCCATGATATATGCACGCTCGATGGATCCTCCTTCCACTGCATATACATCTCATCAATGTAATTTGCGGTATTTCCGGAGAGAAAGTTATCATTTGGATCTGGGGCACTTGCAGTAGTCGATTCATGTCTCTTTTGGGAGGTGATAGCTAGAGAACGTCTTTTCGATGCGAGGGCGGATTTCGATGTGACATTTGAGACGAAGAGGGGAGATCGTGAGGTTGTGCAAAGGGTTCTAGCTGAGCAGCCACCTCTTAGGAGCTGGCTGCTCGATTGCCTCAGTGAAGTTCGAAGCATTGCGCCTGCCAATGCGAATAGGAAAAGACCGAACTTGAAGGAGTTTATTAGGATAGAGGAGGTAGGTTGAATTCAACCAAGGTTGAAAATGAGAGGCGGAGTAAGTCTTATTTTTTGGGGGGGGTGGGAAAATACAAGAAATGCGTAACAGCTCGGATAGAAATGGCAGACGAGTCAAATGATCGCACCGATCAGAATTTGGGTGGAATGAAAGCCAGGATTTTTGTTATATCCTCATAAGTGAGGCAATTATCGGGAATAGATTGCCGAGGTGTGCCATTCCCGGGCGGATCAGGGATAAAGCGGATTTTATTAATTCCGGTTCTCTCCATTTGAGAGAGAAACATAAAGACGCTAAACTATCAAGGTCTAGCTCATTCCATTTCCATAATTGATGTGTCAGCATTTTTCAAAGATTCATATCTGGACTACTAGGTAATTATAGTAATAAAGATGATCAAAGGCTGAATCCAATTAAGGAAACAATTACAACAATCTATCATCACATATATTTACACAACCTGATCATTGCATCTCATCAAACTGTTTGCACTCTATACCATTGCATAGAATTATAAATACAAAAGTCATTAGACGTATAAGAACGACTTGACACGGGAGGAAAGGCTGCAGGTTAACGCATTCGACTCAAATATATCCAGGCTTCCTTTCATTTTCATCTTGTGTCTTTAATCCGCCATCTACTGGGTTTTTTGTACAGACAAGCATCCCTTCTCTGTCATAAAAGTGCATACTATTACTCATATGCGGTTACGTGCATACTCGGGTCTTGCATGAAAACATGGCGCCACCTGCTCAAGGCCTTGCCGTATATAAGAAAAAAGATGGAACCTTAAGTATATCCCAAGACGGAAAGTCCATTCACTGGGTACCTCTGAGGCCCGATGGAGGAGCTGTCGTGAATATTGCTGTAGCGGAAATTACCAGTGGGTTCACTAGAATTTCGAGATTTCTTTGACATTGTATATTGACATATTTCAGATCTGCAGCAAACGCCAGAGACCGCTGCAAAGGTAATGCTGAAAATATTTGAGAAGTCAGCAAATGCCCCGGAATCAGTGACTCATCTTTTCCATTTTAACTCCCCTGCAAATCCACGTGGGGAAGCGAATGCCGTCAAAGATGCCCTGACAATTTTGATCAGCGCATTGAAAGCCGCTGATGCAAATGTGCCCAAAGCCAATGGTTCGGGGCCCGCTTTGGAGTCTGCTTCGGCAGCTATGGCAATGGCCAGCGCTGTAACGTCGAAGTCTAATTCTGGAAATGCTAGATTTTATGATGATGCTCATTTGAAAACGGACATTGAGCTGCAACAATCTCTCATGAAGAAGGATCCAGCATTGCAGCGAACTTATATGGAATCAAGGCGGACCAAACCAGACACGATATCAGACTCCCAATTTAATTCTCAGTTCTGGTCTGCGCGAACGAATCTGTTGCGAGCTCATGCTGTTGAATCGAGCCAAAAGAGGGGTGCTTACAATGTCCTTTCTACCGTGAAACCACGCCAAGTCGATGGAGAGTTGAAGATGAATATCAGTGCGGAGCAAGTACAACTAATCTTCAGCCAACATCCACTGGTTAAGAAGATCTACGATGAAAACGTTCCTAAACTCAATGAGATGGACTTTTGGTCAAGATTTTTCCTTAGTCGCCTATTCAAAAAACTCAAGGGAGAGCGCATCAGTGAACATAACAGTCTTGACCCAACTTTTGATAGGTACTTAAATACCAATATCGATGATGGACTCGACCAAAGGTTGCTCTCAACTCATATTCCTCATATTATCGATCTTGGGGGCAATGAACAGAATCAAGGGGGTATAAAAGCAGGCAATCGAAAAGACTTCACCATGCGTCCGGAAGCGACAGGCAAAGTACCAATCGTTCGAACCTTGAATAGCTTGAGCGAGAAAATCATGGCCCATGTTGCTCCATCTGACATAGACCCTGCAGACCCTATTGGCATGGATGAAGAAACTTTCAATTCTTTAGCATTGAGGGATCTCCAAGGCGACGCAGAAGAGAATCGGATTATGCTCAATATCAAAGAACAGAGCCAATTCCTATCTAGTGAAAAGTCTGCTATATCCGAAGAAGCCGCGCTTTATGCAAAGCAAATACCCTCTGATGTCTTGCTCGGGCTACAATCTGATCTCGATCCCACATTGATGAATACTGACTCCGCTGGTGGCTTAGACCTGCGAACAGCTATTGGGGTAAATGAAGAAAGCGATAGCGAGGAGGAGGAAGAACAAAAGACTCCCCACGTCGGAAGTAAAAGTAGCCTTATCGATGCCCAAATACAAATCTTTGAAGGAATTGTAGCACGGCGGACAGAGATGGATGGATCTAATACCACATCTGCGCTAGCAGGTCTATCGCAGAAGCTTTTTGATAGATTGGCGCTGACGCATGCTACCACCGTTGAGTTCCTTCATCATTTCTGGCTTATCTTTCTCTCGGGAGATCCTGATCGAGCAGGTGAGCTTGCAAAAATGGTCGAAACACTTGACAGAGCCATGGATCGGATCAATGCCGTCGCAGCTGATGCTGAGCGTGAAAGAGTTGAAATTATCGAGAGGCAGAAGGCGCATTTGAGAGATGTTTGGGAGAAGACCGGAAAGAAAATCAAGTGGAATCCTGAATCAGTTGGTGGAGGCTCAAAAGTAGTCGGAGAAATGATGCAACCTACCATCAAAACTTTAGAGAAGGCATCAAGGGAGTATCGAAAGGCCCTGGCGGCCGAAGGTGCTGACGTATCTTAAAAGAGTTCTTTTGTAGAGGCACATCATAGCGACGGAGTTCAACGGGGAACGAATGGCATAGGCATGTGGAGGTTGGAAGTTCCTTCCACAACTAGATATAGCATTTTGTAAAGTTTAATTTTTATACATAAGCACCAAGTCGGCTCTTACTTCATTTCTTCCTTGTCATAACTTTACTATCCACGTATATGAGGCTTTTCTGGTCACCGTCTTATTCTTTCGCTACTTGCATTGCTTCTATCTTCATGCTTTTGGATATACTTCCTTATATCATGGATATTATAACAGTTGTAAACACGGATTCTTCGCCGGCCAAAAGCGCTAGAAACCCTCTGCTACCAAGGGCAATTTCACCCCAACAGGCGCAATCAAAGAACATTCGCCGCAAGGGATCGTTCATCAGGCCAATCGACTCTTCAGAAGAATCTCCACTGAGTTCTAACAATTCAATCTTCGAAGCATTTTTGTTTTCAAATAGCAATAGTGAGGACAGTGTATATAAATCCGATACATTATCATCCTCCAAACAACCAATTTGCCAGAATTCTCCACCTAACAACGAAAATTTGAGACAGACATCAATTTCCATTCGACCCGAAATTATACCAACCACTGAGTTTCTCTATGGCCACGGCACAGTCCTAGACACAATAACGGAACAAAAAAGTTATGGCACCATGCGCAGTATCACTCGCACCAAATCCGCAGACGATATATCCACAATTCGCAGTATAGGTCGTGCCAAATCCGCAGATGATCTTTCAAATACTCCACTTCTTGGTCATCGTGACAGCTTCATACTAGCCAAGAATCGCCCTCGACGTCAGCAGTCATTTAGTCTCGACGATATCTGGTCCATAAAGGATTCTTATCATGACGCATGTGCCATGATCGATCAAGTTGCTCGACGCAGATTATCCATTCACGAAGTCTATGCCAAACCCAAAGAGCCTCTTATTGCACCCCCAGTACGTCCCGACACGCCACCAGGATGTCCTTCTTGGACTGAAGCACAAAGGCCTGGTCCGCGCCAGCACCTAATACCCCATCATACTCGTCTACAACGTCTCCTTAGAATGCCATCCTCGGGCCTAACTCTCTCACCAACACCTTCGAGGTCTTTTTTCACAGGAAGAGTAGTATCTGCACCTGGTCTCACACGCCTTCCTCCTCGCTTCAGAGTACCAAAAAGTGTTTACTCTGCGATCGAAACTCACCCCTTCAGCACTGCTCCCGTCCATAAAATTGACTCTGAGCCACCAATTGAAGCACCTCGACTCATTCCAGCCCCAGCTTCATCCGAGTATCCGCGAACCTCTTCGATCCCATCAGCCGCTCCAATAATAGCTCCAGTAAGTAAGAGCAAAGGAAAAGCCAGATCCAAACTCGTCCGCTTCACCGCCTCCGCCACAGCCCGCGATTCTGAAATGATTAATCTCCAACATGCCATGGAAGCAACTAGTTCGACGGCTCTCCACCCTTTGGTCGGTGATCCATGGAGTAATCATCCTGTACCATTTCCGAAGTTAAGTTGTCCGCATCGGAAAGGAAAGCAACAAGCTATCAATGATTTAAACCGCAGATTCAACTCGCCAATTAATGCATACGACGACCCATCAAGCAGTCTATATCTACCCCTCGCATCCGTCACGTCTCTTCCACGTGCTACTCTCACACCCAATATCCGTGTTGTAAGATCTATGGACGATCCAGACATCTCTCTTCATTCTTCTTCGCATTCTCACTCTCATAACTCAGCTTCACTCGATATCAATAGCAATAATGGAAATAGCGATCGAGATAGAGTACGAAGAATATCCATCTCCCCCTCCCTCATCAGAGACATAAATGCAGAAGACACAAGCAGGGATGAAATCGACCTCGGAATCATCGATCTCGAACGTGAAAATCGTTCAAGTATTCGTACTAAAGATACAGGCACACCATTGACATCTCGTCCTGCATCCGCTGCTACCAGTACAAATACTTCAAATGGATATTTCATGTCGGGCGCGTTGCATATTGCTGAATCGCAGGATAGTGATGTGGGACAGCAGGCGGTTCATGTGCCGATTATGACGGGGGCGAGAATGATGGATGTGTTGAGTCCTTCTTTTAGAATGGATGGGAATGGAAATGGGAATGGGGTTGCGTATCATGATGGAGATTATACCCGTGGTGGTAGTAGGGTGAGAATAGAAGAGAAGAAAGAATTTGATGAGGGTGTTTGCTGGAAATGTAAACTCATAAGTGCGAAGAGGAAGGTGGAAGATTGGTTGGATAGGGGTGGTGAGTGGATTTGTTTTGTTTGTTGTGGGGGGACTGAGGAGTGGTGGGAGGGGCAGAGAGGAGATGTTAGTGGGAGGGAAGTGGAGAGGAGGAGAAATGTTATGGCTGGAGTGCCTGGGGTTGGTATTTAAGCTGTGCGAAGAAGAGGGCGATTGAGATGAGGTGAGTGAGTGGGATTTTGATAGACTGGTGGATTGGTATAAGACGATGAAGTCATTGGTGAATATGAGGATGGGATGATAGAGGAAAAGGACGCTTGTGATGGAAATGGAGGTTTGGTGGGAACATCGGTTTTTGTATCACTTGAGTATACTTATCAACTTCGACTCATTGATATCGATATCAATAATAGTTTTAGTATTCATTCATCCATTCATTTCAAATGTATTACACTCTTTTAAATAGTCTAGTCCTCTTGGTAGAATCAATAAATTTCACTGTTCTCTGCTCAATCAAGTCAATTCTTGGTGAATTAAGAGCACAGATCAGAACTTGTGCGGAATTGACATCATCACTCAAGTAATCTGGCTGGAACACTATCATAGATGAACATCTATTCGCGGATGGAGAGATTATTTTTTTTGAGAGTTTGAGCCTACAAGAATCAAGGTATTCATTCTGATTGGATGAATTAAACTGCACTTAGGCCAATGTTTTACCGAGAGCTTACGTAAGCTACTTATAAAACAACAGAACTGAGTAGTAAAGCAAAAATATATTCCCTAGCTACATACATCGGCCGTGTGAAAGTAGGGTTTTGTTAATATCTTTTAAGAAACGCTCGGGAGAAGATCCTGTTCCACCATTTTGATGCTTGCCCATCTAACAACCGGCTGTTGATGACGAGTTCAAGTATACTTTAGCAAGGAACCAACTAAACGCCTCAAGTGTGCCCGCCAACCTGCTGGATCGTGATCTTTCTACTTTCATGGTCTATGCGAAAAGTGACTCTATCGCTTCCGGAAGTTCTAATCTCCCACTGTGGCGGGTTTGACCCTTTGAGCAGCGTTAGCTTCGTATCACCTGCCCTCTTTGCTGCTTCCACAGGACTAAGTCTCTCCTCCCGTACCAATCTACGGAAGTCGACAAGTTTCTGTGATGCTGCACCATTTTTACCTCCAACATTTGGCAAATCTTTTGCTTGAACCCATGTCCAGGGTTCTCTACTTTCTATTTGATCGATTTTAGCTTTCATATCCGTCAGGCCTTTGTTGAATAGCTTCTTATCTGCAGCACTCATCTTGTTCCACGAATCGAATTCGCTAAATTGTTCAGCCTGTAATTTGAATCGCTTAAAAGAGCGAATGGTGCCCATTTGACTAGGCATGACTGGTTTACCACCTGCTACGCGTAGCTTCTCCGCGCCGACAAGCAGTTGTTCGAGCGTTTCAGTCACTGATTTGAAAGCTTTTTTGGCTCCCCAGGACAAACCTCTTCCCACCATATTACCTACACCTCCAAATAGGACATCGCTCCCAACACTCTGCATGTTAGGCACTCTTCCTGCGGCAACATCATACACAGCGCCGGTTCCCACATCAGATGCAACAGCAACGGCAAGATCGACACCAACTTCAATTGCTAATGATGCACCGTCAGTGAGAATACCTGCCAGAACACTCAGCGCAAATCCAACGATAGCTTGGGCTAAATTGCGCCACGTTATCTGGATACCAAATATACTGAAATGGCCTGAGGGGTCAATTCGGTTGATTGGATCACCGCAGCAGTAGGCGTAGGTGTTTATATCTCCAGAGGTAAAGGGGCTCCAGGAATCTGGGCTATGGAAGCACATCAGAACGGGGTTATAGACGCGATAGCCATTTCCGAGATGATACCAGCCTGTGACAGGGTCTTGCCATTGTCCGTTCCATCCGACAGCAGACTGAAGACGGGAAAACCCGTAAGGCATGTAGACTTGACTATGGATTTCAGATGGTTTATCTGTGTCTAACCAGGCGAGAGTAGATTGGTGAATATCGGAAGCCCACATCTGGGTGGTCGTTTGTTCACTCTCCTGGAGAATTTGACCCCAGTGTTGATCTCCGCTGGACACATAGCTAATCTTGGTGTCTCCACTAGTTGCAGCAACTAGTGTGTCTCCTCGGTAATGAAGGTGATGATCTGACTTGCCCGGTACTTTCTGGGTGAGTAACCTGCCATGAGAGTCGTAGTAATACTGACACAACACTGTCTGATCCTTATTGCGTACTGTTTTCAGTGTACCAGAAGTATCATATTCGAGAATATGACCCTGTTCATCCCGTGTCAAACATCCGTTGCTGTCATACTCAAGTTCAATCTGTGGGTTGTCATCCGGGTGCGTATTCGTGATCAGAATGAGCTGGCAAGGGTCATGATCAGAATACGTATAATCAGTAATGTTCTGACGACCATCTTGGAAGTAGGTAGTAATCTGTTTCAGACCACCAAGTTCTGTGAAGGCATATTGCTGATGGAGCACCTGGCGTCCGTACTCATCAATTGGAACTACATTTCCTTGGGCTACATAATCAAACAAGCGACCCATAATGTCATACTGGAAAGTTTCCTGTCGAATCACATTTCCACGACCGTCTCTCAATTGACGGCTTTCAACTCTGTTTTCTGTGTCATATTTCTTCTGGTTCAAGACATACATTATTTTGGAGTCTTGGGAGACAGTGCGCTCGATCTCGCGTCCAAATTCATCGTAATTCAAAACCGTTGTTAGCTTTTTATCTTTCTCTGTATCATGCACGATACTCTGTGCGAGGCGATTTCCGTTGTCATAGCTGAGTGTAATTGTCAATGGTCCTTGCGATACCTGTTTGAGTCGTCCGTAATCATCATAATCTAGCACTTGGTCTTGGCCGTGGACATCAGTATAAAGCTGGAGTCTGCCATTCATAGAGTAGGAATATTTTGTCGAAAATTGTGTCCCCGTTTCTTTTCCGATTGTAATTCTTTCAGATTTCAACAATCCAGAGGGCAAATATTTTAACTCCTCTGTACAGTATGTATTCTCGCTCTTCCAAACTTCAGCCGTTTGCGGATCATACTGGTAGCTGCATGGATCGTCACTTGTTTCCAAATCCTTCAGAGCGTAATTCAAAGCTTTCTCATAATCCAAATGAACCTTGTCCTTCCTAGGTGTTGTGATATCGCTAGGCTTAGGCGAGCTATTTTCATATGATAGGAAAGTTTGTCGGTTGGCTATTTGCCGGCTCTTTGCACGACTAAGTCCGTCGAAAGGCTGCTGGCCCAGCGTGATTTTCGATACCTGAATAGACTCGGGTAGCGGGTCAGTACTGTGGCCTGCATATTGAGTTCGCGCAATACGACTATTCGGCCAAGTTGTCTGCTTCACACGATTGAAGCAATCGTAAATGTACTGGGTTTGGTTGTCAAGACTGTCTTTTTCTTGGATTTTTCGACCCAAACCATCATTGGTGTAGTTAACGCTGCTATACGTGCTACCATACGCATTCAGAAGCGCCGTTTGAATTAGATGATCTTGAGACTCAAAAGTTGCTTTCTTCTGGCCTTCATTCTTAATACCCTCGGTATACGTCTGCGCAATTGGATCTGTAGTTGCCAAAGTGACAACTCCATTACTATCAGTCACCTTACAAACTTGACCCCAGTCATTGTATTCATAGTCATGAATGGCGGACAGTTTCTTCAGTTGCTCTGAAGTCCTCAACCAGTCAATATCTGTCATTCTAGTGCATTGACCAAGGGCATTGTAACTCTTTTCCTGTAGAATTCGAAAGGTGCCTGCGTAGGCGCCCAATTTCGACTCCCCATCATCATCTTGTCTTTCAATCTGGCAGACCCGCTGCAAGCCGTCGGTGGTTGATCGTGTCTTCAGTCCTTTGGCGTCAGTTACCGTAACAGTATATCCTGCTGTTTCGCCTGAAAGGACATATTCATGAGTTTGTGTTGCTTCATATACGGTGCCAGGAGAAACCGTGGTACTGATCTGTCGGCCAACTTGATCGTATTTAAATTGCGTCTCAACACCCGCTTCATCTACATGGCTAATAATCCGTCCCTCGGCCAAGGAAAAACTTGTTTTGTTATTAATCTGGAGATCATCAAAACTTTTGAGCTGCGTCGTTTCGCTCAATTGACCAGCTTCGTACTGATAATTCCATGTTTGCACCATAGGATACTTGTCGTACAGCGTTGACGTCTGTTGCTTATAACGGCCATGATCCTTTCCATCTGGCTGATTAACATACGTTCTGTCAATTCTGCAGTTGCATGGGTCGTTGTCCGCAAAAGATTGGGATTGTTGTAAGAGAACAAATGAGGGTGTTGATGCATCTTTAGCTGTTGGCATCTCGCTATAAGTGTGGCGCGTAGTCCACACCGGAGCACGGCCTTGCTTTTCAGGAGGTATGATAGTTTGCTCTTTTAGGTAGCGTTGAAATCCATGTGGATCAGCCGGACATTTACCAGTCTCTCCGCTCGGCGGATAGTAAGTACGTTTTGTCGTTACACCATCTGTCTGAACGTCCGAAGTAGGGTTACCCCATGCATCGTATTCGTGAGAGGTTGATTCTACTCTAGACAGCGATGGAGTAGCTAAATCACAGTATGTTGTTTTCACACACTTTGGCAGTTGAAACTGAGCTGGTTGATTCTCCAATGCTTTATTTGGCAGGGCATAGTAGTCAATAGTTTGTGTGATCTGCTTTCCATTCTGATCCTGCTTGGTCTCGACGATTAGGTGAAACCTGTTATAGGTATATTTCGTTTTTTGGCCACCATCGACAGAAACGGTGGTGTAGTATTGATAGCTATCCCTCACGTGGTATAGATTATCTTCGCTGTATTTCCACTGCGAAACTGCTCCGTATCCAAGGAAATTATTAGTCGAGTAGTCGTAGAGTGTCTTGATGGCCGGTTGCTGATTTCCAGGCTTGATGATATGTTGTCTGACTACCGGAAGAGACCTATATGGGCCTCCAGGTGGTAATAAAAGGCTAGATGAATCATAAGTGACCTCTTCCACCAAACCTAGAGGACTACGGATGTTGGAAAGACAAATGAGCGGCCCGTAAGTATTGTAAGCAAACCTCCATTTTGAACCATCTGTCAATGGTAGCCAAAGCTCTTGAAGCTGACTCTCTCTAATTACTACAGTGAAGGTAGAGGGGTTTGCAGAATCTGGAGAATGAACGATCTCCACGTGAGGGTCTCTGTATTTGATCTGTAGCAAAACCTCATCGCCGTCTTGCACTTTGGTAAGCCTTGGTTGACCACCCACAGCCATCCAGACAAGAGTCAATGCTCGGCCATTGGCGGCGTAAAGCTTGACAGGAACACTGGTGTTATAGACATTGTGAGCGTTAGAAAGGACTTCAATTTTGCCATCTTTGTGGATGATCTCAAAGTCAGAACCCTTTTGCTGAAATTTGAAGCTAATCAGCTTCTGGTCATCGACGCGTAGACCTCCAGTATTGGAGACTTGGTAATGCTCTCCAGTTGAGAGGACAAGTCTGCGTGGTGCACTATGTTGGTATTGAGAAAGGTTCAATGACCAACCCTTGCCAAAGCCAATATTGGCTGTATTTAGGGGACTGAATCTGAGGGATAGCTTGAAGGGTGCACAGTTACGCGCTTTTGCTGGGGCCTCATACAAGGCAATTGAAGAGGTGTACTGTCCGGTTCGAGCATCAACACCCTCTTGGACAAAGCTTCCAAAGTTGACCCCCTGCGAGTACAGGGTGCTTTCAGCGTTCGGCATTTTTTATTGATATTGATGAAATAGAGCTACAAAAAGCATATGTTTCAATAACGAGTATGAGGATTGAAAGTATGATAAATTGATATTTTATCCTAAATGGAATTTTGGGTGATGTCTGGCTGGATATGACTATGATGTTCAGTAATTGAGCGGGTAAAAAGCACGCATTGAAAATAGCAATATCTCGATTGCTTCACTCGGGATTCAGCCGTTCAGAAGAGCAGCGTTACAGTTACTTCATTTAGACTTCAGCACACATCAAGAAGAGCAACATCAAAATTACTGCATTGAGACTTCAATGCTACTCAAAACAAGGAATAGATACATCACAGCATCAGTAAGAAAGCTGTGTGCATCATCTTCAGCTCATCCCACCAACAACACCGCATTTCCCAACCTCCGGCCCTTGGAGGTGCATTGAAAAAAGAAGCTCGTTCATTGAGATGCATAGAGAGTAATATTTTATTAAGAGTGAGTACAACTGCCCTGTCTTACCCGAAGCTTAGCGAAGATGTTTCGTCTCGGCGCCTCAATAACGCCTCTGGCGATCACACCGTGCAACCAGTCAGCCAGCCGTCGGTACTTTGATTGATGCTTTGGGTAGCTCCCAATGCCACATCACAATCGTATCACAATCTTCGTCGTTCTCATTATTAAAGGACTGTTGAAAACTGCATCCATTAATCACACCGATTATAGAGAATTTAGTGGCTGGCTGGGGATATAGAAACTGTCTCACTGCAGATGCACGAGCTAGCAATTCAGGCAATTGACTGCCTTTGGATTATCTTGCATTTTGGTTTCTCCGCGATCTCGTAACTATGCGGGGAATCAATATTTGGAGCTGTGGTAGTGCCACCTCTAATGCAAGGGGATTCGTTGATCTGTTCCCTTGTATGACCAAATCACCAAATTAAATTCGTGGGATGAGCGTGAATTGTTTCAACTAAAATGTGTAATGGAAGATGATGAGATCGTGGACCGGCATATCCAGCTGGAAGACCTAACAGATCTAGTTAAGACATACGTAGTTTTTGGCCGGACTATAAATGATTTCATCTTTCACGGGCCTTGAAATACCACGCAAACTTACTTCATCAACTACGTTCATCGACAGACGAAGACAATCGTTTTAACACTCGAACCAAGCGGTAATTTCCTCATCACATGCAAGCTGATAAAAGACAAATTATTGACTCTTACGATTAGATTCAGCAGCATCAAATCACACTATGCATTTTTCAAGAATCTCCTGTGTCCTCGCATTTGCCTCTACCGCTCTCGCCGGCCAGTGCTATAACCACGTCGAAGGGGCCCACAAGGTAAACTGCGCTCACAAAGACGAGCTAGCCAGATACGCCGAAGACTACTGCCATGAAAACTGGAACAAACTAGTTGGAGATTGGACCGACTTCAACGACCGAAGCGGGCATACGGCAAATATTGGCAAAGTAGCAAATTTCAACTCCAAAACAGCTTGCATTGCGGCCTTTTCCCAGGTTGTGGAGAACTGTTACGATGGATGGGATGGTGGTCAATGGGTGGCTTATGGGACTTTATTGAATATTAATTTCTGTAAATGGTCGGCTGAAAATAAGGGGGTTAGTTATGAAGGGTTGGCTGTCAGACCTGAGGCTAAGAGAGTGGCATATGATGGACCCAGAGAAGCAAAGAGAGTAGGATATGAAGGATTGAGAGATGTGCCTGAGGCGAAGAAAGTTAGACCTGATGCTAAGAGAGTCAGATATGAAGGGCCTCGGGAGGCTAAGAGAGTTGCTTGGGACGAGTTGGTCAGTGAACAGCCTGAGGCTAAGAGAGTTGGATATCAAGGATTGAGAATTCAATCTGGAGGGAAGAGATTTGATTTGTAAAGGGTCTCGATTTTTGACTTATTTTATCCTACTCATCTGGCTTTACTTTGATAGCATTTGTAATTTCAGATGGAAATAACAACTCAATACTAGTCGCACGTTAACATGTTAAATTTTGGCTTCTCGCTTTAGTCATGCTAGAACAGATATAACATTCTACCAAGCTTCACAGAAATTTTCTTGCAAAGAGGGGTTGAAGCATGGTTAAAAGCGGAATTTAGCTCTACGCCTATTCTAGTATCATGATACATGAATCAAAATCATCTAGCAATCGTATGTTAGGTTTGGAAGTGAATTTCATTATTCATAACTTGTCAAATAAACTAGTTTGTGAGGATACTTGAGAATTTGCTATGGGTTTAAGGTAGAGATTTGCATTCAAGAATGTGTGAGACACCGTGGTGAGCACTGGGCGTATGACTGCTGAAGCCCATGGATGGATGTGGTATCGTGTGGGAAGCGAACGATATATGAACTATCTCTCGCAGACTTCAGGTTAAAGGAAAGTACTTGATGGAAACGGACAAACAAAAGTCTGGAAGAATAAGCAGGAAAAAATTTTTGAAAGGAGAGAAATGACGGGATGCAAGAATAAGAAAGCACAAGTATGGAGTAACGAGAGTAAGACAATTTCTTTCCTGGGAACGTGGATGAATTTTCAAAGTAGCATGCCACCACAGCCCATCTCTTTTCATAGAAATGATTGAAAAGGTTTAAGATAATAGAATACAGCCTGAATTGGTATACATAGAAAGACTTACTACCAACCATCAAGCTTTCGTACACTGATATGAACGCATGCTGCGGAATCCAGCTCTCAACATCTTTCCCACCTTGCAAAAGTGACATAGTAATCGGCGATGAGGATGGAAATCTCAGCTTAGAGACAAATTTTCCAAAAGTTCCATGTCAAAAGTATCCTAGATCTCCAAGATAGTTGCTTAATATGTCACTTGCATTTCTGCCGTCGTCCTTAGTACCAGCTGAAATTTAACTTCATGCAATGTTTATGTTAGGTATTCATCGACATAACACATAATAAAAGAAAGTCCTCTGCATTTAGCGAGGCGTAGTGCTGGTCACCTGAGCGGGACATGCTCAGTAAATGTTATATGTTGAGCACTGAGTTAAGCAGTTTATAACAATTCATCCGTAAATTGACGTCGTACAAAGTAGTATCATATTTCTGGGAATCGGAATGTGCGAAAGGATGGTGGGTGGCGTAGATCTTTCCGGCAACCATTTGGTTGGATACGGGCGGGAGTCACCGCTTTTTCTGGGGTATGTATGAAGTTAAGTCCAAGAAAGCGGCTGTACCAATGCTTGATCTGCAACGTGCATATTTAGACTCGGTTATCTGTCTCAGAAATCTGGAGCCGATCATACTAGCCTGGCAAGCCACATGTTATCATTAATTATTAGTTGTATTCTAAACATGTACCACTAACTAGGAATCGTTTAATTCTTATAAACAGCAAGCAAGAAAAAATTAGAAAGTATAAGAATTTGATTTTAGATGTTCCCGAGTCCACAAGTATTAGCGTGTTTTTCCCCCGCATTTATGCTGTAAGTGAGATATTGTCTTAGCTCCCCATACTCCGTACAACTGAGGTAGGTACGCGAGTAGTAATTGGAGTGTTACCTTACCAACAAGCCCAATATCTAGTTCAAAGAAACACTTCAATTATACTTCATTTATATTGGTGTTACACCAAATTAGACATTTATCCCGCAAAACTCTATTCCATATTTGTGATAGCCTACCTCAGTTCACCGAGTTTTGACATTAGATCCGTGCACGACTCACTAGGTTCGGTAGTTTATCTTTACAGCTGAGCATTGTATGATATGCTATAGTAAGACGTGGTTACATAACTGTAGTAATGGCGTAGCTGATGAATGCTCCCGAAAATTATACGATGCGGCAGGTACCGGTACTGTAAGGAGGCTGTTGTGCAGTTAGCTGAATTAACTTATGTGGCGTAATTAGACATATTGTGTCTATGAGCTCGGGTCTCAAAGTGGAAACAATCCTTGTCGCTCCATATGCTACCAATAGTGTATGTATGATAGACGCGGCTGAAATCACCTGCAGATAGATGTCCAATTATCAGCATGCACATCTTGTGTTACACGACGATTTGTTTGGGAGACATCAACGTGAATCGAGATCACCAGTTGAGTTGCAACAACGTCATACTCAACACGACCTCCTCGATCCCATTATTACTAAATGATTCTGTGTATAAATAGTCCTCGCCGAGCCATCGAAAACTCACCATCCAACATCACATCCTCAATCAACAACTACCTATTTACACAAACAACACTTTCCTCAATATCAACCAAAACTCCCTTCAACAATTTTCATCATGAAGTTTATGTATCTCGGACTTCTCCTCTCTGCCACCACAGCCTATGCATGTGGTGACAATGCCTACAGATGCAAGAACCCCGACAAATCAGTAGCTCAGATGTGGGAAGTTACACACAAGATTTGCAATAATCTCAAGGAGGACGACTGCTATTGCTCCCACTGGGCCGAGTACTACTGCGATCCTTATGGCGACAACATTCAAAAGTTCAAGGACGCCTGCGTGAATGAGGGCGATAACTGGTACTGGAATGAATGTTAAGTGATATCGATGTAAGTAATCTTTTGGAAATTCTTCTTTTATTAAGGCTAATTTTCAAGTCAGATTATACTACATCCTCTTTTCCGGGTTGGGAAGATGCTTTAGAGCATTAATGATTGATTCTCCTAACTTGGATGACTTGGGCGCATGAATGATGGGGAGGATGGGAGGTTTGGGGGGGGGGGGTGGTGCGGGAAATGGGTACGAGGAATAATGGATTGTGCTAGTTTCAAAACCCCAACCTTAGAAAACTGTGTCCTATGTTTCGAAGGACTTTCATTGAGGTTCTTTAAAATCCGCCAATTATCCCATCCCATCTCAATCAACTCCATATCGCGTGATCATTTAATACAATATCTAAATTTCATTATCTTTCAGGGCTCTAATTATCAGATTCATTCCCGGGCAGGGACTACTTGACAGAGAAGCTTTCGGAGCCCCGAGTTTCACTCCTTTAGCTTGTTTGCATGTTTTTGGCAGGTAGTTAGACTCATAATAGCTTCTCTTATAGCTAAAACCTCAATAAAGTCAACTTATACACTTTCTATCAAACCAGGCACCAATCCCCCAATTATATATTTATTTATACCTAATTTATATCAAGTATATGAGGAAAAGGTATGATTTTTTTTTATATTTACAACTTTCTCAACATACTAATTTTCAAAGTAATTAATATTATGAGATTGATTCTCTAATGAGTTATTAAATCACTTAATAACATTAGCCGAACCAATGATCGGACAATTGTATAATGTATTAATACCTAGTAGTAATAAATATTATTAGGTTTTATTATTAAATAAAATTCTAATTATGATTTCATTTATCTACTAGTCATAAAGTTATTAAATAATAGGGAAAATCGTTATCTTTGCTATAAAAAGATGACTCAAATTAGACTGGCACGAAAGTGGGGTAGACTTATAGAGAATTCTATCACCTATGATACCTATCATCAAATATACTACTACATGTACTCAGCTCATCCCTGTATCACATCAATGGCATGAGTCTCATTACCTCACATGAAGATAAACACCAATCATTCACTCACTCGTCAAGAGAAATTCGGATAATAATCAATTATAGACTAAGCCATGTGAGTATCGAGAAAAAAACCAACTTCTCAAATCGACGACCGGGGTATTGCCAAACGAAACCATTAAAACCATTTGAACCATCGTATCGTATCACATCGTTTCCAAAGTAAACCCGTATCCGAATATTCCATCCTATCATTATTGAGAACTAGCCTTTCCACCTTTCCATCATTAGCCATTAAACTCGGGACGCATAGAAAAGGGAGAGTATGCCAAGTACAGTGCCGAGGATTGTCGTGTCGATAGACAAGCGGAAACCGTGAACGACATTTGAACATGATGACACTGATATTCAAGTAGACCAAGCTACATCAGCAACTTGTACGTCAGTAGAATCCTCACTTAAATATTCTCAACAACATGGGCGTTGATAGCCTTTTGAAAACCGGAATCCAGACCTCCAAAATCACCAGCATCATTTCTGCTGTTAGAAGCACCAGCATGATCTCCTGAAATTTCTCCCAAAGCATTTGCCATTTGATTTCCAATAGTTGAAGCACCTGGGAGGAAAATAACCTTGCTATTGGCGGATTTAGCCATAGCTTGCATTGCCTCGAGATATCTAATTTGCATGGCTGGTGCACTGGAGAGAATATCGGCGGCTTGACGCATAAGCTTAGCGGACTCAACTTCAGCACGAGCCGCAATAACCTTAGACTCTCCAATACGCTTCGATTGTGCAGCCATGGAGAGAGATTCTTGAAGTTCATTACTGAAGATCATATCCTTGATGAGCATGCTCTCAACCTGTACACCCCAACCAGATGCAACATCTTCGATTATTTCCTCAATTGATTGCGCAACTTCCTCACGACGTTCGATGACATCTTGTAAAACACGAGCACCAACAACATGTCGAAGTGTGGTTTGTGTACGTTCGACAAGTGCTTGGCGAACATTGGAGATACCGAAAGCAGCCTTGTGAGGGGATGTGATGTGATAATAGATGACGGAAGTCAAATGTAAGGTAACGTTATCTTTGGTCATGCAAACTTGTTGGGGAACCTCTGTAAAATATAAGTCAATGGCACATTCTTGCAGGATGGTATTTTTGAAGAATCAGATTCAACATACCAACAATCTGAATCTTAACATCAACCTGAATGAGACGTTCACTGAGAGGATTGATCTTGACAAGACCAGGATCAACTGCACGATAAAAGCGACCAAATTTGGTAACAAGACCAACATTACCCTGCGAAACTGGCTTATATGGATTCGGGCAGATAAAACAACCAGGAATAGCTCCACAGGTACCGAGACAAGCTCCGAGAGTGTTGACTATGTGCGAACAATAATTAGTGATCGGCCGATGAATTTGCGCAAAACCCTGCATGGGTATCAAACTTACTCATACTCCCATACCACCCTGAAGTACTTGTATCATCATCACCCTGCAAAATTTGAGCATAAGAAGGTTGAAGATCTTCTCTTCTTGGTGGTTGAACATTGATTAAACGATCACCGGTACGACCTGGTGTACTGCGAGATGCATTATGACCATTTTGTTGACCTGATGAACTGGCAGCGGCCGATGGTGAGAATGGTTTGTGAATATCATCGCTCGCAGCTCGTTTCCCATCAAAACTTGAAGACATGTTGAGTGTTTGTTGATTTTTTGATGGAATGTCGATGAAGGTATGGCATGTAAATTGAGGACTAGAGTAGGATGGAGAATGCAATGAAGAAGTCGTAGGTTGTGTAAGCTGATTTTTAAAAAGTGGTATCACTGATGTTGTGAATTGAAATCTGAGCGGAGGAATTGATTTATTATGTAGTTGTTGCTGTAGTTATTATTTGCTGCAAGTGATTAATTTCAGACATCCGCAGGGTGAGGGTACTAGGTAGTCTAATTGGTAGGAACGATGGCGACGGGCGACGGTCGTGTTGCTTGGGCCTTTTGCGGGGAAGGGAACGTTAAGTGGAACGGACGATCAGTCACGCAGCAGATTTTGGTGGAACAAATGCAGTTGTGCAGTAAGGTTATCTTATAAGAACTGAAGATTTAATAAGGTTATTAATGAACTGATTAACAACGAAAGAAATCTGAATAATTATCAGTGATTTATTTAATCTGCGAATAAGATATCAATGTATAAATCTCTGTGTGTCTTTGGTAAGGATGAATCGCTGTAGCATCCAGACGAAGGTAGTATCTGAAGTTGCTGCAGTCTTATCACTGATTACCTATGAATGATGAGATGTCTCATCTCTTATACGATTTGGAATAAGAATTCATACTCTTTTACACTCCCATCTATGATGTTATGATGACAATATTGAGTTTATTGATCGTCAACATTTTACTTACTTCTTCCTTACTGCGCCTCCCGTCTTTCATCCCTCGTGATGATGAGAAACCATGCATATTGTAACCTGTGGTGTTGACTTGGGAGCACTGACCACAAATGGAGCCATCGAAAACAAGCTCAATTACCCCTAACCATGTCATAACATCATATGAGAAAAACACTCTCTCTTAATCTTACAATTTTTACTCGGTCAACAGATATTATACATCATATAAGATTACGAATATCGATCACATCCTTCCTTTTTATTCTGTCTACTATGTAAGACATACACGACCAGCTTCAATCCAAAGACAGACTACTCAAACAAACAACACAACAAAACAGGCCAGCTTACGATTACCCCCATTTCGATCTTTAAAACATTCCCACTCTCTAATGCAGATTCAACCACATGTCCAATTAACTTATCGTTCGTCAAGCCTTCTAGAAGTTTACTCTATTTGGCATCAAGTCTCCTCGTGAAGTTCAATCCAACTACGCCATGTTATCCGTCTTTACGTAAGTTACAATCCATCCTGTCTTACAGATCTTCATAATTTTCCTCGCTTTCGTTCGAATTCGTTTCCACCAGCGCTCCGTTTCATCCGTTTTTGAAGATCTGAGGCTCAGCCCTACCAAGACCTGCAAACACATTCTTGGATTCTACCAAGATCCTAGTGGTGCCCACATAATGTCAACGTATACCCGTTATTATTCAAAAAGAATTCATCTGCCTATTTGAACCATAAATACCAGCTTCCTTTCTACCTCTATCAGCCTCACCGACGATCCAGCGATCTGTAATCCTCATTTCTCGTTTCCATAAGGCGCAGTCCTCGAAATACTGAATCTGCTTACAACATCAATGATTTTCAACCCGAATGAGGTGCAGTGCCCGAACACAGTAATCGGCATCGATTCATCCGATTCCCAATAAGATTACAACAACAATACCGAAATTCCATAATGTTGGCAACATCATGCATCATTGTGCAGTACCTACCTCATCCTGTTCCAATCTTCCCGGCGTCCTCACTACGCCATCGCTTCGATCTGACTCGGTACTATCGCTACAGAGTAGTTTAGTGCTTACTCAGTCGGGCCTCTAGAATCTGCATATACGGAATAAACTAGGGCTATGAATTCCGAGCTCATTCCGTGCCCGACTTAACCTTTGTTTCTCTTGGTGGAATGGATGAACATTGTTCCCTGAGCGATGAGCCTCCCTACAATGGAATTCGCAGCCGCAAATCGGCATGATGGGACCGGCTTGGCATTCCTCAACTTCTGCATCACGTGTTGCGAGCACAAGCTCAATAATAATTGAGCAAGGAGATATTAGGAACTAAAGATTCTCAAAGATCCTATAAAATATTACGATAATATACTTTTACGAGTAAGTGGACTGAAAAAGCTCAGGAAAGATCACCTGAGCATGTGATTCCTCGTGACCTGTCACCTCACTTCAAAGTGCTCAGAATGGATGGAACCTTTGCAACTATTAGAATTGTATCTGATATCTCCAATTTGGTCTGTTGTCAGCTTGATTACCTGAAAGCTAAATAACCATGGGTAAACTTTCCCCCATTTTTATATTATTTTCTAAGAAAAAACATTTGATTAAATTGATCGAAAAATCAAATCCATGGCGCTACTTGATTACAATTGTTTCCTTTGTAGATATATACTTCCAATTCGAGTCAAAATGAACATCACCACTGATACGAAAGCACAGTTACACCCAATTAGTGCCATCGTCAACTGGATTTACAGCGTCGGCTAAGACATCGAATAGCCATATCTTACCGGATGAGATCAGATACTGAAACCAGCTTACAGCTTCCTGCATCAGTCCTCTGTCGATGTATTGGTCAGACCAAAGTCTACCCCATTCTCGCACCTCTTCACCATCTTCGTAGTTTCTAGGGGGTAGCTTTGGTGCCCACTTGAGACCAGCTCCTTCCGTGGCTGACCGGAGAAGGTCTACACATCTATTACAAGCCGCTCCATGCTTGCCGTGGTATTCCCATGCCGCGTATCGGGCAACTGTATAATGCATATATACCATGGATCCGATACCGTACATGCCAAAGCGAGGAGCAGTGAGTACCATCTTGAGGAGAGCTTCCAAATAGGTGTGAAATGCGGCCTCAATTCCAAGCCCATATACTGCTGAGACTCCGTTCTCATGATTGCCAGCGGCCATGTCGCTTCGCCAATCAAGCAGATCATGTGTAGCCATAATGGACATCGGTCCAATCAGTCCATCTTCAAGATCGCACCCCTCGAAGTTGTACTGACTATACACCGTCGTGCATCCACTAACTGCTCTCCAGGCCAGAGCAGTCTCAACGGATAGAGCTGTCTCAATCCCGATTCCGAGCGCTTGGAGCGCTGTTCCGTCCACGAAAATGTTGATGACTCTCCCGCCGTATTGGTATGCCACACCGGCCGAAAGGGCAATCATGCGCAGTCGAACGTCATAGTCTGCGTGCGTGAAACTGCCATAGTCGTCGCATACAGATAAGTGGGAGAGGTGTGCTGCCTGGACGGCTTTATCCACAGGAAGGAATGATGAGAGAGCTAAAGAACAGGGGAGTGTTCCACTCAGGTAGCAACCTGTGGCAAGCGGACTAGACTGAGGATAAAAGACCGCTCCAAGCTTATCTTTATGACGGTGGCGCATATAGCTCTCCTTCTTGTTAACGTGAGAAATTGCTTCTCTATCACCATTGTAATGGTTTGCGATAATAGAAGCAGTTCCTAGCCGAGCAGCATTGATGATCTGCGGGCCAAAGCGCTTTATAAGCTCGCTGTGTAATTCCGAGCAAGAACGAATCCACGGAGATGATGCCCTTCGCTTAGTATCCTGAGGCGCGAGAATAACCTGCCGGCCGTATTCCATCGCATCATCCCAAGTTTTGCTGTCCCCAGTGAAGATGGTGCCAATTAGCGACTCAAGTCCACACCTAAGAGTCTCCTTATACATCGCCTCACATGCTGTTGAGCAGCTCCCGAATATCTGACTCTTTACATCTCTATCAAGGTTATCTAGGAGTTGAGATAAATCCTCCGTTAGCTTCTCCTTGCCAGTTTCATAACCATTGACTCCGGGTCTTTCACCCATGATTGCTGATTCCTCTTTTATCTCTTCCAGAATAAAAATAGGAGAGAAAAAAGATCTCCTAAAATAATTTGTAGTGTCAAATTATCCAATAGACTCCGACTGAATTTATATGAATACTATTGTGGATAGTCAAACACGGACGTCTCGTCCAATGTGGTAGTTAATTTTGATATTGAGAGTATATTTCCGGCAAGTTGCTTCCTTCAAAAGAGGATTGGATCTCTTCCATTGAAGCTGAATTGATTTTTTTTTTCCCAATACGTACTAGTGTTCAGGCAAGTGTAAATTAAGTAAGAAACGTAATGTACTTTAGGAGTAAGACGGCAAGAAGAGGGGACAATGATCAAGAATAGAAATGATACACAGGAAAACTCCCTCCGCATATCTTTGAGCTTTGTGAATATGCATCGCATTTATTATTCACAGCATTCCTATTATATATTGAATGATCTGGCACGGGATAGCAAGCTCAATCAAACCTGTGATTGGAAGAACTACCCCGGAGTGTTTTGCCCGTTAGGGGTTCCTTGTGCTGGTGGCTGTAGCTTTGGGGAACGCCATGATGAGGAAATATCTGGGTAAGGTATTATTGGGTGGAAAGTCGGAGATTATTACTGCAGTGGATGGAGTAGTGGTTCATGAATAGAAGTTTTGTCTGTTGCAGATCTATTAATAGCATATAAATAGTTTTGTAATCTTACTTGGAGCTATGTTCCTATGGCTCTGGGTTGGGATGTATGTGCATCAACCTTCATATTTCCATGTATTTTAGAGTGCCTATTCTGTTTTGCAGACTTGGTTTTTCCTTTTTACCCATCTAAAATTGCATATTAGAGAGCAGGCGTAATAATGATACTACGATAGTAAGATTTTACATAAAGTGCCTCATAAGGCTCTGGAGTCGTCTATCTTAGCCAATCTTATATACGTACATGACCTGGGTACGTAAACTAGTGGTTCTCTAGATATCCGAACACAATATCTCGCTTACTTCCCTTTTTGCTGACTTTTGTGGGACGCAGTTAATACGCGTTAATGTGAATTTCATGCAATTGTTTCAATTTCCATATAACATCCACCACTCGATCACAAAACCTCCTCATGCCATGGAAGACTTACACCACGCAAGAATACCTACTCAGTAGTATGGCACTTCATATGCTGATTTCTCCACTTTCCGATCAGCCAAGCTTTTGGATGCATATAATATCTGCAACAGCATGCAAGATAGATGAGCCGTGCTGCGCCTCCGGGGTGGGTGCCGGGGTGGTGCGGAAAATATGATTCCAATCAGGAGCGACGGAATACGTACCCCGCCCGCATTGTTACTTGCATTTCTGCTGCAGTGTTCCCGAAATCTAAATCGCTAATGTGTAATGATATGTATTGGAGACGTAGATGGCGCGGGTCATCAAGTTGGAGAGGCGTATGGAGATCCCTTCGGTGGATTTGGATTCCCTATCGGATTTCAAGGTCGAGGAAGGGTTCTAGTTTCTCAGCCAGGTGCACTACTAGTTCAGCTAATAATATATATCTGCACGAAACAGTCTTGTTCCAAGTTGTGTTCGGTCAGGGACACAAGCATTCAAGAATTTACGGCCAAATAAATCAGCTACATGTGTTGCATGAACCTCGGATTGTTGGCACACTTGAGCCACGAGATACCGAGGTATAGTGCAGGAGATGCGGGTTCTTTTTGAAATGCCATGCATTTACTTAACATCGATATCTCATCATGCAGTAAGTGCCTTGGCACATCTCATATCTGTACGGACCACTTCCTCCTATAAGCCGCAATCCAGATATCGTATGTAGTTTGATCTCACGGAACTGACATCACAATCCTCGCAGATTTTCCCAAATCTGTGATTTTTCACACACCAGCGCCTTTCCAATGTAGATAGCTTCATGCGCCTTGATGCGCGTTAAAGCTCGATGAACATAAAAAGCGCAAAGAGCATTACCAAATCGAATAAATAAAGAAACTATTGGACGGAAAGAAACTCTCAAAGATGCCTTGAGTGTCTTTCATCCTCGTTAAACGTAAACCACTGAAAGGAAGAATGATTTCTCGATTCATTATTATTAGGAAGCCTGACAACCGGCTTTAGCCTCATGACAAGAGGCCTATTCTGGCTGAGGAGGTACACCTTCTGATGCGTGGCCCAACTATTTGACTTGTCATGCAACTCAATATCAAAATTCCACAAAAGCTTGGGAATAATCAAATGTATACTTGCATAAAAGAGACTAAAAGGAAAACAAGTTAGCTCAATTATGGCCTTGAAATTACGTACTGCAATTACAACACAAATGGTTTAGCATGGGAAGACAGGGATACAGCATTCTCTGCGACTTACTTTCTACTAACACAGCTCCTAGGTCCAACTGAGAAAGGCTGAAATGCCTCTAGTTTGTCATCTGCAAATTCCTTATGACCGAGGAATCTCTCGGGATGGAATTCGAAAGGCTTCCGGAAATTCTCACATAGATGCGACGCAGCATAGACACTGATCGAGACGATAGACTGGCCAACGAAGTTAGCTTTCAAGGTCAAGCTTGTGATACCGAACATACTTGGAGGACTTACTCCTTCTGGGATATATCTGCCGGCTATCACCCGGCCTCCTTTTATTACCACCCGTGGCAAACCTTCTGCAACCGAGGGGTATAGTCTCATTGATTCCTTGATGCATGCATTTAAGTAAGCCAATTTCTCGGTTTTAACCAAACAGACTTCATCTTCTGAGTCAAACTTTGATTGAAGCTCGTTGACCAGCTTGGCAAGACACGCCGGGTTGTTAGCAATGCAGTATACAAACGCTGTCAGAGCCCAAGCCGAAGTTTCTGGCTCGGCAGTTATCAAGCTATTTGTAGCACCAAACACATGGTCGAACGTGAGATCCTATGAAGAGTCAGTCTGCGCATATGCGAATTCCCGTTTCTGAATTCAGTGGCAAAGGATGACGTACACCATGCTGGTAGGCTCTGATCATAGGCTCAACCACGTCATTTCTTCCCCCAGGAGTGTCCATTCTGCTCCTCAGCATCGTCCTTGTTTCCTCCGGAACTTGTAGAAAAGATTCTCCAACCATGTAGAGTAGAGCTAATACTACTCTTCTGAGACCCAAGTACCACAGCACAATAAATCGACCTCCCACCTCCCCCGCCTTGAAAAGAAATCTGACATACGGGGTCATCTTTAAATTTTGCAAACAATTGAATGACCTCCCAAGAATTAAGTCTCCAATCACATCACAGGTAAACCAGGAGAACCATTCTGTCACATCTACCACCGCCCACTCTGGCCTGCGTTCGGACTTTCCATCTTCGCTATAGGTATCCGATGCACCTTCACTCTCTTCCCGGAGTTTCTTAATGAGTAAGTTTATATATCTCATAATCATTCCCTCTTGTCCTTTTAGGCTTCTATCCGAGAATCCATCGGCAAAAATGTCTTTTAGGATTTTATGAGACTTTTTCCTGCGGCGGAGACTTGATCCGATAGTACACCATTGAAAGCCAGGCCAGCGTAGAATTTCCAGTACTTTGGATTTTCTTTCCCAACAGAGGCTCCGTAGATATTTTTCCATGCCTCTGTATCCGTAAAAGAGATTTCTGAAGGAGATATGCGGACCACTGTTCCGTATTTTTCGTGGAGACGAAGGTCAGAGAATGGATGCTTTCCGCGAAGAAATTGATACGCCCACGGAAAAATGGATGCCCTGCAGTGGATAGGGCCTGGGAAATTTGACAAAGGGTGCAAGAAAAGATTATAAAAGATTGTAGTAATCAAGTAACAAATAGCCTGTCTTATCAGCTACTGTCCAGAAATATTTGCAAACGAGCTAAGCAACTTACCAGGCCAATAATCAAACAGGCCCATTGGAACGCTTGAAAGGTTGCAAAGGCATTGGCAGTACCTCATATCAGAAGCGGGAACGACATTCTGGCAGGACAAGGAGCGTGGCTCAAAGGGTTCCTTGAACAATATTGCGGAATCTAAATTCCGTTGGCCTATAGACAAAGGGAAGTAAAGGTCTGGTCAGATGTCAAATTTGGGAATTTCAAGTCGCGATTGAGGTGTTAAAGTAACAATTTGAGTTCCTTAACTCTCCATTGGATTGCCGTTGATCTTTGGCTTGTATGATTTGAACTCGCCAGAAGACATTGATTTTGGACGGCTTGCAAGCCTCATGATGTAGGGCGAGGTGGAATTAATCCAGCATGTAGCGATTACATATCTTAAAATATTCCAAGTTCATTAAAACAGGTATTTGGATCTTGCTTCTCCTTTTTAATCTATGTGCATACATATTGATCACTAAACACCACCCGGGGATGGATTTGCCTTGGCATTCCCCGCCGGTGAATGAACTGGTCCTCAAGCAATTTAGAACAAGAGAATTTCACAATTTTTACATGATTAAATATTTCGTCAACGGCCAAAGTCTTCCATAGATACATGTTGACCTCCTGGGATCTTGGCAGCATATGCATATATATTGCATGATGCATATAAGGAGCAAACAAAACTCAACTTTTAATTCATTCTTTCCTTTTTGGTATACTGTTTGTTTGCTTTCAATATTTTGATTTCAAAGCACTTTTAATTCCGGAGGCCGAATACCTAACCCTATTCCTTCATTTTTTGAATATACACTCGCAGCTTAACTGCTTAGCTAGAGAATCAATCAATTCAATCTGATGCTCTTTCTGGTCTCAAGAAACCCAATAATACACGCGAGGTAATCAATGCGGTCATAAATATTTGTTCTGCAAAACTGTGGCGTCGGCATACCCTGGGATATGCAGATTTGTACTACAACCCTTCCATTTCTAAAAGAGATCTGCATATGTGGAAGGTTATATGTTGTAGAGCCTGAATCTTTAACGGCCTGCTGCCTCCAAACTTGGTAAAAGCCCATAGCAATACGAACAACCTAAATTGCCTGCAGATCAATGCTGTTGTGTGACACTTGTACAGATAGCAGCGACAATGAGGCTAAAAGATAAGAAATGGGTGTTGTTCAGGGCCCGGAGCATTTTCTAAAGTTTTTGAGTTTCGGTGGCCAACTCGGTGATCATGTACCTGAACACAAAATTGAGAGTTGAATTCTTCAAGACAATATAGCGCATGATAAAAAACTCGTTAGAGGCTACGTAGAAACAACTTTTCACTGGACCATAAGATCTACACCTCTCTTTTAGAGAGCCGCCACCATCGCTAGAATCACCATAATCAACAAGGCAACCATTAACGGTGGTTCAACGGAGCTCAACTCTCTACTGAGGACTTTGAATACCTATGGCGGTATGCTAGCTAGCCGTCTCTCCTTGCACCAAAACTTCCCAAGCTGTCCTTGAAGGTCCATACGACAAGATGACCAGGTTTATTGAAGATACGCAAGCATTTGAACAGCTTTGTTTGTCCTCATTTGCATCAGTGCACTTGAGAAATTGCCTACGAGTGGGACATTGCTGCCGTTGATCTCGTTAGAGCTTGTGAGTTGGATATGTCTCAGATTACCAGAACAATGTGAGGTTTTGTCACCAACGAGATTGCTAAAAAGGCAGAGCTAGATGTTTATATGCATAATGAGCTCTCTCGTCGATCTTCTCCAACTTTGCTCGGCGGATTCACCTGAAAATGGTTCGACAACATCCGGGTAGTGGGGGCTCCCTCCAATTACGTGAAAACGTATAAATCCGCAGACAGCCTAAGTAACGCGAGCGAAAGCCCCTTCTCCTTTGCTATGGGCCATGAAGGGAAGAAGTATTATGAGATACTCGACATGGATCCTCAACAAAGACGGTTAGTAGACTTTGCGCTGAAGTATTCAGACAAGAACCTCCCTATTCTAGAATTGTCTCCATTCCAAGACTTAGACCGAAGTCAAGAAGAATCCAGAGCGTCCATTTGTTGTCGACATTGCTGGCGGCAGGGGTCAGTACCTCCTACAGATACAGCACCGTTGCTCAATTAGCGGCAAGCTCATCTTGCAGCGCCTTCCAGTTGTGATCGAATCGTTAAAACCAGAGAATATCCTAGGATTGAGGCAATGGCATATGATATGTTGACGCCACAGCTTTTGAAAAGTAAGTAAATCCTACCAAATTTGTACATGAAGGGATGGGGCTAAGAATATGTTCATTGGTCCTCATGTCTACTTCATGCGTCGTGTTCTTCACGATTTTTCCGACAAACTACTTTTGCCTATGCTCAAGAAAATCGTGTCGGCTATGGGTCAGACTCGCGGCTCGTAGTTGGTGATATGCTCCTGCCTGATCAGGTAATTGCAGGTGGTCCATGGAAGACGTACTGGATTGATTTAGCACTACTCACAATTTGTGGCAAGGTGCGATCCCTTCGAGAATAGAATGGCATATTCGGGGAAGTCGGCTTGAAGCTTGTAGAGATTTATAAGGTTGGTGACGGACAAGCTGTAATGCTAGAAACGCGCTTGAGAAGATCATTTTGAGTTACTGGAGTAGGCTAGCTCGATTTAACATAGTTGTTGTAATTGCCTGTCTTTCGATTCTTCTGTATTCTGTAAATCCTAAAAGTTACAAAGCAGTTAGGCTAATTACTTCATCAGGCAGTACTGCATAATCTTGCTTCTAAAAACATACTAATGTTCGCTTTTATTATTCGGTTTGTAACTATTTATAACATGATACTCCTGATATTATAAGAGTTGGATAGTATTATTGCTGCAATTTTCATATAGATAGAATTTTGGGGAAAATTACTCAATATAAAAGTTCTCAATTATTGTACAAAAATCTCGAGATCTGAATCTATATTCAAATTTTTATAATAACGTGGTTTAACACCGAGTGCACCATATCACCGAGTGCACCACTTTTACCTCAATTTGCACTTTCTAACTCATATCATTCAACAATCATTAAATCAATCAATTAAAACTATTAAGAATCTAATAATCTAGGATCTATTATACTATTTTGACAAGTTCTTAAATTATGACCAGTCTTTCCACACTTACTACAGCATCGACTAGTAGATGATTCCCTATTAGAATTTCCCCCATTTTGACGCTCGTCGCATTGAATCTGAATATCAACCTCTTGTTGAGATAATATATCTGCAGCTTCTTGTCCAGTAAGTACTCCTCCTTGACGTAATTGAGTCTTTTTCATGCGTCGACGTTTGCTTAATGCCTCATTTGCCTTTCGAAGTGTATGGTTTTCTGCATTTAAAAGTGTATTCTCATGTGCTAATCTCTCTGTACCTTTAGCTAAAGCTAGTACAGTTTCGAATATAGGTGTAGGGGAGCTTGATTGATGACGAGCCATTCGAGATTTCACTAAAGTTGATTGAGAAAGAGCTTCAGTTGGATTGTGAGGGGTTTGAGAGATCCAAAGGTTTAAATCGAAAGGGGGGGGAGTAGGCGTATGAATTCGAATATCTAATTTTGAGAGTATAGCTTGAGGGTCAAATGGTATTAGACCTGTTCCTCGAAAGCCAGCTTTCATATTTTGAGAGTTGATTGATTGTTGATATGCAGTTTTGAAAGCTATAAAGAATTCAACTTTAGTGATATGATTGATATATGCCTTGATAAACTCCTCAATTTGAGAACTATATGAACGTTTAAGTACACCAAAACATCCAACATCAAGTGGTTGAGTTAAATGACTTGAATGTAGTGGTAATTTGAGGCATATAATATCATTTGATTTGCAATATGATTGAAAAGGTATTGATTCGTGGCTTTCATGCCTATCCAATACTAGCATTCGATATTTGCTCTTCTTTTGACGAATAGTATGTTTATCGAAATGCTTTAACCATTCTAGGCCTGTCTCATTATTCGTCCATCTATTGGAAGTAGGTTTAATAGCCCAATCCGCAGGAAAATCGGTTTCAGTATACCAATTGGAAAGATGAACTTGTCCTTGAACTACCAAAAATGGAGGTATAGTTTCACCCTCTCCATTGCCACATATAATTGCCGTAGCCCACTCTCGATTGCCTGGTTGTATTGCCTTGCTTCTGCCATTTCGTTCAGCATTAGTTGCAACCATTCCAGGGCATATTATACCCATCATGAAGCCGGTTTCATCGAAGTTGTAGAAATCGGAATCGACAATACCATATTTCACCCGCATATTCGATATTAATCGAAACCACTCTTCAATAAGCTTGGGATCTTCGCAAAGAGCTCTTTGAAAGTCATAAACACGACTAAAACGCGTCTTTAATTTCGTATAACACTTTACGAATCGATAAGCCCAGAGCTTTCCAACCTTCTTCGCCCTCCGCGATTCAAGAATATAATTCGCCATATCTTCTACACTACTTAATTTAGGTGCAAACCCTCTCTCATCCATATCAATTATATACTGAATAAGCACCTCCTCTTCTAAATCGGTCATTTTATGACTATTTGCTCGAATTTCTGTACGAGGGGCTAAACCATTCATTCTGCGGAGAAGTATTGTATGCGTTATATTATATAGCTTGGCAGCCTTTCGAATGCTTAGTTTTTTATCTTTTTGAATAGCTTCAATAGCTAAGAGTATTTGAGCTTCTTTTCTATTTGATTGCATAATAAATGATTGATAAATCGCGTGTTGAAGTTGGAAAGTGCAAATTGAGGTAAAAGTGGTGCACTCGGTGATATGGTGCACTCGGTGTTAAACCACGTTATCTTAAAAATTAACGAAGATATTTAACTCCCTTGTAATATTTGCATATATGGCTTTGTCTAGGATTCAAAGCTCATACGCGATGGATCCAAAGACACCATGCTCTCAGCATTGATCAATTCTCCCGCTAGACGACTTGACAGCAACTGCACTGGGAATAAGAAAAGAGGTGTATATTCATTATCATTTTTACATTCGGTATCATGCTCAAACGCCATCGAAATGACCTGTGTATCCCCACTTTGCTCCGCGCTTTCTATTAAATTTAAAAAATGCGTCTAATCATCATCTATGTATCATTTTTAAACGTACAATCTCACCTCTCACTTTTCGCTTGCAAGCTGCCCAGCATCTTGTTCTCTCGTATCGCTAGGCAACGCCACTCGTCCATATCCCATACCCTCCTCAATATACCCCTCTTGATGATAAGTATCTTCGCGGGGAGCATCAGGCATACTTGCTATACTTGATGCTGACGATGAGTGAGAGCCAGTACTGATCCTATTTTCTGTGGTTCGGTCTGGTGAGGATTGGTCTGCTTCAAGCGCCTTTTCGTTGCCCACATCCTGTTCGTTCGAAGGTTTCTTCGTGGGGGTTGGAGCGAATTTGGATCGTTCTCTGATGGCTCCACCGTATTTATAAAATAGAAAGGGGATCGGCGCGAGACATATGGCAAGTCCACCGATTAATGAGCCACCTCCACCGACGCCAAGAGCATCGAACATGTATGTCGTGAATAATGGTGCTGCAGCACCGGCTGCTGATCTACAAACAGTGTTTGCAGCGACTGCACTGGCGGCATACATTAAGTATGTATCGGTCAAATAATTGAGGTAGGCGACGAAAATGAGAAGAATAGACGTGGAGAGGAATATCCCAGCAAGAGTGGGAACTATCCAATGAACACTATTATAATTTCCAGACCACGCAAACCAAAACATGGTAATTGGAAAAATAATTCCACCAGCCATGGCGACCGGTAGACGATCCTCAGCCACGCCAACATGACCAGCCTCCACCTTCTTCCTATCACGATGGGACACGATGAAGATGGCGATTCCACCTATTATAGCTCCAATGATCGTACCAATCAATGGTAACTCCCCTACTCCGGAATTCCAACCACGCTTCTCCTGAAAGATGATGGGGTAGATGGTGAAGAGCATATACAGTAAAGCATATACGACGGATAGGTAAACGGCAACGGCAAACGAAATTGGATCGACGAGAAGTTGCCATGGTCTAATAAGTGCCACCTTGAAAATTTGCCATAAGGTACGATCGCTATCTTCGACGGGAGCCTTGACGTTTTCGTAACCTGGAATCTTCAATGCCCTTATTCTCCTAGCTTTGTTTACTAGCAATTTCGAAGGTAAGGTCTCTGGGATAGTAAACATTAAAAGTTCGGTGACACCAGCGAGCCATAACATGACATAAAAATTCCACCTCCAGTCCTTTTTCAACTCAAGGAATCCTGAAATAACAGGACCCAATGCTGGACCGGCAAAAGTCATCATCGAGAACAGAGCCATGGCATTTCCTCTTTCGACAGGACCCCAAATATCGGCGAGAACTCCCGGGGCATTCGAAAGTGGCGAACTGGCCATCGTACCCGTTATGAATCGTCCTATTAATAGAGCTGCGAAATTATTGGCGAACGCACAGAGAAAGTTAAAAGCCAGATACAAGGTAAAAGAGATATAAAAGATCCATCTTCGACCAAAGAACTCGGACAACGGAGCCCAAAATAATGGACCAAAGCAGTATCCTAAAAGGAAAACCGAGATGACCAAAGCGGAGACCTCTGCAGAAACATGAAATTCTCTCTCAATTCCCGTCAAACATCCCGACGGACTGGACGATGCAAATGTTGCATTTACCACGAGCAAAACCGATACCACGGTAATATACCATCTTCTCGTCTTGGACCAATTCTTCGGATTTTCGATATCTCCCGGCCCAAAATCCAGATGGCCATTTTCATTTATGTACGGCTGATCATCGATGATATGTTTCGTGCGATATGGCTTCGCATTTGGCCTTGACAAAACACGCTTTAAACGATCCATCGATGTTGAAAAATCATGAAAATATTTAAGGATTGGGAAATGGGGAAGAAAAATAAAGTCGGACGGGGGATCGACGTTGTATACATCATTTTCCTAAATTGTGGATAATCGGCATCATACAAGCATAGCTCTAGAATGTACACGCGGAATTGTGGATTGATAACCATGGATTTGCTATGTTCCTGTTCTAGTATGAAATGATTCAATATTAAGTAAGTACGGATAAACAATGCCGGTCTACATCGTCATTATTATCATTTTTCAGCACTTGACTGTTTTTGCCTCTAATTCCGTTGACTAAAATATTTTAGCCAATTATGAAACGACTTAAAATCCTTAAAATTCCTCTAGCATACCAAAGTAGCTAATGTTGTCTGAAACTCAGCGAATGATACTCTCCAAATTCCGATTAGAGATACTCGGTATTTACTTTCTTTTTGCCATGATTATAAATTATTGATCCTTCACCACTCCAGACAAACTTCGACATTCTTCATCGGCCCCTTTAAGGCCATGTAAGCGAAGTATGAGTTAGCATTGGATATGACGAATTTATTTCCTTTTTATCTCCTTGTTATATCCGGATATTCTTTATTTATCCTTCCAATATTCTATTTTCTCAGATATGCTGTTCTGGTATCATCAAAATACCATTCAAGTCTATACTCCTCAACTAAAAACAGAAAACTTGTAGCTGAGGGTCCATAGCGTCCCCTTAATAGATATTTAGAATTAAAGGTTGTGGTTGACAACAATCCCCAATATACCGGCAAGATGCAACCTTCCAGTCTACAGCCAGCTGACAAATCCCTGCAATTTATCCACCACATCCGCGGATATAGTAATTGAGTCTCCAATAAGGTGAATGAGCAAAGGCAATTGGGGTTTCGTTGTACCATGCATCGGGAGCATGAACAGCCGTGGATGATATGCTGAAAGCATAAATGTTCACCGTCGGTTTCTTCACTCGGCAATTTACATATTACTAATCCCGTGAGCGACGACATCAACGACTTACGATACCTGACGATTTTAAGTTTGTATCTTTGCTTGCTGATTAACTGCCGCCCCCCTCCGAAAGTTCTTACTCGGCAAAGTCAGCAAGCTAGTGCGGCACATAATATCCTTCAAGAACCTGACATCCAAATACCCCGCACACCCGAGCCTAAATAAATTCTCATATTTGAAATCCCATATGTTTTCATGAATATTTCCTCTAGCTTCTCAATGCGTCTGAGCAATTAGGGAATATCACAATGGTTTATTGCGCCCTTAAAAAGAACTATACCATCATTTGTGACATCAGTTTAAGATAAAAGTCTGTGTATAATCTCTCACACATGGTCTCCTAATTCTACTTTGCGGCATAGTATTACTAAATGAAGAATGGACAAACGATATATTAGCTAATTGGCTCGCTATGAAAGAAACCTAGGATCAAACGAATGGTATTTTGCTTATAGAGGTCAGTGAAAGCCAGGCTCGGATCCGAGACTTACTACCGAGAACATAACTATAAACCAACATATTGAGAGCATCTCCTGGATAAGTATCCAGCATTGGTTCTAGATAACGGATAATCCCAGAGATAATCCTACAACGAACTGTGTTCTGATACTCTTCAATTAAATGACAATGGCATCCAAACCATCGAGACACCATATTCTCCACCTACGAGGCCTTCCCCGAGCAAAAATTTTGAACTGTACAAGCAACAGGCTAGAGACAGACATAATTTAAATACGAATACTCAATGACTCGGGAAATTTTGCGTTGAGATGGATTGTTTCCTATCTATCTTTTTTTCCAGCAGAAATTTAAGGTTAAAACATTGTCTTCATGGTAGAAATGACTAGCGCCTCCCGATTCGCAAAGGTATACACTTTTCGGCATCGATCTTTTCCGCACTACAAAACAGGCAGCTCAGATGTCGGAACCCCGTAATTGCATGAGAATATCCATTTATCATCTGCTGCGTTTGCAATTCCATGTGAACTTGTCTGCATCATCTCATAGACAAGTGACTACACGTATTGAGGTTAAAGTCTGAGAAAAAACGCCTTGAAGGACGAGAACCTGCCCGCTTCGAACTCAATGCATTTTTGAATCTATTTATATATTATAGGTAGATATTGTATAGTACATCATGGAAAAATTCCTCAACTCGATCTACTGCTCAAGAGACACTCTCTTTCCTTCGATCTGCTACAGCCTGTGGATCCTCACTCATCATCTCCTATTTCATTGTGTAGTTTAGGAGCATTATAAGTGTTCGAACAACGCATACATATATACATATATATCTATTACTTCAATGTTCCTGATTCTCACTTCTAAGGGTATAAAGGGTAAAATTCCATCCGCCGTTTTTCATTATTTTCTAATCACAAGTGAAAACCAGCTGGATTCAAGCAAAAAGCAACAATAATCCCAAATTTGCAGCCATACACAGACTAAACTATCTACAACTTATTAGAAATATATCTTCCTACTTAAATGATGGATATTTCCCAAAACCCACAGTATTAAACACACAATATCGATTTGAAAACCTATATATAACGCTTCATGAGTCTTAAATTTTCCTCCATATATCCCGCACCAAATAACATCCACCAGATCACTCAGTATACATAGAAGGGAAGCTATTTAAACTCTACTAACCTTTTGCTTTCATCATATAATAAATCTGAGTTAAATACTCCTTTAGGCAATCTTTCCCGAAAATTGCAAGATTATTATAATATTACAAAGCCACACACTCTCTGAGAACATAGAAATAGTTCTTACAGAGAAATACTATCTCAATCGATTCTATACAAAGAGATCGGGTGTGATGAACTTGAATAAGTCCAGTATATATACCAAACCGAACCGATTTGCTGCTGCACGTGTGAAATTTAACACGGTATTTCGTCTAGAATTGAAAAGTGGATTTCTGATATCGGAGATTTGGGTGCTGAGTTTCATGTTTTATTTAAAGCTGTAATGGTATCTTGTTGATAGCTTGTATCACTATACCTATCTATCCACTCGTCATGGAGGTGAAGTCATGTGGAAGACGACCCGTCACTGCCTTCTCCTCTCATCATCCTATCCCGCATAAAATCAGCTACAAGTAACTCCCTCGCAAAAGAAAGTCACCTACGCAATTCCTATCACCACCTTCATCATAAATCCGTGCATAAGCATATAAATACAGCAATACAAATATTTCGTTCTAGATATCCGATATAAAATACAACATAAGAGAGAATATACAATACACAACAAAACCGACCCAAGAACCTCCACAAAGTGCACAAAACCCATCTCATCTATCGCATAATCCAACAGCCATTTCAGCCCACCCGTTACATGTATATAAGTCTAGCAGCCGATAAATATAATTCTCAGGTACTATAATCCACAGTCCACAAGAAAATAAGAAAGATCTCCCGAGAACTATAAAATACCGCTAAAAGATCTTTCTTCCTCTCATCGCATCATGCATCCATCCACTCGCACTCGCGACGCCTGCTTCCTTTTCTACTTAAGAAGCGATTTAACTTAGTATTGGTGGAAGACACTTTATAGTATTATGAAAAGAAAATTTGTGTAAAATTCTTACGATCTTGGGATATTTCGTACTGTTTGAAATAAGTAGATGGACAGACGTGTAGATGGATTTAATGATAAGATTATTTAACAACAACAATAACACTGTGTGAACGAAGTGAATGACTTCAATTCAATTACTACTGTAATAAAGAACTAAGCGAACGCGAAAGAGACTAGCTCTTTTAGTAAGTCTATATAAGACTTACTACTTTCAATATGTAGCTAGCTCTTTAGACAGAATACAATTAGACATACAGGACCTACGTAATCCGTGGGTGCTACGTCTTCCGTATCCTTCTCGTACCAACAAACACCGACAATCACATCCCTCAACCTTTTAATATGGTCCATCTAAATCTAAAATAGTGAGTGACTTTTCATAAAAAGGAATCTAGATCGATATAGAAAGAAGTGAAATAAAACTAGAAAGAATTTGAAAGTGTCTTGAGATAAGTACAAATATAATATTCAATGAAAGTGATAGTCGCTCTTTATGTATCTTTTTAATTTTATAACATTTAATATATCAAACTCACTTATTCCCCTACCCGTATATATTGTCTTTCGCCTTCTCTATATCTAGTTACTCATATATTTATCCAATCTTATATATTCAGTTCTCTTAAATATCATCTATCACAACCAGAATCACAGATCCAAATTCACATTATTAAACCTCAGCTTCTCCCTTTTCTTCTATTTCCTCATCAAATATCCACATCTTATTCTCATTCCCATTTCCACTTCGATTCCTATTCCTAATTATTCCCAATCCCACACTGATTCCAAATTGCAATACTATATAATCAAGTAAAACTACCTAGTTATATATCTAATAACACACATCTATCCACCATCCAATATACCATCTATGTACTACCATCTACACTCTACCATCAACAAAAACAAAACCAAATACTCCTCAAAAAACCCCCTCTCGCTGCCCTCAAAACATCACATACTCATTCTCTCTCAAACCCTTTTCTTCATTTCTAGCCCACATCTTCCATTTATCAATCCCTACTTTCTACTCTTTATCTCCTACCTTCTATACTCCAATTTCCCAAAAATCTATCTTCCCATATCTCATCTACTGTTATTCCATTACCAGAAATAAAC